GAGTTATCAGCAGATGAATGAACTATTTCTGATGTTCTGATAGTAGCATTGGTAGAAATAAAGGTAAATAATCTTAATTGCGAAGAATGGATGAAGGTATATGCAATCTTATTGGTAGATTTTGCCAAAGTGCTAGATACAACTCTTAGAATTTTGCTAGAAATGGTGACAATACTAGATGTAACTGGAAAATCTGTTGCTGAACTGGAAATATAATTATATATTCCAGCGCTATATTTGGTAGGATTGATTGGCATGTCAGAAGATGGTTTTGGGCTTTCTGTTGACCTAGAAACAATGGTAGAAGTTGATTCTAAACTTTCGGTGGATTCAACAGTTGCATTAGAGGGGAAACTTGAATATGACCCTACATCTGAAATCGGTTCAGAAATAATACTGGGAACCTTTTGTCAATACACCACCAACCTCGATACCACATTCGATTAGAATGAAGAGCTAATAGTTGAACGAGATATATCATTGGAAGATTATGCTGAATTTTCAACAGCATCGGAGGTCACAGTAGATGATGATTTCAAAACTGAACTTAAACTAGATACTAAACTGGCATATGGTGCAGAAACTATGGTTTAAGAGAAAACTAAAGTAGATGATAACTCTACACCCGATGAGGAGATACAGATTGTGGACATGAGAACCTTGATGTAGTATGTTGTTTTACTGCAGATAAGCCCATAGCATTTGGATTTCTTGTGGGGAAGGCAGTAGAGTAGGTTGTTGTGGGTGAGAAACTAGCAGGTTTTTACAATTTCGACCACTTCATTACAACTTGCCGCATACTTTGAATTGTATACATAGTAAATAAATCTGCAAAAGTGATATCATTCGGGTCAGGAACAATAATGTTAAATCTAGCACAACCTGCTCTGTTTACAAAACACATAACCATTGACACAAATTGGCCTTCTGTGAGATAGAGGGTTACTTCTGATGTATCGTTAGGAGACCCTGTATACTCAATAATATCTGTGTAATTTTTTTAGATATTCATATTCCATGCAATTTGAACATCTTGCTAAGCAGTGGTGATGCCACAACAATATCCATCGGAAGAAGCCATCAAAGAAACTATTACAGCATCACTTGCACTGATTTTATGATATCCAGTAACTTTTGGATATAATCCACCAGAACAATATAAAGTAAAATTCAAAATATTAATATTTTTTCCCAAGTACAGCGCAACCATTATTAGAATCTTCATTTGAAACTTCAACCTGAAAGTCAGGGTCTGCTATCCCACCAAACATTATACCTTTACCTCCTAAATTTACTGCGATTATATATTCTAGAAGATAGTCATATGAATTCACTAATTCATTCTGCATGTTATCTTCTAGGGCAAAACGAAATGACCTTCAAATTTATTTACTAGTGTCAGAGTTAAAGTAGGATAGGATTAAGCTTGAAAAATGACAAAATCGAATAACAGTAAATTAGTATTTGTAAGTACTAGAGTGACGTTTCATAACTAAAATTTATTGATGGTTGTTTATTTATTTATTTAATTATATTTTATCTTCAATCTAATTTTATTATGAGAAGTGTGTATTTCAATTACTAAAATAAAAGATAAGAAAACATTTGAATAACAGGAGTTATATGTTTCTCGTCATTTTCAACCATAGATTTTCTCAGAACTTAAATAACAATTAATTTTCTTTCTCATCGTAAAATGCGAAAATATTCATAATCCTCAAAACTTTCTTTTTTAATTGAAATATTTCCAAAGCTATTCAAATCTTCTAACAATGTGGATTTTTTTTACCTATGAATTTTTAACAATGTAGTTTGTGTCAACCATAAATTTAGGTTGTTTTTGCTTAGGTTTTTATGTTTTTGTATTAATTATGCTGGGATATGACTCAGGAGGTATCCTAAAACAGTAAAAAACCCTAAAAAAAGGAATGAATAAGTTTGGAAGAACACGAAGTCTGTTTAATAATAATATATCACAATAGTTTGTGTTAGCAACGACTAGAGAAAAAAATAAAAACAAAAATAATCTTAATATATTCACAGGATCTCATCTGTATTAATTTAGTTGCATTCTACATAAAAACAGGTGTGGACGAGTATTCACAGTTGTAAAATGAATGACAGGCTGGGTTATGGCAACATTGTTCTCTATTATGAATGATAGAGAATGTAAAAACCAATTGCGTCTTTATGATAGTTAAGGTTGCGCAATACAAATTGAATACTTAGAACTACGTTAAACAAATGTTCTGCAGCCTTTTGCGTGTGGGTGTATGTTGAAATATTTTTCTCTTGGGGATAGAGACAACTCGGGAAGATACATAATAGATATTTGTATGATTCCCGTTTCTGTTGTCAGAATGTAGTAAGCTGGAAGTTGCTGGTGGGACCTCGGTGATTTTCCGTTTCCCATTTTGGATCATACTCAGGGAAGACAGGTTACTGTTTCGGGAAATTGACTGACACAAAAATAGTATTCTGAAAATATTCGCAGAATAGCATTTTTGGTTAACGTTATTACTAAACTAAGATATACGATACTTGACAGAGTATTATTGCCTAAAAACATAAGTAAGAAATTAACAGTTAATAGTTATACAAATTCAATTTTTAAAGCTTACTTTGATGAAAGGTTAGAGGTGACATCATCAAATTATCAGAAAAATGGACTATGGTTTTCACCAATTCTTTTTACTTTGATTTATCGTTAAAATTTTCATTGCAGATTTGGAAAACCTGAATCAGATGCGCATATAGGATTTTGAGATGCCTCACCTCTTCTACCCAAACAGCTTCCGACATTTTTTTTTTAAAGGTACATAGTAAACATAGATATGCCTATAAATGCTAGGTTTTGTCAATGGTCCTAATAAGAGGAGCTTTGGAATAGAGAAGAACTACGGTTGATTAAATGAAGAGTGACCTGCCTAAATTAAGAAGAGATGGGCCCTCCATAAACGAAAAATTAGATATGCTGCAGCATGTTTGTCGTGGGAATATATGTGAAATAACAGAATCTGGTTCCTTGGTTTTATTGCAATTGGATCTTGAGGTAATAAAAAGGCAGACGTTGTTTAACTGCAAATGCATTGAATGTTACTACCATAAAGCTCAGGTAGTAGAAAAAAAGAGGAATGGAAATATGAGCATCCTCAATCTAGCGGAAATAATGTTATACATAGAGCATTCTATAATGAGCCGGGGGGTTATCCTGAACCAACGGCGCTCTGAGGACTTATTTTGAACAGAATTATAAAATTACATGTCATCCTTTTATAATATTTATAAACTGTAGGGAGAGGGCGCCTAAATATGCATCGTATAGTAAAATATAGTACTTTGGAATGCTACTTAACATGTCTTGTATTAACAGCCAAGTTGTTCTGAAAGCTCGGGCCGATAATATTTCTGTTTCCTCGGCTTTGAGATTATCCCAAAAATTTTGATATCGTTTCCTGTGAAATAGGAATTTATGAATAAAAGATACATCAGATCTACTAGAAAGATTGGTATTCTAAGAAAGAAACCAGGAGATTTTCCATTCATTTTAAGAGACAACTTTTGGACGTATTCATTAAACTATATATTTAAATCTTCAACTTCCAACCATAAGTGTTTGTTTTCCGGTAACTTTTTTATTTTAATATGACTTCAATTGGCGTCATTATTGGATCGACAAGGAACCCACGAATATGCCCGCAAGTTGCTCAGTTTATTCTTAATAAAATAGCAAAGCTTAACCTTTCGGACCATATACAATTGGAACTTATAGATTTGAAAGATTACAATTTACCTTTGTTTGACGAATCTATTATTCCCAAAATGGTAAAATCATCGGACGAGTACGTTCATGAGCACACCAAACTATGGAGTAAAACAATCACACGGTTTGACGGTTTCATTTTTGTAACGCCACAATACAACTGGGGTTATCCAGCTGCTTTGAAAAATTCAATTGATTTCTTGTATCACGAGTGGACTGGGAAACCTGCAATGATTGTAACATATGGTGGTCATGGTGGTTCTAAATGTAATGCACAACTGAAAGAAGTCCTACAAGGAATATCTATGACTACAAATAACAAAAATGTTTTACTATCTTTTCCTGACAAAAAAATCCTAGTAGCCGCCTCTAAAGGAGAAAATCTTGACATTGAAAGCAATGGCATATTTGAGGAATCGATTGATGACTTAGAGGAAGCTTTCAGAGAACTTACTGAAAATCTAAACCAGAAATAAGTGATAGTATTATTTAAAATTTTTAGAATAATTATCGAGCAAGCTTTACCAAGCACTACTATGTAGAATATGCTATTAATTTGGTGTAGTTTTTCGTTGATTGTTTCTTCTAACTTGGTGTAATAGTTTCATTTGAACGAAAAGAAAAACATAATTATCTGGTAGTGTATGTGATGGAACTTTTAGCAGAGAGAATATATGTTTGGATGTGTATGTTTTAGTGAAGTATGAGTTATTCGGTATGCCGAATTTATCTTTTTCCACAGTTTTTATGTGCATTATTGAGCTGTGGTATATACGTCCAAAACAATAGTTATAAGCCTACGCAAAAAATCTTAACATTTCAATTGTCACTTCCTAATATGTATGCATTTTTTAACGTTATTTAGGTTAGGGTTTCGTTCGGGTCTACTAGTGATAGACTTTACGAAGCCAACTTAATAGCACTGAATTTTAAATATTTTGAAACTATATAGTTATAAAATTAGAAGGGTCCGAATTGTTATTCGAGACATTGTTTAAGAATATTATATAAACGCTACCTGTCTCTAAATAAATATCGTGAAAGATAGGATCATAGATAACAAACAGCTAATCAAGCTATCTCCCATTGGAGAACCAGCATTGTTATTGATGTACAGAGAAGGAGAACTTCTGGTGACTTGAGTGCCTTCTCTGGATATATACTGAGATACAATGGGGGCATTTGATGGGTGTTCTGTGGTGCTCACTCCTTTGGTGGTATCTATCTTTATACTATCTGGGGTAAGAACCTTTGAATTTGACAAACTACTTGGTTCGATATTTTCGCAAGAAGGGAATCTGGTCACAACTATGGTACTTGTAGCTTCTTCTTCGAATGTTGTTGTAAAATACTTTAACGACGTTGAATTATTTTCAGGTGAAGTTACGCTAGTTGAGCACAATGTTGTTATTGTCTTAGTTAGAACCATAATAGAGGTGTAATAACTTGTGCTTTGGTTAAGTTTATTGTTGGATGATATGGTTGATTCTGAATAAGAAATACTGTGATCAGAAATTTCAGATGTGGATAATGCTGAAGTAATAGAACTTATTTTGGTGGTACTAGAGGGAGAATGAGAAGAATCTGACATATGTGATTTTGATTTTAGCGTACTAGAACTAGTATTTGATGACAAACTACTCGAAATAACTGAGCTAGAAGTTGTTATACTGTTCAATGGCGTTGGAATATCGGAAGAGATTGGAGTTTCTGAGAATACAGAGGAACCGATGGAACTTGAGATGCTATCAATAGTGGAGCTCGAGATATCGGTGACAATGGAGCTAAATGTGGCAGATATGTGAGATGAAGAATACCCGATACTACTTGAGTGTCCAGAACTAGATGGATAAATATCGCTATCTGATGATGTAGTGCTACTTGAGACCACCATTGTGCTAGAGTCTAAATTCTCACTAGACGATATAGTAAAAACAGAAGTACTACTACCACTAGTTGATATAAACTCACTAGATGATGATGTGAGAAGTTCTGAGCTGGATGCTGCTGGAACACCAACAACATAAACTGTATTGACAGTGTAAATACTGATAGTAAGGTTATTGTAAATGCTGGTGTAACTAGATATTGTCTCGGTTACAGTGCCAGTCCATGTTACAGTGGTAGTTACGTTTGCTTCTTCATAGTTACACGATCTAATATCCCTTGCATACAGAAATTGATCGATGTCCGGATAAATGACACCATTTGGATCCGTCATTGAAAGATCAAGTACTGCACTACTATTCTGATTGACATACCTTATGTGTATAGAGTAGCTAAAATCTTTGATTAGGTACACTGAGTCTTCCGGCTTATTGTGTTCCGGATCGGAAGGAATACTGCTAACAAAAAATTGTTCAGCCTGTCTGTTAACATAATTAGTGTCACAACAGTATGAAGCAGTATCGTTTTCAATGTAGATATACGCTCCACTATCTGCTTGAACGTTAAATGTGTAATAACCATCTTCTGGAACCGAAATAATACCATTGATAGATAGTGAGAAGTTTGTAACTGTTATGTTGTCATTGTATAATGTACCTTCAGCAATAGTTTCTTCATCTGCATCAACTTGTACATTAAAGTTAACAGTCGATGTTTCACCATATGTTATAATGTCTGGATAACTATCGAGGTCATATAAAAGGTCCCACATTGATGTACCAGAGAACTCGCCAACAGGAAGACCATTTAACGGATTTGCATAGAGGTAATATTCTGATGATCTGCTTCCTAAGGTGTATAGCATCAGTTTACAATCAGCTATTGATTGGTCGGCCACAACTGAAGAAACAAGAAAATAAAATAAAGATAAAAGTAATATGAAAACCCTCATTTTTTTGAAAAACATAGATATATTATTTTGAAGTTCTCGTAATGTAATGAGCCTTTCATGTGCTTATTAAAGTAAGGAGAGAAAACCATTGGGTAGTTCGAATGATAATAAGAGTATATGCATGCTGTTTATATATGTGTAAAACGATTATCTTTAACGACAATCATTTTAACGGATTTCTCCTTTCGTATCAATCAACTGTGTCCTAAGTTTAGGTAACGATAGTTCTAATTATCAATAACTGCGTAACTTATATGTGCATGGACTATAAAAATTTTCTTTCTATAATTCCAGTTGTTCTACGAGGAGAAATTGTCCTTACCAGCATTTAATAGTTATCCAGCTTAGTAATTTCAAATTAATAAATTCTTATAAGGGGAAAATAGTGTACCCAATTAACTACAAGAGTATGTTCTATCTCTTTCAACCAGCTGATAATGATATTCCTTTTGTCTTGAGGTCCACGGGTACGCTTATTTCTTGAACAAAATTCCTTATGCGTTCTGTTTTGTTTTTCTTCAAATGAGAGATTGAGTGCACGCAAACTCACACCATATTGGATGCGTTTGGCTAAAAAATACTTGTAGGAAGCGTTTCATTTTGACTTTCTGATCCTTGCTGGTCAATCTGAAAAGATAAAGGAAAGAGAAAAGGATTTACCAGTTTTGCTGAATGCACACAACCGCCCGTACAATAACATCCCATAAAGACCCAAAATTATCACACAACTTAATATCGGAAAACGGCCAGCTCATAAAGGAGGCTCTTTGCCTAAGAAACACTATTTTGTGAGTCCATCTGATTTCAGGGGCGTACAGTCAAAGCTTGAAAACTCCTTCAACGACTTCTTTGAGTTGGGCAATAACGGGCGGGGGGGTGTTCTTGAGTATTCTGATTCTTTGTTTATTTTGTTCTCTTATGTAACTATTTCCGAACAAAAGAACATAACTTATGTAAAAAATAAATCTCGAGAGAAATGATTTGCATTCGTAACAACGATTATAGTTCTGCAAATTAGTGGGATGCTTTTCTGGTTCACCTATTAAATAAATGAAGCAAATTTTAGGCTTTAGGCTGGACAGCCAATCGATTTACTAACATAAATAAAGGCCATAAATAACAGCCTATGCAGTTTGGGACCATAATTTTATAGGGTGAAAACATTGCGTTGTACTGCTACCTAATTGCAGTCACAATCTGTACGGAACATGTGCAAGACTTGCTTATTTAGTATTAAATTTCTTTTTTTAGTTTATATATCCGAAATAGTATTTTGGAACTTGTTAATAGTTGTAAAAAAGATATTCATTAATATTCATTACTAGAGGAAATGCATTTTATTTTTTTTTGCCTTTTTATAATTTTTAAACATTGATGTGTTGTTTAAAATGTTAATAAATAATCGATACCTTTGGTGGTAAATCGTAATATTCCAAAAAAAAATGGTTTTGATATAAATAGAACAAGATATCAGTTAGCATGTAGTGTATAAAGCCGATGATACTACTTGATTATTTAATTCCTGCTTTTGGTGTATAGCATGATTTAACTTCAAAATTTAGGCTTGCCAATATATATATACAGGTCAACTACTTTTAACTAGGCTCTTGTATAAATTTATTCCTATCCACTTCTTTCAAAGAGATAAAATGCTGGATGTAATACGATAGATATAAATTCTCCACTGCGACTAAAAATACAGTTCATTAATTGTAGAGGCAAAAGAACAGGTTTGAATCAAACGGTTGATAATTGTACGGTAGAGAGTATAGTTGGAGAGTTTTCATCCATAATTCAAATAAACTACATTCATGAAAAGAAGTTGACTGATCTTCTTTCTAATCCATACCCTGGTATCTTAATTATCTGCATACTATATAATCATTTGGATTGGAACACAGAAGAAACATTTATGGCATTTTCCTCAATTACCGTGGGGATCTTTTCAGAAATCAAATTCCAAGTCTGAACACTGATTGAAAACAAATAAATTTTACATTCTCAGTTATTGGGGGGTGCAAAAAATATTACCATTTCAATGGATGCGGCGTGTGCTAGATGGATGTAGATAACTCTACCTCCAGATGAGTTCTATTTAGTCGCTTGGCACATCTTTCCAGTCAGAAAAGTTCGGAGCGACTCTTCAAAATCCCATTTCTTGTTTTGTTTTACTTCCCGCGATGTCTAATTCCAAGGCAACGCACACAAGTTTATTTTATGATGTAATTTCATCAATTGGTCACAGGCACAATTTCAAAGATCTGTACTTCAAAAAATCTTAGAAGATTAGTAATTAACTTAGAACTGCACTCGATTATTCTTCAACTAAATAAAGATATATAAAGAAGGTTGTCGAAAATTGTGAAAATTCTATTCAATATGCCTCCATAATTCAGGTATAGTCAGCCCAACGTCTGAATATCCACATCTATGACTTTAGTAACTACCCTTCCAAGGGTCAAAATTTTGGTCACGGGTGGAACGATTGCTGCAAAACGGAAACAGTTAAACAAGAGCGACCGATTACAATTTTGAAGTTGGGGTACAAGAAATGCCTGATGGAATTCCTGATGTATCGCACTTGGCTAGTATTGATTATGAGCAGATTTGTAATGTGGATTCTAAAGACATCGATGAAAGAATATTGAATACAATTTATAATGGAATTAAACAAGCGTTGAAAGATGATTATGATGGTACCGTAGTATCTCATGCTACAGATACTCTAGCTGAGACTACATATTTTGTGGAAAGTACAATTGACCAAGGTGACACGCCAATTGTCTTTGTTGGTTCTTTGAGGCCTTCTTCTAGCTCATCGCCAGACGGTCCAATAAATTTGTACGAAGCTAGCTCTGTAGCTGCCAACCGCTCATCAAAGGGCCGTGGTGTCTTAGTTACGATTAATGATCAAATCTTAGCTGGTTATGATATCATGGAGACTAGTACAAATGGCATTGGAGCTTTTGGTATGAAAAATGGTATTGTCGGCACATTCGTTAATAATAAAGTCTGTTATTTCTACGAACCTACTAAACCGTTCGGTTGCAAAACATTTAGTTTAGAGATGGAAACTTCGGTAAATACTCAATTAGATTAACCATCTGTTATGATAATGTATAGTCATCAATGCTTCAACTCCAAAATAATAGATATTATTGCAGAAAAAATAGATGGCCTCGTTATTGCGGCAATGGGTTCCGGTACTCTATCTGCAGATTTGAACAGCAAATTAGCAAACTTAAATATTCCAGTGATATATTCTAAAAAGGCAGCTGAAGGTTAAATTCCCACAACAAACTTACCAATGATAAATTCTGTAAGATCATCCAGCATTATTGCCTCAGGGTTTTTAAATCCTGAAAAAAGCAGAATCCTGTTACAATTATGTCTTGCGCAGAAATACTCTCATGACAGCATCAGAGAAAGATTTGCGGCAGTTCATGGTGGTTAAGTCATATATATATATAATTGTCTATATCATAAATATTTGTTTATTTTAAACTGCACCATACATCAGCTATTTTATTAACAGTCTCTAAATATAGCATTCTTCTGTTGATACAGTCTTTTTATTCGTTAGGGACATGAAATTGTCACTTTTTTATTAGCTGAATATGTAAAAGATTCTAATTCTAGGCATTATTTATAAGAAATACATAATGAATATTAAAAACCTTCGCACATAAAATTTCTACTTTTTGTTTTCGATTCATAGAAAGATACTTGTTTAGACTCCAGTTTTCTAGTCTTACGATTCATATTGAGCAGCACTGTCTTTAGCAGCACTGTATGACTTCTCAGAAGTTATTGATTCTAACCATTTCTTAATATGAGGATAATCCTTTGCTTGTGCAAAGCCACGTAAAAATGCCATTTGTAAAGGAAATGATAAAAGAATATCAGCGGCACTAAATTGTCCTCCAACAAAATATCCTTCATTCTTTGAAACTTCGGTTTCCAGGTAATCTATTTGGTTCTTTACTTCACCTCTTGAGTACGCACCGCTAATTTTATCAAGTACTCCGCGTACTAGGTATGAAAGAGGGAATGGACCAGGAGATTGGGCAGCCAATGAGTACACATACTCCATTAGCAATGGTGGTTGTAGTGAACCCTCTGCGTAATGTAAATAATATTGAACCTGCTCTGCTTGTTCGGGATCCTTCAAACTTAATATCTTCTCCTGGTCATAGTTCTCCAAAATATATTGGAAAATGTAACCGGATTCTGTAACAATCTTTGTTTTACCTGTTTGTTCATCCTTAATTTCAAGGATGGGAGAACGACCCAAAGGATGTATTTTCTTTAGTTCTTCAGGGGCACGATTATTTTCTCTGACATATGGGACCACATTGTATTCTAATCCCAAATGTTCTAGCAACCAAAGAACTCTGAAGGCTCTTGACTTATCTAAATAATGTAATGTAATCTTAGACATGGTAACTATGTATGGCTCACCTCGTAGGTTCAAAATGATGGATAATATCTGAATGTTTTGAATTGGGAGCAATTTCATCCCTCGATTCTTTAATATGAAAAAAACTTCTCTACCCGCCTCGCTTTTGTCGGTCTGCAGACATTTCAGATTTGACCGTAATGGAGTTTATTCCATGTCAGTATATGAAGATTGAGAAAAGATTTGTTTATTTTGTTGAATACTTTAGAAGTTAATGATAATGAGATCCTCTCGTCACAATCTAGTGTAATTGGTAATTTATGTCCAAGAATTAATCTCATAAACTGAAATCAGTTAGGTAACAATATTTTATAAATGAACATATTTTTATTCATGATGTTATTATATTCTACTCAACTGTGATAATATTACTAGCAACACTTTCCCTCCTTCTCTCTCTAATTTTTGTATACTGTACCAATTACAACTCTGAGTTGTATACTATATATTCGAATCACACTTGAAAATCGTCGCCCTTACCTAGGTGTTTTTTTTAACAATTCAGGGCATGATATCCTCACCCCTTTTGTCGAAGCTACGTCGTGACCCCAACTAGCCATCATTATATTAATAGTCTTCCATATATGGTGAAAACTTACTCCGTTTTTATCAGAAGAAGGTAAATAGCTATATGTCAATTGTTCCACTTAAACAAGTGTATCAATATCTGTTGTTGGTGAGTCTAATTAATTTTTGTCATCATGCGGTTATTGAGATCATTTATCTGGTAAAAGGCTATATTAAGATTAGTTGTGCAAACCTTGGAAATCAAAACATGTAACGTAGGTTTTGTAAAGACAATATTTAAATGTACTATGTTACGCATTGTGTATTGGTTGTGATGCGATCAATATCATGTACTTTTGTTGTTTGTGTCGTATTTTCACATCATTGTGAGTTCTCACTTTCTTATTTATTCTTCTGTTGATTCTTTGAATGTTTATCTAAATGTTTCTTCTGAGTAGCAATATCATTATTTACTTGCGTCTTTTTGTTGCAAGTAACCCATATAGCGGTTCTATGCTGACCTGCATCTTTTAAAAATATATAAAGCAATGAAAAATATTACTACCGATTCACTTATGGACGGGTGCAATCTCTTTACTAACTTAAATCTATATATTGTTTTTAACTTTGGATCCATCCAAAAGATGATATAACTAGCTGTTGCTATTAAAGATACAACTACTGAACTAATACGCCTTTATTATTTAATATCCCAAGATGGATATCCCTTTTTCCCAATACAATTGTTTAACGTTTAGTAAAGTTACAGATGAGGAGATGATGGTAGCTTTTATGAAAATAATACTTTATATGTGGTTAATTTACCCAACTAATATTGATATGCGGTTGAATTGTTTGGCCTACATTTGCAGTATCTTTACTTGTATTAAAATTATAGTAATTGGGGCTTCCAAGGTATAATTTTAATGGAAAGTAATTGGATTAAAAGTATATTTATCTATCTCTTTAGGTTACAAATATTATACAAGGGTTATCTAATCGACATGTCTTTCTTGTGTCTTCTTCTAATATCTCATCTTTGTTTATTCACTAATTTTCAGTATCGCATTCTGCACTATTTTATTCTAAATCTGTATGGTCATGACAATACAGGGTGGTAATTATTCAAAATAGTGCTGACAACAGACTACTTATTGTCAATGATTTAGAAAACCCTTCATCTTTTTATGGTTATTTAACTTTATATATATATCACTTATTTTTAGATATAATTAATGTGATAGAGCTTTTTTCGCTTAATTATACATATTCTGTGATTTTCAAGCAGATTCTTTACATTCTTGAGGTGCCAAATTCATCCGAGTTACTTTACCACACACTTTTTTCCCTGCTAATAATAACTCATTTGAAAAGCTATAAGGCTTACAAATTTGTGCACCATGTTTTCTTGCAATCATACCATAACAGGTGATGATTGGCCCCTATCTCAGTTCTCCATTGAGGCTCAAACAATAGAAAATAATGTCTCGAGAATTAACGGGCGCGTCGTAAATCTCGCAGTAGGATATTCTTTGATTGTTTTACGTTTTTCCAAAGCTTTTGATTAAGAGTCGCACACAAAACAGCGCGGAGTTTCATATTTTCTCTCGAGGGAATCAAGACCCTCAGCAGATGAGATCAGATTCATCGAGCATCATGTAATGTCACAAATATTAAATAAATATTTATTATATAAAGAGAACTGAACATTCAAATGAAGTTAAGTAAAGGGTTTTCTCTAAAAAATCAAAACTATTTCATTTTTTCTTCGAATTAGAAAAAACACAAGTATATTAAATATGAAGAATTTTGTTTATTTAATAATTAATTTGTTGTTGGGTTGCAACGTCGTACTTGCCCTTCCATTTTGGAAAAGAGTCGTGACATTGAATGTAAATCAGTCGGATGAAGAAATAGTTCAAAATATTATTATGCAACTCAATGAAACGTTGAAAAATAAAGATAGGTGTTCGGGGTGCATTGATAGATTACAAATCGGTAAAAATTTGGCAATTCAGAAACCTGATTTGGTTCCAAATGCTTTTACAGAGTGGTGCATAGTATCTGGTCAAGGAAGTAATTATTCATGTACATTAACATATGGTAAATCTACTGTTACAGGTAGTAGTACAGGAAGTAATATCGCAGATATGTTGTCCTTGATTAATCCTAGCGGATACGATGGTCAATTGTACTGTCATTATATGGAAAATGGTAAATGTCCAAAACCACAGACACCTGTTATTGATATATCCAATATGTGGCCTCCTAAGGCTAAAGAACATATGGTGGCTCCACTACCATCATTTAATGATACGTTTAACGTTTTGCATTTCTCTGATTTCCATATTGAATTAAACTATACAGTAGGTGCAGAGGCTAATTGTACCACGACAACAATGTGTTGCAGTATTCACTCATCCAATAAAGCTAAGCACAACGGGGCTTCGACAAAAGACGGGCATTGGAATTCTTTTTATGATTCCACTTATAATGATGATTTGACATTCTTAAAGGGGCCTTATATTGATGTCTTCAAAAATACGAATATCTGGGTCCCAGCAACATCGTTTGGCAATTATCAATGTGACTCTCCCGAGCTTCTCATAAATTCGTCTTTAAATTCAGCTATCAAATATGCTAAACAAAATGAGCTGGATGTTCAATTTACAATATTCACAGGTGATATCATTGCACATGATGAATCCAAGTATATATCATTAGAAACGGCCAAGGAATCAGAAGAATATATCTTCAGAGATATGAAGACTAATTTAGGAAATATCCCGGTGTATCCCGTGCTCGGTAACCATGACACTTATCCGTATGGTGAAATTGCCCCTGAGCAGTATGGTTTTGCAAACAAATTTACATGGAATGAAAACTTAACGGCAGATTTATGGCAGGGCTACGGTTGGTTGAATTCCTCTGAAGCTCAATACGCCAGAAAACATTACACTGGGTATTCTTTGGAGACACCACTAGGTTTGAAAGTTATATCTTTGAACTCTAATGTTTGGTTAAGACAAAATCATTACGCTTTTATCAATTCAACTGATCCAGATAATTTTGGCCAATTCAAATTTTTAATTGACGAGTTGATCCAAAGTGAGTCAATTAATCAAAGGGTATGGATTATTGCTCATATTCCACCTGCAGTTGGTGGATTACCCTTACCTTCTAATGTATTTGCCCAGATTGTCGAACGATTTTCACCTTCTACAATAGCTGGTATTTTCTTTGGACACACACATGAGGATCAATTCCAGGTCATGTATGCTGGTCCCGGAAATAACTCTAAGACAATTGACAATGTAATCAATAGTGCATGGATTGCTCAGTCTGTAACACCTTTTGTTGGTCTTAATCCGTCGTGGAAATATTATGAAGTAGATAGAAAGACATTTTCCATTATGAATGCTCATAATTTCTATACTAATTTGGATAGTACTTATTCTAACAACGGTGAAGAACCAAAATGGTTATATGAATACAGTGCAAGAACAGCTTATAATATTACGTGGCCTCTAGAATGGCCATTAAATGCAACATATTGGCACCTTGTTGCACAATCTATCAATAGCTCTGTTGTGGCAAAGCAAACTTATAAGAATTACAGTCGTAGGCTATCTCCATCGACTCCTGACTGTTCTAAATCTAACAGATGTAACTCGGATTTCTGTTTTGTTTCGACATTTACAGTAGATGAATATGATGACTGTATTGCTGCTCTCGGAAAGAACTCCTGAATACCTTTTTTTTTCACTTCTATATGTATATAGATGCATATAGCTCCACTGGTACCTTCGTCCTTTCCTAATTGGTTATCGCCAACCAATATAACTGTTTTTTAGAACATGTGAAAATTGCAGGATTATTTATAGTATGTACTAATTTATTTAAATTTAAGATATTTAAGTATAATAGATCTTTGGAATGAGTAAATTAAGAGAAATTTTTATTAAAATGTATATTAGTAGAATCTTAGATCTCATCATAATCTACCTTCATGTTTTAAAACTTGAATAGTAGTATCATCAATACAATCCTTCAATGTTCTTAATTGGAATCCTAATAACTCCCTCGTCTTCTTATTATCAACAACGGCACCTGGAGGATGATGTTCAACTGCCTTATCAGGACTACCAATTGGAATCTTACCTTCTAATTGAGGGAAATCGGCATTCAAGTAATTCAAAATGTCTTGAACATCAAATGCACCTGAAGTGACAAATAAACGTTCATTAGCTAAATTTTCTTCTTCAATTGCCAGAACATGACTCTTAGCAACATCACGAACATGACAACATTGAGTACTTAGGGGAGAAATATCTTCCATTTTGGTAGCATGGATGATCTGGTTAATAGTCTCGTTAGAAGCATTCAAATGTTCGTGAACATCCTCGTCAAATACTTGAGGTCCGAAGATATAAGATGGAATTACAGTTGAAAGCTTGAATTTGACAATATCTTTGTTTTCCTTATAAAATTTCCATGCTTCTTTTTCAGCAAAAGTTTTAGAGCCAGCATATGCTGATAATGGGTCTGTTTGACAACTTTCCCATGTGGTTGGATTCCAAGAATCTTCGTTGAAAGTAACAGAACTATCTTGAATCTTTGAAAAATCAGTAAGTGTCATAAAGCTAGATGTCATGACAAAACGCTCAACAGAATCAGCAGCATATTTCTTAATAGATTCTAAAATACCTAAAACACCGTTACGTGCTGGAATCAAAAGATCCTTTTCGTAACTATCAATATCCCATTTGGCAGGAGACGCACAATGAATTACGAATTTAATATCCTTACCGTGGGTCTTGAAAGTCTCTTCGAAGGCATCTAATTTTTCAAGATCACCAATAGCGACAGTTGTTAACCTTGGGTTGTTAAATTGTTTTACCAAAGCATCACCTTTATCTTGGGTTCTAACAGCAGCAATAACAGAATAGTTTTTCTCTAAACATTCATTAACAACATGTTTTCCTAAAAACCCAGTAGCCCCAGTAACAAAGACAGACATTTTATATATTTATTTGTTGTTTGATTCTTGTAAATTTAGTTATTGTTCTCTTTTCACAAATATTAAAAGGAGTAACAGAAATTTATGAAAAATGTTTATAACTGCTATCTTTCTATCTACTTATATATGTATCTACCTATCTTTTTCCTATTTTCCAAAAGTTTTTAGAAAAGAAATTGATAATAGTAGATTGATAGCGATTCCTTATTACATAAGTTACGTGTACTTAACCATGAACAGCTGCTAAGTTGCAATTAGATCTTGAAACTATTTGGTGTTGTCGATTGTTCAGTTCTCATTCAAGGGGGGGGGGGCTGTGGTAGACATTATTCGGTTCGGTGCGGACCGGAATAGTAACGGGAATAACAATTTTTTACTTGTACGTTATTAATACTGTACAACGGAACTGGAAACGGAAATTATTGTTGTTGTCGTTGTTTGGGATTAGTTAAAAGAAAATAAGATCAGCTGAAAATACCACAGTACTTACAAATCATTGTGATATTTAAGAAACTATTTTCTCCTACCTTAAACCTATTCAAGACTTGTACTGCTTTTTTTAGCGTACATGATTCATCACAGTTATGTTTGTAATCAAGTTACTAGATATTCAATAAAAACTTTTATGTAAAATACTATTCTCGGCCGAAGTTTCATATTATAATTAAGTGATATTTTACAAAATCCGAGCTTCACGTGATTTGGAATGCAGATTGATGACGAATTCGGCCGTGCAACGATGGACAGATCTTATAAATTGCCTTCCTTGGTTAGTTAATCAATTTTAGAACAATTCGGAATTAATGTTTGTTTATTTTTTCAGGGGAGAGCATGACATCGCATTTCATCTCTGTTTTAACAATCAGCAATTCCCAACTTAACATTACTATAAAAAGAGACCACATATGGAAGAAAACTCATAAACATTCCAATGTTGTCTTACTTAACAAAAAAAATTCAACAACAACAAAAAAGTATACAATAATTTAAAATAAAATGTCTTTGCCTACTACTATGAACGCTGTTGTTATTGAAGGTAAAGAAGCTGTCATCGAGAATAATGTCCCATTACCAGAGTATCCAAGCAATTATATCTTGGTGAAATCCAAGGCAATGGGAGGTAATCCAACCGATTGGAAACATATTGAATACGGCATTGGTCCACAAAAATCAATCGTTGGTTGTGATGTCTCTGGTGAGATAGTCTCCATGGGACAAGATGTTGACACAACAAAATTTCATATAGGTGATTATGTTTTTAGTTTCGCACATGGTACTTGCGTAAGAAAACCGGACAATGGTGCATTTGCAGACTACGTAGCATTAGATTCTGAATTGACTTTCAAATTACCGAAAAATACAGAATTCAGTAATAACGATGTAATTTCTGAGGGGAAAGTCATTTCTTTTGAAGAAGCAGCTTCAATTCCGTTATCCTGGTTTACTGCAGGTGGAGCATTATTTCACGAAATGAAATTAAAATACGATTGTGACGCCAACAAACCTCAAAACAATTTTCCATTACTTGTCTGGGGTGGTGGTTCAGCCTTGGGGCAGGCAGTTATTCAACTCGCTAAGAAATATCATGGGTATACAAAAATTATTTCAGTAGCTAGTAGAAAGCATGAGAAACAACTTTTATCATATGGTGCTGATGAAGTTTTTGATTACCATGACTCCGATGTAATCACACAGATTAAAAACAAATATAATAATATCCAACAATTATTTGATTGTGTTTCAACCTTGGATACTTTACAACAAGTTTATCAATGTGCACCAGATTCATTAGACGCAATTGTTGTAAATTTCACTAGTAAGTTTATTAATGACATTAAACCAGAGTTGAGAAGAGCAAATGTTAACGTCACAAGAACAGTGGTGTACTTGTCTCTTGGTTACGATGTGTTTATGGCAGGAAATAAAATCCCAGCTGATCCACAATATAAGAGTGACATGGCTCAATTTACTACTGAAATTAATCCAAAAATTTTAAACGGTGAATTCCATCATCCACCAATTGTTGTCTACAAGAACGGTTTACAAGGTGCAATTGAATTGACCCGGGATATTCAAAATGGGGTTAACGAGGGTAAGAAGCTGGTTGCTACCTTCCGTTAAAAGCTTAGCTTATAAATATTGTTCATTAGGAAAGTATATTTATATATATGTATATATCGCATAGTTAGAGAAAAAGATAGAACTTAGTCCTTATATCTATCATGAGTTAAAATTCTGCAAATTATACCAAAGAATACAAAAGTTATTTGGTTAGTTATTAAGAAGTTCTAATTGAGATATATCATTATAAGACTTCTTACATTGTAGCCTCTTTTTGTTCTTCATTTGTGAATATATTTAATGCTTATTGCAGAAAATTATCCGTTCAATTTGATGATAAAAAGCGCGTACACTATATTTATGTTTGTTTTCCAATCTTCAAATATGGGAGCTTCATGAATATATAATTTATGATATATTGTACTGACCTTGGCGTTAAAACTTTAAACATATTAAAAGTGTTTATTATAATATTATATCGTACAAATGTAATTATTTTTATAGAACGTAAATTGATGTGCTGAATAACTTGATACAGCTATTTGAGAAATGTTTATTTAGAGTAACCGTTGTAAAACCAAAAAAAATGTTAAATACTATCAAAGCATCTACAAACAGATAGAGTCAACAGAACCGTAGGTATTTAGGAAAACTTCACCAATAGTGGTAATAGCAGAGGAAGATCCAGCTAGATCACCCAATAGAGTGGATGGGTTTAGACAGAATTTGTAACCACCATCGTTAGTAATGAAATCAGTGATTTCAGAAGCAATACTGGACATGTTGAAGTTAGATAATTGGGAAATAACATCAGAAATATCACCACCTGTGGTGCTCTTGATGTTGTAAGAAATCCATGAGATAACATTAGAACCAGCTTCTTGAGCAGCTTGTTCTAGGTTGTCACCAGCACCGGAAGCGACGGATTTTAGTAAAGTAACAGCGTTTTCAATATCTTCTAATGGAGAGGAGGAAGTCAAATTCTTAACTGTGCTGATAGCAGTTTGGAAATCATCGATAACAGTTTCGGCAGCAGTCTTAACCTTGTCGGCAACATTTAAAGCTTCTTCGATACTGTTGGTAGCATTAGCGAAGTTTGGAATACCTGGAATGGCACTAGCAACTAATTTAGATAATTCAGCTAAATCGGTGTCACCTAGGGAAGTAACTAAATGTTCACCTAGAGAGGAGTTGAAATGTAGAATTGTGTCAACAGAGCTCTTAGCAGTGTCGATAATGTCTTCAGCCTTGTCTTTGACTTCGGCAGCAGCACTGTGAATTCTATCTTCAACATTGCCAATAGCACTGTGAATTTTGTCTTCAACGCCATCAACCTTACTCTTGATGTCATTGTTAACAGAATGAACCTTAGCAATAGCAGCCTTGGTATCAGATTCAACCTTGTTTAGAATGGTAGCAGCACTAGACATGTTGTAGACACCAAGTAAATTTAAACCAGCATCGTCTAGAACTGTCTTGACTTCACTTGGAATAGCCTTGACATCAGCTAGAACCTTACTCAAGATGTTAACATGAGCAGAAGTAGCAGCGGCATTAGTAGAAGTGGTAGCAGTAGCAGTAACTGAGCCAACATCGTTTTGGTTTGCAGAAGCAACGATACTGGAAGCAGCAGAAGCAATAACACTAGAGTCAGTACTGTTAGAGTAACCAACAGTGTTGGAGACACTTGAAGCTTGCTTACCAACGGCCAATAGAGATGATAGAACAGCAGCAACAACATTTTCACCTAAACATAGTGGGTTAGAAGAACCGGAACAGGAAGTTGTAATGGAGTTAGAAACATTTGTTTCTAGGTTGGTAATGTCATTCTTTAAACCAGAGATAGCAGAAGTTAATAGACCTCTCTTGGTTAATGGGACAGCGACAGAAGCACTTAGTAGCACGGCAAGGGACAATAGTGTAGCCTTGGAAAATGGAATGTTAGATTTAGCCATTGTGAATATAATTGGTCGTAGTTGTAATAAACTTGATGTTATGTTGTACACTGCTCTTTTATATGTAATAATAGATATTAAGAAATTATGAAAGAGAAAGTTTTTCAAAATAAGTTGTTTAGCCTCATCTTTTTATAATAAATTTTTTTGGATCCTGAATTTATTGATTCTTTGAATAAGTCAAAAACTTTTGTCCTGTTTGCACTCTGAATTAACAATCGTTATCGTATACATGATCAGTAATACCTGTACAAAAGTTATTTACGTTCAATTTTTGTTTATTTTTGTCAACCTTTTGTTGATTTCTATTTTCTATTTTCTGTTATTGATGTAAAAATAGTGTGTTCAATCAACTATAAAAACTAATACGGAAGTTAATCTTTTTGATTTGTTTTCTTTATTTGTTCATTGGTATCCATCGTTTAGAATATATTGAAGGTATGTTAAGTCAATTCGCAAAATAAGAAACAAAAAATGAGAAACACATAGAAAAGTAACCCTCTACTAATTATCTCGAAGGGTACTTTGAAACATGCGATTCTTCTGCCTTGTCACCACAGTCGTGTTCCCTCTATAAAATCAAATGTTTCCTTAGCAACACCCAAAGATAGAACTGTCTTGGATATTATACAATGAGCAGAATGCCATTTAAGTGACTATTTCTCCTTTCGACTATTCTTTGAAAACAGGTTTTTCTTTTTCCAATTTTATGAGATCCACATAAAAGTATGCGTGAAGAAGCCATCATCCCTTTCCCACATTACAACCGTTCTTAGTAATTCTGCAAGGATTAATGTTCAAATATTTCTGTCCCACCTATACAGGACTTTTCAACAATAAACATGATTTCTTACCATTGTCTTTACATAAACACTTCAACGAGGGACAAGTTCCCTAATGTGCCAATGAAAAGTAGGAACAAAAATATATACGTCCTTGTAATGTGCCTTCAAACAATGCCTATATTTTGTATCTCTTGGCCATGACTCTTTTCCTAAAAATTCGTTACTATGAACGATTGTCTTGTATTTGTCGAGCGAGGTTCCGTAGTGCGGTTTTTTTTTTCAAAATTTTTTACATTTATTTCTTATGTCAGATCTCGTTTTTGTGCGCCGTTTTCTCTAGATATCAAAAAACATTTCATTTAGTATTATTATCTTGACAGTCGAAGGCACTTCAAACAAACAAATATAAAGCTATCCGCCATGGTTTATATGTACTTCCGTAATTGGGCATAACCATGGACTTAGTCAGTCGAGCCTGCAGAGGCCAAATAGTATATTAGGTGGATTGGAAATAGAGAGAGTTTGATTGAGAAAGATCTTTTCCAGATTGTTACTTTCCGTGGAGATTAATATCAACGGAAGTTTGTTCAATGGACGCAGGGAAGGGCCTTCATTTTACATTCATTCCCTTACACACAATGGTAAAATTCAAGTTTTTGTCTTAAGACAAAGAAGAAGAGAAGTGTGAATGCTATAAAATATTTTATTATTGAGGATCCGTTTGCTATCCGTTAGCCATTGTTAGTTGAAAACAATTATAAATGGGTGGCGAACAATTTTCAAATTTTATTCTGCTTTCTGTGCATTTTCTTAACAAAAGTCATATAAATGTTTTCAAATATGTCGACATATACCCGAATATTGCAAAGAGTCGTTTGTTTTATTCATTGTTAGTTTCTATTCTCGAAACGTTGTTAAGTCTAGATTCCTTTGTTTCAAATACCCTTTTGTACATAGTTAAGAATGAAAATAGTTGTTTTAGTTATTGTTCCATTTTCTGAAGAGTTGCTGTAATCTGTGTTCCGAAAATGACATACCAACGTCTGTTTTTAGGTTATACGACTTAGTAAACGCTTAAAATAATAAAGTAAATCAATTTATTATAGTAAATATCTTTTTTTTGTTTTTGAACATTTGAAAGAATAAGAATGAGTTTCATATTTTAGATATTCAATTCCAACTAGAGATTATTTTCAAATAATTTTGGATGTCAGACAATAGCATGTATGTCATTGCATAGCGTTTAAAATTTTTGCCTAATGAGTTTATTATAATTTCGTTTATCAATTTTTTTTTTTGCCTTAGGAGTACATAATGTAAAATTTAATAATTAAAAGAAGGGAAGTTGGTGGAAGCTTAAAGAAGACTCAGAAGAAAAGGTAACGTCACCTAGCAATCTAATTCTAGATAGATGAGGTATTGTTATCATCTTCCTCCATTTTCTTCGAGATCGATGGTAAGTCGATTGTGTTTCAAAACCCTTCGGCACCGAATAAATAACCTTTTTCAAGTTACACCAATTAAAGAAGTTTAACTATATTCTTTTTTTAAAAAATGCTTAGATAAATTTTTAGAATAAAGATACTACAATAAAGTTGTTCTGCATGCTACAGATTTAATGATTTTCACAAGGGTGTAAAGTAATTCAAAACGTTCGTCAATCGAAGAGAAAAGGAAGAGTTATTAGACAAATTAACTATCCATTTCTCAAAATCACTTTGATAACTTATTCTAAACATTGATTATGTTAGGTGAAAACACCTAGATTAAACTACTCTTCATCTGGGTACTCGTAAATTATGTAAATATGTATTACGAGACTTGCTAAAATCAAAAAAATGTACATACTAAAACAATATTTAGTGAATTGTGTATAGAAGGGAACTTATTAAGTTTTGATAATAAAAGTCTTTAGCAAGGGTTGCACACTCTTTATCCTCGTTTTGGTTCGGCCGAATCAATTTTTTTATTCGGCCGTTCTTTGCTCAATGTTGAATAAACCGTAGTGAAAGTTAGTTTGTTGGTCGGAGTTACTAGTCAAATCTGGTATCCCCGAGCACTCTGGCACGTGATCAGATAAATGAAAAATTTGAGATACATACTAATTTCTGGTAAATGCAACGATTTAAGGAAAGATCTCCGGAGATGACATGTTGCAACTTAAGAATGTTTAGGGGGTATTCCTAATTAAGATATCTAACTATCTAACAAGATGATGGTATATAAGTTCCTAATAATGTATTAATTCTATCTTTGGAAAAAATTGATTGCTTAATTTTGTATTAAATTGTTTCAAAACATTTTTTATAGTGATGATTGTAATTCTTCCGTGGAATTAATAGTAATATACGTAGGAAAAAAAGAAACGGAATAAATCTCATTCTCGTTTAGGTAATTGACTAAATTTTCTAATACAGTAATATGAGTGTCTTCGTTACTGGTGCTACAGGTTACATTGCCCAACACATTGTGCAAGAGCTTCTAAAACAAAATTATAAGGTCATCGGTTCAGCCAGATCTCAAGTAAAATGTGATAATTTAATTAAGAATTTTGGTTATAATAAGAATTTTTCTATGGTAGTTGTACCAGATATTTCTGAACTTAGTGCTTTCGATGAAGTTTTTCAAAAATATGGCGATGAGTTAAAAATTGTATTACACACTGCATCGCCTTTCCACTTTGATGTTAAGGACGTTAAGAAGGAATTGTTAATTCCTGCGTGTAATGGTACTTTGGGTATCCTTGAATCTATCAAAAAATATGCTCCTGATAAAATTGAACGTGTAGTAGTAACTTCGTCGTTTGGTGCAATTATTGATTTCACTAAATTGGATGACAAATCCTTTACTTTCGATGAAACTTTGTGGAATCCTGACACCTGGGAATCCTGTCAATCCAATCCTGTATCCGGTTACTGTGCTTCTAAGAAGTTTGCTGAACAAGCAGCTTGGGATTTTTGGAAACAAAATAAGGATGTTGTCAAATTTAAATTATCTACTGTCAATCCTGTTCACGTTTTTGGACCACAAGTATTTGATTCGGATATTAAGGAAACAATGAATTGTTCTTGTGAAGTTATTAATTCAATTTTGAAAGGAGGCCCAGATATCCCTGTTAACCCTAATTCAAGAAATCAATTTATTGATGTACGTGATATCGCCCGAGCTCATTTACTAGCTTTCCAGAGAGAAAACACAATAGGTAAAAGATTGGTACTATCATGTGGTGATTTTAATCAACAAGATATTATCAATGTTCTTAATACTGATTTTCCATCACTTAGAGGGAAAGTTCCAGCAGGAAATCCAGAAAACGGTATCCTTGGAACCCACACTGGGGCAATTGTCGATTGTTCGAAGACTAAAGAAATTCTGGGATTTGAATTTATTGATTTTAAAAAGACTGTTGATGATACTGTTGAACAAGTATTAAGGGCCCACGGCGAATTTTAAATTTCCGATAAAGTCCTATACTTTTATCATTTATTTACACTAATATCCGAAATGACTAAAAAACCATCAGAAGAAAAGAATTACCGAAATAAAAGTATTTCTATTATAATTACAATTTAAATTTAGATGTATATAACTGTGTTGGTGAATTAGTAGCAATTAGCTGTTATCTTGAATAAATATTTGTTATATTTCTTTTAAAAATAGACTTTTTTGGGGTTTTACGGAAAAGATATAAATTAATAATATGAATTATTTAAAATATTGGAAGTAGTAACTTAGTATCTCCTTTTATATAATGAAGATCTTTCTCCTTGATGAGTAATCACTTTTGGAAAAATTCTCAAGTCTTAAAAGAACAACTTTAACCACTGTTCTGGTTTCTACGTCTACTTAAAGTGGATTTATTCTGCCGCTACTATGTTTTCTTATTAAGCTGATCATATAGGAGCACTTCTTGGTTTATCTCATTGAAAAGGTTTAGATGGTTGTTTCGCTAACACCATTGATTTCAAAAGTTTCATAGTTCATGCAATTAACTTCTCCTTTTCACAAGAAAATTTTTAATTTTTGTAAAAATATATACATATTTGATCGGACTAAAATATCACAACTGCTTTTATGTACCTGCCTAAATAAACAAATTTTTCACTCCATTAACTAATCTCAATAATCAAACTATTTTAATTAAAAACCAGTATTATCTGTCTAGTAGAATCACAACAAATAGCTCAAAATGAATAAATAATTAAATTTTGTAAGAGAGAAAAAATAAATAAGGTAATTATAAAAAGATATACAAGAAGTAATCTATTGAAAGGTTATATTTTTTGACATGGATCTTGCCTTCACATGACGCATTTATGAATATATATGGGTCTTAGATTTTAATTATAAGACTTTTGTGTGTGTGTTCTTGGATTCAAATATTTAGAATTCGTCTAAAAATGGTAGTTTAGAAACATCACCAATTGCAACGTAACTAAACTTACCTAATTTAAAGTTTTTCACCGTTTCAACCTTCAATGGTTCTTGAGTTTCTGGTAAGATTGATTGTTCATTGGCTAATGCAAACTCAACTTGTGCTAACTCTTTAGCAACAGAAATATCTTGACCTTTCTTTAAATTGGCAATGATTTCTTTAATATTCTTGGCAACAACAGTAGCATCGGAACCCTTAACATATAAAGAGAATAAACCATGGGAGCCATTGAATTTATCAAAAGATACAGTATCGATAACATCAGATAAAGGATAAATTGGAGAAGTTAAATATGCTTTTAACACTTCATATTCAGGAATGGAGGTTTTAACCACAGGAATAGAAATTGCAGCAACTGAAGTACCTTGACTCCTAATTCTTGTTTCACCAACAAATGATTTTGGTTCTTTAGAAACTTTTAAAGAAGTACCTTTTGGTAAAGTATTAATTAATGAGTCGGCAACCAATCTCTTTAAGTCATTTTCATTAATACCAGAACCTTCAATTTCAATATTTTCTTGAGTATAAACTTTGTTTGCATAAGTTTTGATATCATCCAATGTAATTTCTTCAACACCATCAAATAATAAAGGTTTACCTAAATCCGTTCTGTAAGTAGCATTATATAATGCATCTTCGGCGATTTTGATTGGATTTTGTTGAGCAACTGCTAAGTCATAACCAGCAGCAGGTGCAACAGATTCAACTAGTTCGTGAGGTTTAAATGATGTCTTATATAAGACATTAGCAATAGCATTTAAATAATATGGCAAATTTTCCTTTAAGAATGTTGCTTTTAAAGTAATGAATTCTCTATCGATTGTTGATTCTAATTTACCACCTAATAATTCAGATTCTCTTACAAGTCTTAATGCAGATTTATCGTTAGTTGTTTGAAAATTAAATCTAGATAATAAATGAGCTAAACCATCTTTGTCTGCGTAACGAGAACCTGCATGGACTTTAACAGCTAATGTAGAAGTTTGTCCAACATTATCAAGGGAATTGATAGTATAACGTCTAATAGATTGTTTAATTAGTTGTGATTTAACAGTTTGGGAGAACATAGTAATTCAATGAATGTGTTTTATTTATATATATATTGGTCTTCAAAAAAAAGGGGGGATGAAGGAGGGAAGAATAATCAGTTATAATGGAAAGAAACAGAAGATTGATAAATTGTGTAATTATTTTTTTGAAAGAAAAAAAATCAAAATAAATTGTGCTAATGGTATTTCAAAATCCAAACGATACAATTTTTGTTAAAAATAGTAAATTATTTAATAACAACTAATTTATTGTGAGTTTTGTACTAATCAGAATGTAATGATCGTTATTTCAATAATGTTATATATAAACGAATAAAATATAAGATGTACATCAGCAAATATATATAATATATACAAAGGAGACTGATAATTAATTGTTATTAACTTCTGTATTGTTAAGTTTCAATTCTATAAAGAAATCTTTCCAAGAGCCTATAGTTGTGAGCTTTACTGATGAAAATTAAGTTACCCTGGTTGCCCTCCTCGTAATTTTAGTATGGAGATTACGGAGATGATTTAATTTGCGGAAGAGAAAAACAGAAAATCTGGCTGTTAGTTATGTGGCCCGGTAGTGAGATATGATTGGTTCGTGCCGAGTGATGCAAGTATTTTTCTTTTTCGACGATGGAAGCCCTAGAGTAGGGTTTGGGTGTACAACCGAAGGGTTGTGAACGGGTGTGAGAATTATTTTAGCCGCCGGGGAGAAGATAGGCGGCTAAGTTGTGAACTGTTCTTATAAGAAGAAGAAGAAGAAGAAGAAGAAGAAACATTCGACTTAATACTTTACACTCTCATATCCAACGAGGAATTGATAAACAGAATTCGGTAGACTTATAGCAAATAGCACAACAGTTTTGGTCAGGTCATTTAGGGAAACGAACATTTATAAGAGTTCGTATGTATATGTTAAAGGCAAATTTTACTATTTACAATGCATGAAAGAACTCAATGGAAAAAAGATGGTACCAATTGCGATAAGATGTTATGGTTGTATTTTGAACCTACGAGGACTTTTTTTTCCTTTTTTGAACGTGTTCTAAATTAGAAAATTCAATTTATATAATAGAACACTTTCATTGATGGCTTCCATTTATTTTGATTGAATTCTTTCTCTGCATGTACTTCTCGAGGGTTACATCAATACTAACTGTATTAGAATAAATATATATGAATAAACATTTATGAAATTTGGATTGTTTGTAAAATTCAACTCAACACTATATTGGATAATTTGTTTATAAAGTTTACTGTAACCACGAGTAATTCACCCTACTATTTTGCATATATCATCTAGTGTGAATTAAAATACTTTCATGTGATTACTATCCTTTTTTAATTAAATTTTGGTGTATTGAAGTTTATATCATCACATACGACATGGTGTTTTTCGTTTTCATCCCTGTATGTTTTGGAAAAAAAAAATCAATCAAACCATTAGTGCCTTTGAAGCGAAATCTTCAATTTTTTTTTTTTTTGGTGATGAGCCAGTTTGTCTAAGATCAAAGTTTTCAGTAATATTTTCAAACGGTTAAGTATAATCATACTGAATTTTACAAAGATCAAGTAGTATTAAATACAAACATACTTAATAGGGCAAGATATACACTATCATAAATTCTAACCTAAAATTCGTATACACAATGGAAGGTTTAGAAATTCCAAATTTGCCATCGGATCAACAAACCGTAAATGGATCAACTTCAGATCATGAAAATGATGACCCAGAGTTTCAACCATCTGTATCATCTTTGGAACAAAGAATTGAAAATCCAGAAAAGTTTCTTTATACTGAACTTATTAGAGCTAATCTTGGTGAAAGAGCAGCTTCTATTATTGATTTATTAATCTCATTGGGAAGATTATCTATTCGTGAAATGCACAACTGGTTAAATAGGAATCTGGCTACTTATTCTTCAAGTACTGAAAAGGAATGGTCTATCAAAGATATTAAGACTACAATTGTCCCATTAATTCAATTAAGATGTTTAAAATATTTTGAAGAAACATCATTCTCCGGGAAAAAAACAACTTACTACTATTACAATGAAGATGGTCCACTTTTAATGCTATATTCAGGTTTAATTATCGAAGAAATGAACAGATTATATCCGCCAAACTCAGAAGAGTCTGATATTTCAGCTGCACAAATTATTCAAAACGTATTGACAGTTGGTTCTATTTCATTATCAGAGTTTTCTGAAAATTTGACTGAGGATTCTAAAATTTCAAAGTATACAGTTTCAGAAATATTCGTTAAATTATGTGATGATAAATTTTTAACCCCAATCTCTAAATTGAACTATACTCCCTTAGCAGATTTTTGGACAGTCCTATACGATAAACATTATAATGCTATCCCAAGAACATCTGCTTTATCAGATTTAAAGAAAAGAATGGAAGCCAAAGGAAGAGCTAAAGAAGAGTTTTTAAACATTATCAAGAATAATAATGAGCCATCTAAGGTTATAACTACAGATCCACTTACATCATTGAGGACAGTCCACAAAAATGTTCCTCTGACATTTAATATTGATCGGTTCTTAAAATCAAGAAGATCGAAACATTTGGTTCAATTATCAAGATTTAGAATAGGTCCAATCTCAGCACAAGTCTACAAGGCTGCCTTGAAATTAACAGAAAAAAGATCGGTTGATTTAATTCATCCTTTGACCAAGACTGGTCTATTGCAAGATTTGGATGAAGCCATTGGTATCCATGATGATGTAACACTAATGGAAGAAAATGGTGCCACTTTTAATGCCATCGAACTTGCCAAACACCTACCTCCTGACATCCAATTAAAAGGTAGTCTTGTCACCCAAAAGAGAGAAACAGGAAGTAATAAAAGATCAAATGAGGAACAAGACAGCTCGGTTGCTAAGAAGAAATTAAAGACCAAAGATGGTTTTGTCATCCCAAGTTTACCAAAACATGTTTCTGAAAATATAGGAGATAAAGAAGATTTAGATAATTCTGATGGCGACATGGATATGGATGACGATTTCAATGATACTTCAAACTCCGTTAATTTGGTCAACATGCATTTAAAATTACTCTCTACATCTAGCATCCCATTCCTACAAGAGACTAGACCAGGTGTTTTCTATGTTCCATATACAAAGTTGATGCCTATTGTAAGATCTTCAGTGTATGATTACATAATTGCATCTACATTGGGTCAATCAGCGATGCGTATACGTCGTTGTATTATTGCAAATAGATTAGTGTCCGAAAAAGTTATTAATTCTATGGCTCTAATGAGGGAAAAGGATATAAGGAGCACAATAGCAGCCTTGATAAAATACAATGTCGCCGAAATTCAGGAAGTTCCAAGAACAATGGATAGATCTGCAGCTAGAGCAGTATTCTTATTTAGATCAAAAGAAAGTCATTCCTATAGTTTCATGAAACAAAACTTAGAGTGGAATTTGGCCAACCTTATATATAAGAAGGAAAAGTTAAAGGATGAAAACACAACACTGTTAACCAAGGCGAATAGGGAAGATGTTAAAGGTAACGAGGCAGAATTATTACTTTCTAGTGAACTCAACCAACTAAAGATGGTTAACGAACGTGAATTAACCACTTTTACAAGATTGACAAGAGTCATATCTTTGTGGGAAGTTTTCAGATTTTACGTTTAAAAACAAAAAACGTAAAAATGAACCCCCCCTCCATTCGACGACTGGACAGCATATTTCTTACTTTTGTAAATTAAAATAATATTTGAACATTTTAAAAAGTACAACATCTCAATTTTTTTAATAAATTTTCATTACATTACTATTATATAATTTATTATTTAAAAGCATTCTTTGATAGACACGATAGCTTCCTTATTCCAAGGACATAAATAAACACTTTTCTGAATATTTCTTAAATTACCCTTCTGATAATAAAGATCACTTAATTGGCCAGCGGTAATTTTGTTTTGGCCCTCGGCTGCAATACGTTGTTGTATTTTCTTATCAATAGTAGCCCATGATTCATTATTTTGAGGGAATAAGAAAGCAATTCTCTGAGAATAATAATCTACGTGAAGTTTTCCATTTCGTTCACCCCTCTTATTATCCTGTAGTTTTTTCATAAACTCTTTAATTAAATATGGAATATCTTTGTGTCTATCCTGAGTCAGGTCGTATAAAGACAAGCCCAATAAGTGGTTTAATGCAATCTTCAGATCAGCTTCTTTATTTTGGATGAAAGTCATGGCACTGATCAGAAGGGTGGTCATAATATCAAAGTTATGAGAACTAGTATATTCCATCAATTCTTGCAATGCAATGGTTTTTGAATCATCAGTTCCGACATCGTATAATACTTTTGAGAGTAAGGAGACTAAAGATCTGCTTTCTTTAGATAATTCAAGAAGTTTTTGAAATTGGTTTAACGTTTCATTGAAATCGTCCAGGAAAAAGTATGCCAGTCCGAGGCATACATGATTTGATAGAAGAGATTCGAATCCAGTTGCATCAGGTGATACCGTTTCCATACTTTGATATAAGATATTTTCAGCTAATGTGGCATTCTCAATCGCCTGTTCATACTCTCCAGCACCAATTTGGATACGAGCAATTTGTGACTTTAAGATAGCAAAGTTAAACAGTTCAGTATCATCCTGTGATATTTCGAAATGCTTTTCAAGTATATCCATAAGTCTGGTGCATAGATGTTGGGCTTTTTTGAAATTATGAAGTCTTTCTAAAGCGACCAATGCACATTGAATGGCATAGGGATTGTTAGGGTTCTTTTTGAAGTATTGCTCTAAACCAAAAATCATTGCAGTGAATTCTTCAAGCGCATCGATATCTCTTTCATCATCTCCTTTGCCAATTCTCATATCAAGTACACTCTTAGCATATAACAATTGTGATATCTTGGAGCGGCCATTAGATAATACGAAGGAGTGGGTAAATAAACTGTGACTTTCTTTGCTAGCACCTTCAGTTTCTTTTATCAATGCGAGACCCAACCAAGGAGATGAATTTTGAGGCTCCAAACTTTGCGTCCTAGATATAACTTCAGATGCAAAGCTAATATCATTATTTTTTAAGCCAAGTATAGCTAGGTTGAACCAAATATTAATATCTTTTGGGGATAGTGCAACCGCTTTGATAAAGCAATGTTGCGAAACTCTATAATTGATATCCATAGTTACCAACCCTAATGCAACCCATGTCTCTATGTTATTTGATTGATAATGGATAGCCTTTTTGAGAGCAACAATAGCGGCATCCCTGAATCTGCTTTCTTTTAAGGTAATAAAAGTAATGAGCTCAGTAATACCAATATTGTGCCAGCAAGCAGATTTTACAGTTGCAGCCAGTTGTTCAAATGATGTCGATGAGACTGCATATTTAGCGGACAGAATTAAAAACTGTGTGGTAATTGAAACGTTGTCTGGATTTTCCTCAGATAATAACTTATCAATGTTTACATTATCAACAGAATCAATATCCTCTGTATTTTTTAATTCAGTCTTTTGAAAGATTTCTACAAGATTTTCGATAGGTAAGTCATCTATCTTTGACTCTACCAAACTGAATAAATATATCGCCTTCGATAAAATAACCCAGACATTTTGGGTAAAGCACCCCAAATTGCAAATTGCAATTTTAATAGATTCGATTGCTTCAATTGTAACAGAACTAGACTTCATTAAATAACCTTCATCATATAAATCATACGCGTAGCTAACTAGTTGATCTGCCAACAATATTCTTATCGCTTCCTGTTCTTGTACTTCGATACACAATCCGTTTAAGATCGGAATCGAATTTTCAAATTCCCCTATCTCTGATAGTGCCTTTGAATAGAAATATCTTCCAAATACATGTTTCTCATCCAATTCAAGTACTTTTTCAAAGACTTTAATAGATGCATCGACACGGCCACATTCTAAATACGCTTGACCTAAACCAACCCACGATTCAGTATCTTGAGATTCAACACGAATTGCTGATTGAAACCATTCAATAGATTCAGCTGCCATTTGTTTTTCAATAAAGGAAATACCCATTACTCTATAAGGCCAATTCACTTTTCTAAGGATATTCGTTGCATTTTCTTCTTTGATCAAACGGCCACAGATCTCAGATGCAGATTCCCAGTCAGTACTATCACAGTATACTTCTGTAACAAATTTAGCTGCTACGATATCACTAGAATCCAATTCGAATGCCTTATAGTAACACTTAAATGCCCTGTTAGTATCTTTAAAGTACGTTGCATAAATGTCACCTAATGTTGAGTAACTCTTAGCAAATGTATCAGAACAGTTCTTTATGATTTGAATTAAAAGTTTAAATGCAATTTGAACATGTTGTAAATCCGTATCACTTCCTGATTCTTCTTGTCTTAACAAATAGGTCTTTGCTTGTCTCCATAACGTTTCTGATTTGAACTCCATTGTACGATTATCCCCACCCTCGATCTTGTTGATTACAGTGGTGAATAGCTCTAGTGATTCATCTATCTCATGGAGGTGAGCTTTACACCATGCTAATTGGGATTGAACTTCCAAATTCGATGGGACCTGCTCTACTACCTCTGATAATAGATCATAAGCACTTTTCCAATCTTGTTTTTCGATACTGATAATACTTTTTCCAATCATTGACCTAACATTATGTGGGTCTTCCGATAAGATCTTATCGAACAATGATAATGCAGATTGATGATTCTTGGGTGCATCCACGTAAGTGTAACATGTGGCAATGTCGATAGTCAGTTCATGTTTACTATTTCTTAAGTTAGCACCTAGATCTCTCTGATTATATGATATTAATGTGATACCAGATTTAATGTAAGGTAAAGATGCGATATATTCCTTATTGAGAAGATAATAATGCGAAACAATACGATATGCCATTATACTATTTTTGATCTTGCCTATATTGTCAACAAAACTCAATAAGATATCTTCTTCCTTCATAATCCCTGACGAATCTTCTTCGACTTCAAGCAATGAGTTTAATTCATTTTCTTCTTCACTTGCATTTTCGTCATTTTCTAAGGCTTCACGTTCACTTTCGTGATGGTCTGATTTTGTTTTAGACTGGTTCATATCTTTATCAAGTGATTTCATATCATAAGCGGAAAAAACAGAATTAATCCATGCATATAGAATAATAGCTAATGGTTCACCAGGATATTTAGCAAAAAATTGTAGGACAATTTTAGGATCGATATCATCTAAACTTTGGAAGTCTTGCCAATCGAAATAATATTTCCATGCAACTAATGAGTCGTGATTCACAAGTATCATATCAGAAACCATATTACTAACTTTTTCGAAATACTCCGATTTAATATCATTAGGCATCGATTTTAAAACTTTAATTCTATATTCCAACCATTCACTTTCAACAGACCTTCTCTCTAGGTCGTCATCCACAAGGTTAACCAATTGATTATAATCGTTATCAAGATTGGAGTTTTCATAAACTTCCCAAGCTAATGCATTAATTTTGAATTGATAATTTGGATCGTTAGCACTCATTTTCATTCTTTGCTGGCTTACAATTTTTGAGATTTTTTCACTTTCTTCTTTCTTAACAATCTTAATTAATCCTGTCAATGCTTCAACAGGCGTTATTAAATTTTTTCCTAATGTTTCATATGCTGGTGTACCTGGTCTAAAATATGAATAGAATTCTCTAAGGAATGCAGTTTTCTCTTTAAATAGAATTTTTAATGATTTTAAAGAATCAAGAAGTTCCACCTGTGAAAGCTCTTGTGATTGCAGTACAACCATATAATCGTAACATAACTCGAAATATTCCTTATATGGCAGTATTGTAGGTAATATATCTGCTATGTGATTGTTGAATAGTAGGAAGAGACCCTTCCAAGCCAAAGTCAAGTCCTTGTCGATCTTAACGCCTCTAATATAGTACTCACATGCTTTCTTCAAGTCGAACTGCTCGGAGTTACTTGAGTAAGCTTTCCCTAAAAATACTAAAGCAAAATAATTACGCTTCTCAAGTTTTAACACTTTTTGAGAGATTTCAATTGCCTCTTCATAATCACCTCTTGCCAATTCATTTTTGGCTTCCTTTAACAATTGCTTAATTTCTGACATCAGCTGTTGTTATAAGATTTGTTCTGAGACTTATTAATGAGTTTAGTATGTAATTTGTATTCTATCAGGTTATTTTCCCTTTTTCAATTAAATAGTTACTTCTACATTATTAATGACGTTAGTATTCCACTCTCTTTCTGTTTCAATATTTTTCAGGTTTTTGGACCTTTTCGTCAGAAAAAATTGAAAAACGAACAAAGCGTATAATGAAAGTTTCAAGACCTTAGAGAATCAATTAAGCTAAAAAAAAAAGTAAACAAAGGTTAATAAAGTAAAATTTTGTTACAATTATCAAGAAAGAAAAAACACTGCTAGTCAGTGGGTTGAAATGGATCACAGTGTATCGTTAAACTTTAGCCAACTGAGCCAAGAACACATAACGAAACTGAAGGATGCCTTTCAGATGATTGATGCTGACGGAGATGGTATCATTTCAAAGACTGATTTACAGGAGATGCTTGCATCTATGGGGAAACAAAATTCAGATGAAGTTATTGAACAGATGCTGAGTAGTAAAGGTAGTTCGACAGATGGATTGAATTTCCCAGAATTTTTATCGTTGATGAGTGGTTTGAGTGGGGAATTTCCTGAAGAAGATGAACTTAAACAATGTTTACGGAATTTGGCTGACGAACAAGGTAGCTTAAATGTACCTTTGGATGATCTGTTACAATCCTTAAAGGATGCAGGTTTTGCTAATCCAGAAGAAAAGTTTGCTAAGATTTTCAAGACATTCGGTTCCACACAGAAGACAACATCTACAAAGATATTTAAAGGAGAAAGTTTCTTAGCTACCATATCAGACAGTTAAAATCATCCTTGTTCAAGTTGACAATAGCTAACTCATAGGAGAGAGAGAAAAAATACTACTCTTTTTGGTATTTAAATATGCACATTTTCTAATACATATATTATTTTGTTTATTACATATATAAATAAATGTACATATATGTTCTAATGCGGAATGAATAGGTTTACATAGATATAGACGACAATATCCCAATGTCTATTTCTGTTTTTTTTTTATAATGATAAGAACAATAATAAATGAAGTGTTAGTGTCACTAATATTATTGCAATCTGTTTTGTTGTGATTTTTCTACTTGTTTGCAAAAAAGGGGGGGGGCTGATAAAGTCTATCTAACTAATCAAAGATTAGTTCTTCAACACTCCAATCCTCGAAAGATCCATCTGGTAAGTATCTTCTAATAACCAAAGGAATCTTCTTTTCTGCTAATTCTTTCATTGCAATTCTCAGAGGATCAGTTTCACCTTCTAGATCCACAAATACTGGAGCATTCATAGATATCTGTAGAGCTCTAGTACCTAAGATTCTAGCTCTTTCATATTTTGTCATATATGGTGTTGTTGTTCTTTCATCCTTTGGAATAGCTTTTTCTTTCAAAGTTTTCCTCCTGATAGCTTGTTGGTCATCAAGACCGCTTACAATAACAGTGTTACCATTCTCATCCTTCAATTCACCACCAACAGTGACAGTTGTACCATTACCATTTTCTTGCTTATTCTCGCTGGCACCTTCGGTAGTAATTATTTCATCCTCGTCGGAGTAACGTTCTACATCAAAATCTTCATATTGCTCATTACCTTCGTTAAAACCTTCGTCGTAGTCGGACATCTTATGCTAAATATATATATATATGTATGCGTAGAGATGTATCTATCGATTACTTAAATCGTCTCAATGAATCTTTTCCCCTTGTTAAACCTAATAAGCTTAGTCGTTATTCATCTCTTTTGTGAGTAAAAATATCAATTTTTCTTTTAAAATTTTTGAAATTCTCATTTCGCAGCGAAAATTTTTCAGCGAAAAAATTTTTTTTTTTTCAATTTTTGTTCCAGTCTTTGGTCAAGCCCTAATGCCAAATAGTATGGATAATAAACTCTTTTCCATAGTAGCACAGGGTAGGGTTTAACAATATACTTATCGATTTAAGGTAAAAGGAAATTACGTAAATTAAAGAGAAACAACAGAATAATTTGTTATTAGCTAATTAATTTTCTTTCGCAGTATGGTGCTATGTTTTAAATCGTGACACTTAGCTTATTTTGTTTCTGTGGGTACTTTCCTTTTCGTCTGGCATTTAGTCACTATTAACATAATTATCGACTAACTGCCAAGACTGGGAAACTGAAAAATTAAAGAAAAAAGAAAAAGAATTTCAAGGTATTTCCAGCGATGAGGTTGTAAAACAAAACCAGGAATAAGAACATGAAAAGAAGATTTCTGATGATGACGCAACCAACAAATCATTGTGACGTTAGCATGTCGTCTGGTGATGCACCCTTGATGGAAGTTGACCTTAAGAGTCGTTTGAAAGAGTTTAATGACTGGCCGTTACCTAGTCCTCCAAATGGTTCACGCCTAGTAATAGCAACAAATAAATCTGCTAGCAAATCTGCAAGTATATCAACTAGTAGCAGTAGAGCAAAAACTTTTTTTTGTGATCATAAAGATTGTGATAAAGCTTTTACAAGGCCTTCATTATTGACAGAACATCAGCAAAGTGTTCATTTAGGATTAAAACCATTTGATTGTAACCAATGTGATAAATCATTTGCAAGAAAAAATCATTTGGAGAGGCATTTATTATCTCATTTGGATAATAATGAAAAACCATTTCATTGTTCTATTTGTAATAAAGGGGTCATTACCTCACAACAATTGAAAAGACACGAAATTACTCATACAAAATCATTCGAATGTCCTTATAAAGGTTGTTCAGAAGCATTCTATAAACATCCGCAATTAAGATCTCATATTATGGCTATTCATTTACAAACTTTGACTTGTAAACAATGTAACAAGACTTTTCAGAGACCTTATAGACTTGAGCATCATATTAAAAAACATCATAATCCAGAGATTGCTACACCTTATCATTGCTCCTTCCTTGGTTGTCTTCAAAGTTTTAAAACGTGGACTCAATTGACATTACATACGAAAAACGATCATCCCAAGTTACGGTGTAACATTTGTCATAAGCATGTAGTAGGTGAAACTGGTCTACAAATGCATATGAAGATTCATGATGATACATTGGTGACAAGAAACTGGAAATGCCACTTATGTGCGAACCCTATTTTATCATTCCCACGTAAACAAGTCCTTATTGAACATTATAAAGAGATACATCCACAGGAACCTCTACCATTTTCTTTAGAAGATATCCCATCTGGCATTATTCCAGTGAGTCAATCTAGTTCAGATGAGAAACCCCTTGATGATAAACATCTCAAGAAACGTAGGAAAGTCAATAATTCATTAGACGATTTGAAGAACCAGGCAATTCTCGGTAAATATTTAACACCAGCTAATATACAGGTGTTACCCACCCCAGGTATTAAGAATATCCAAGGTAATTCTGCGATGGAACTTTTACTTAATACTGTTGGTCGGAAACTAAAATGTCCCTACTATAAATGTTATAGAACTTTCAAGACAAAGGAAAGATACAACATTCATATTGAGAAACATAAGATACATGAAGAGAAATTGAAAGATTTAGAACTGGAAAAAAAAACTACAAATGACCCCACTACCAATCACGACCCAATACAGCCTTATCCTGAATAATTCGGATGGCAATAGCATATTTTACATTTTATAGAATAGTGGTACATAAATACATATTCAGAAGAGGATGTTTATCCCATAATACAATGATAATTATCAAATATTGTACACATATATCGCGTATATTTTGATTAAATACTAGTATAATTCCTAATCATATATGAGCATACATATATATATATATATATATATATATATATCGAAAAGCAAGATCGTGTGTATTCTTACAACTAGTTCATTCATGTGGTAAATTCATATCACTCATAAAAAATACCATTTCATCGTCATCATTAGTGTTGTTTTCCAAAGATCTATTGTTTGAGTCACTACGACCGTTATTTCTTTGAATCAGGTTTTGTCTGCTACTCTCTTCCTCACTATCCCTTCTCCTTCTGATTAATCTATCTTGATCCTCTAAGATATCTGTGGATTGTATAACTGGTTTATGCATCTTAGCTTGGACAGAAGCTTCGGCAATGACAGGTTGTGAAAACTGCTGATATGGTTGTTTGTATGCAAGCCTATTTCTGTGGAAGGAACTTGAGATACTATCTAAAGATCTTGGAGATGAAGAACCTCTTATATTCCTCTCATTCATATCACCATAATTGGTTTGTTTAGTATTGACAAGGAGCTCATCATCTTGATCTTCATCCACCTCATCGATACTATTTTTACGGCTACTCAAATTAAGACCTGATGAGTTTGCATTGGGGATTCCATGTGGTGGACCATACTCCCCAGTATCAAGATATGAGGGACGTCTAGGTTTAATGGCACCACTTTGGTTATCCAACATATCAGTTCTCATGATCGGTCCAGTAACGTCTTCTTGTTCAATTTGGTGACCAACTAACTTTGATGGTATAGATGGGTATTGAGTTGAAGGAGAAAATAGCGATGGCAAAGGCGAATGAGAATGTGATATTGAGCCTGATCTACGACGACGACCTCCATCTCCCGTCGGTATTATCTGTACGTGAGGAGAATATGATGCAATAAAGGGGTCTATATGTGGGGGTGGGGGCTGTGGTAATTGTTCTCCAGAAGGAGGATTTATTGAAACACTCATTGATACATCGTCGCTCAATAAATCATTACTTGGTCGTAAATTTTGGAACTTCAATAGCGAACTTGATATGGTATTAATACTGTTATTGGACTGACTTGGATGTTTACCTTTAATGTCAGGTTTTTCATCCAATATCTTTACGAAATTTAATATATCTTCCGTTGCCTCTGGTAGCATTTCAGACTGAACAAATGTGTTGGGTTGCATATATGTGGCAGCCGGTTTGTTCATGTTTAGTAATTTTCTTTCATTTGCAAGAGCCTCTTGGTTTTTATTGATACTAGAGTGACGACGTAGGTTACCGAAAGATGACATGTATTTTGACCCGCTGTCAATACTTGTACTGTCAATATTTAACGTATGATTCGATGGAGTATTTAAATGGCCAATATATCCTGTATTCGAGCCATTACTTGTCCTGCGCATTTGGGCGCTGTTAATAAAGGATGAATTTGAAGGATTTCGGCTAGAATTTTGGCTTATATTTTGATTATTCATCACGACACTATTGACTGATCCAACCTTGAATGGCTGAACTTGTCTACTAATCGATATTGATTTCTTTTGGTTAAATGAGTTTTGGTTACTCGTACTTTTGTTTCTGTCAAATGATGACATTAAAGAATATTCTCTAGACCTCGGAGAAAGAGATCCCACACGTATATTGGAGCTTGGCACCTGCTTTGCTCTTTTTATATCATCTGTTGGATTGTGAGTAGGTATTGGATTAGCCAGATTGCGCGATTCGGTATCTTCTATCACAAATTTACAATCGCGTCTGTATGATACAGATACTCTGAGAAGTCCGAATTTCGTCCATACAGGTGTAATCTTCTTTTGTTCTAAATGTGATGGGAAATTGGTATCATTTATAACATTTGCATAAACTCCTAATATCGGCTTACTTAATCCTATTCTACCCTTTGACAAAATAGGTTTAGATCCGTCAACAATCCTGGCACCTATCATAGGTGTTAGTTTACTATTGTAGGTACGTGTAAGATCATTTTGTTCGTAATGGCTTTCTTCTTGCTTTACCAACTCATACATTGGTAATAACTTTACTAAAGTATGTAAATATCGTAATAATAGTGTAAGTTGATCTGGTGTATTAATATCTGTTATTTGCGATGGATCATATGTTTTAAATGCTGTAGAGTCATCATCAAGTTCTATAAGCCATCTTTCTAGCATAACTTCAGTCTTTTTGGTCCCTTTACAAACATTCCATAAATTTCCGTCATCATCCTGTAATCTTACCATATTTGATGGAGTCAACTCTCTCAAATCTAGAAATACGTCGATTACTAAAGGTGGTAGAGTCTTAGTTCCGTCGAACGATATCCATTTATTTATTATGTCTGGTAAGTTATACGTGTCTTTAATGTTTGATTGAAACCAATGTTCATCAAAGGAGGGACTCTGGGATTTCTTTTGTGATACCACTGAACAGATTAATAAGGAGGATTTGAGGAAAAAACTATCTATGAGGTTATAGATCTCGCTTTCCTGTTCTATATTGGATGACATTATGTTATAACTTTTTCATGGATGGTGGGAAGTTATTAATGATTGAGGTTTAGTATATTCCCTTTAGTTTTCTTCCTTTCGAATATTTTATTACAGCTGGTGATAATATTTCTCTTCTTTATCGGTGAAGAGTGGGGGTATCGGGTAGAAGATGTGTGGATAGATGCAATAAAAATATATATATGTATTAAAATGAAAAAATGGGATACGTGACTAGTTCAGAAAGTTACCTTGTGATGTAATAACTTGGTTGTAAACTAGTACGTTAACCTTATGCTAGGTGGGTGTATTTTTGTAAGTCTCCCTTTGACGTGCGCGTGAGGCTTAAGGCACGTGAGATGCAGTTATTGATTATTACTTTTAAAAGCAAACACACAAATAAATCAAAATCTGATAGTTAAAAATATGTTCCTTGTATATCTGAATTGAAGTAAAGAACTAAAAATTAATTCTTTCCTCTATTCTTCTCTTGTTCGTTTCTAAAGGGTTATTTTAAAAACTGCGTAATATTTTGTTTTAAGTTTGCACTAAGCTCGGGTACCCACCCTTTTTTAACCGTTAAGCGATTGTTTGTTTGTTTTGAATAATAGTCAGGAAGGCAAGTGACGATGGGGTGGGGTGGGGCTTATCTTGAGAATGATAGCATCAAGAGCGAAAAGAGAGAGATAGAGAGAACTTCTCGATTATAATTTATATGATTAGTATATCTAGAAATATATATCTGTAAATGTACATATTAGCATAAAGTGTACGGTTGGCATTTTAATATACAAGTGAAAGAAGGTTATTCCCATTGGTCTTCATCTTCAAAAGAGCTCCATAGATCATAGAATAGATCCAGTAAAGTGGCAGCACTCCAGGCTTGTGTTGGACTTGAATCCTGGCAGAACTCGCCATCTCTGTTTGTTAGTTCAGGAAGACCTGCCCATGGGCTGTTCATTATTTCATCTCTTTGTTTGGATAATCTTTGATAGAGTTGTTGATACAAGTAAGATGATGGTTTGTTCTTGTGCTCATTACAGGCTCTAGGGTTTGTTAAGAAATTAAAATGTAAATATGCCCTTAGGAAATAACCTTCTGGCCATGCCCATTCTGGACCTTGATGATAGTTTCTCCCTTTACTTGTGGCGAAATTTTCGGAGTCCTCACTGTTGATATAGTATGGGTGATAGTTATAATCACTTGGATCTAAGGTAGCCATACCTAATGGACCTCTTAATATCTCATCAGCTAACTCTAGACAATGTGTAGCATATTCTGGAGTAAATAACTCTGGTGCAGCGACCATTGCTACTGCAAAATTTGGACGGAATTGGTAGTCCTCGTATGGTTTCCCACTCTTGTAAAGATCCTTGTATATACCTCTCCTATTCACAATACTTGAATCGACATCAAAGTTTTTATCATCCTCTGGATCTAAAGGAATGTAGAATTTCTTTTCGAAATTATCTTGTAGAAGTTGGTTCCATTCCTCAAAAGAAATTGTTCCTTTACCATCGGTCTTTGATACTTGAGTATATTTAAATAAACCCTTGGATTGTAATTCAATGACAAATCTTAGTGTACTCTTCAATAGACCATTAATTTCAATGGCAGCACCATCTCTTGGGGTACCAGGTACACCTACAGAACCGGCCTTTTCACTTTCTCCCATTTTATCCATCCAGGTACCACAGTTATTTTGTGAACCACCATGAATCAAACCAGTGTTCCAATCGACGTGTACCTCAACATTAAAACCATCGTCTGTCATGACGCGGTCTAACTTAGGACCTGCATTAGCTTCTCTATATTCGATACCACTTGCATGTCTCTTTAATATTTCATAAATAATGTCTTCAATCGTACTAGAATAACTAAATGCTCTAATGTCATCTTCAGCCACCCATGTATCATCCAATGGGAACCTTCTGGAGACCTTCTCCTTTAATATTTCTTCACCATTTGGAACAATGTTAACATAATCTTGGATAGCTTGTAAGAAAAACCATGCTGCATCACGAGCATTATATCTTGGATTTCTACCTGCATCAAGTAAGTTTGGAATCATACCATGTTTCAAAGTCTTTGCGAACGCTAATAAATGTTCTTTGGCCTCTTCAAATCTACCAGTTGTTAATAATAAACCACGTAAAGAGATGAAAATATCTCTACCCCAACATCTCATGTAATTAGTGCTGAAATGAGGTAAACCTGCAGCCATTGCATAAACGGTTTCATCTGGGAAAATAGAAGTAGAGTTAACCTTTGCCATCATTTGGACCGATACAAGACCTAAACTTTGAACAAAAGTGGTTGATTTACCAATATTAATGGACATTAATTGCATGGCACGTAAACGACAACATCCGTATAATATACCAATAATCAAGGCAAAGTAGCTTGGTCTTAAGTAATTTGGTAGGACCTTAATTCTATTCATACGAGAACGTAACCAGTTTTGGACATCGACGACACCAGGTTCATCCTTATAATAGTCAAGTCTATTAACGACATAATCTAAGGCCCAAGTACCTTCACGTAAATTCTCACTCAATGGGTGAGCCAAATCGTTATTAAAGACAATCTTTCTCAGTTCAGAAATCCAACCTTGTAGACCACAATAAACTAGATTGCCAATTGCTGGGACATTATAAGTGCCTTCTTTACCTCCGCTACAATCTAGTTCTTCACTTGCAGCATGGTACATAATTGGATTCAAAGATTGTAATGTCACATTGGCCGTAGCTTTCATTGCTCCTGATCTGATGAAGTGGTCTAAAGATAAATCAACACCATTTTGTTGAGTTTCAAAAATAGCGATAGACCCAGCAGGGAAATCCTTTGGTAAAATAATTTTGCTTTGTTGTTCTTTTTCATCATATGACACTTCAAATCCTTTTAATTCAATTAATTTTGTTGGAATACCTTCAATCTTCAAATCATCGTGAAGATCTTCTATTGTACCAACTCTTTCTAAAGTATAAGCAAAATTCAATTTACATTTTGATTGAGACAAAATAATCGGTGGTAATTCTTGCTCGTTACTATCTTCATTAAATTTCATTCTAGCAATTAAATACCAACCTGAGCCTGATTTAACATCAGTACGATGGAAAGTAATAAATTGTCCCTCATGGTGGACATGCATCTCTGAATCTTCAATATCAATAGATTTTTTACTTATTTTTTCTCTAATTTCATTTAGTTTGGACTTCACTGGACCAATACCAATACATGATTCAGTATCATAAGTTCTCTTTTCGTTAACAAGATCTAATAAATGTGGGTAAATTTCATCATAACCGTAAACCGAACCAATAGCAGAAGAACATAAAGAAACTAGAGCAGCATTAGGCAAAGTATCTTCAACGGTTCTCTTTTGATATGGCATTTCGTTATCATGAGTACAATCCATGAATAAAGCATGTGGAGGTGTTGCTGTTAAAATCTTTGGGATATTAATCTCTGATACGCAATGAACTTGATTCGATTCTGGATTATATTCACAATATTCCTGATCAACAGAAATATCAGATGGATAAGGGAAATTATCCATTGGTACAAATTTATACGATCCAATTGGTCTACCACCATGTTTGTGAATTAAACGTGATAATTCTTCTTCTGACCAAGCTTGCATAGCTTCTCTAATTAAAGAAGATATGGCTAATCTTTCAACAAATAAACAATCTAATTGTTCAGAACCAGAAAATAATTCAGCAACTACATAAAGATTTGGATTGAATTTTCTTGCATGATCTAAGAAGTATTCACCAACATGCAAAGGAGTTGAATGACAATTATCTATTCTGAAACCATCAAATATTGTAGCATTAATTTCAATATATTTTTCCATTCTTGACCACAAATAAGGAGAATCCTTTGGACCTTTACCATAACGTAATTTAACACAATCTCCCCATACTATAACTTCTCTACGAAGATAAGCCTTTGATTGTGAAGATGCAAAATCTACTAAAGGATTACCATTCCAAATCCAACCATTATTTGCTAAAGCGTATGATTCACCATCAGCACCTTTAAATCTAGTAAAATAAGGTTCAGTTAAAGGAGAATTTACAGTAATTGGACCTTGTTTAGGACCATTTTCATCTAATCTTAAATATTTGATACGATTAAATAATTGTTCTAAGATTTCACTAATATCATCATCATATTCACCATATAATGGTAAATTAATTTCATCTAAAATTTTATGAATACGTTCAGTGTTTTCATCATTATAAATTTCACCAAAATTAATTTTTAAAATTTTAATTAAAATTTTTAAATCTAAATGTTTAGCACCTCTTGTTGATAAAGTATTAAATGATGAATCTGTTGTATTTTCTAATACAAATTTAGCGAAATCTTCAATATTTTCAATACAATCAGGACTTTGTTTATATAATTGACTATCCTTTGAATCTATATTGATTGTTGACCATAATTTTTCTACATCATTTAAAGTATCTTGAACATTTAAAACATAGTATTCCCAAAGTTTTAATGAACCTAAAACATGAACTTTAATACCATCCATAATTTTAAATAAATCATCGATTGATTTTAATTCAGTTGGATAACCCCATTTTTTTAAATTCCTACTAAATTCAATTAAAGCACCATCTAATTGAATTGCAGAAATTAAATGTGGAGCAGTTTGATGATTATAACCAGCTTCAGGATGTTGTCTTAACCAATTTGAATTATTTGCAGTATGATTAAAGACAATATCAGTTAAAGCTAACATACCATAATGTTTATGTAAATGAGTAACCATCTTTTGAACATCCTCTTTGTTGTTAAATAATTTTGGGTCGAATTCTAATTGATCATAAATTGAATATGGTGAATTTGATTCACCACGATGTTGTAAAGGTGTGAAATGAACCATATTATAATTTTTTTCAGAAATTTTACTAAAAACGTTATCCCAATCTTTTAAAGTTGGACCCATCCATTTTGATATGACACTTTGCATTGCGATTGAATTTAATTGTAAAAAATTATTGTTTAATTTTAATACAGGCAATACAACAAAATAAAATTTTCTTGTTGTCTCTAATTGTTCATTATTATTTCTAAATGAAAGATAAAAACAATAAGAACCTGGTTTATATAAATTTAAATCAATTGTATCATCTTTATGAAAACTTGAATTAACGATTTTTTTATAAAATTTATCTCTTTTAAATGGAATTATGTGATCAGGTGGACAATTTGTCCAAATAAGTCCATCTCTAGCAATTGGTGATGATGCAGCAATTAATATACGAACAGTATACATTGGAGTAGAATCTGAACTGTCATCAGGTAATGGTAAAGAAGGTAAAGTTAATACACCATTACCATATGAGCTACTAGTGATAGGTTCACCATTATCACTTAGACGTAGTAATAGAGTCCTCTTTAAATTCATCTCTTTTTTTTGTTTTTCGTTATCGTTGTTGTACTCAAAAAGAAAACGAAAGAAAAAAGAAATATATATACCAAAAGGAAATGAAATGCAATCTATACCAATTAACCAAATTACTTTTATATAACAAGATACTACATGTAGCTTCAACCCTTGTTGTTGCTCCCTATTTTTCCCAGAACAAAAAAAAAAAAATTATTTTGCTAAAGTTAGTTCAAAGTAGGCAGCAAGGGGTGTCTTGTTCTGAGTTTAGCAAAATCACCATTCCCTTTTGCCATAATAATTATTAAACTGGAAAAGCTCCCTCGAGATGGCGAACTCCGTGAAATTTTCCAAGAAACGAAAAAAAACAAAAATTTATTTCTCGCAAGGGGGCGAACACAACGACAAGAGACAGCAACCACCACGTTTTTATATACATATATATATATATATATATGTATGAGAAAGGTTGTTAACCGCCGAGTATAGCGGACTCTGTCTATGAACGCTTTCTGGTGTATATTCTTATAGTGTTGCTACCTTGTAGAGAACGTTCTTGATAACACATAGCAATGGGAAAGCGTTACACACTACTCAGAATGACATTGTCCAATCATTTCATTATCGTAGAAGGTTAGACTGTATATCATCTCGTTGTCATAATTACGTCGATTAGGCAAACGACAGAGAAACAATTGAAAAAATAAGAATGGGTTTCTGGGTTGGCAAGTTCGTTGTAATGCTATGTTGTTTGCATTTAATACGTGGAAGAGACACGTTATCGTGAACAAGAAACGTTATCTGAACCATACTTATTTGTTACTTTAAACAAAAATAGCAAGAACCCTTATCAAACTCCTGAATTCACACAACAAACATTCTTAACTGCTACGACTAACAAAAGAAACTCCGGCAGCAACAACAACAACAACTTAGTAATCGTTGCTCTCTCTCACTCTTTCTCTCTCTGTCTCTTATCAATAATATGAGTAAACCGTTCTTCTTCGCTTTCTCTTATCTCTTATCATGTCTTATCAAAATCACCACACAACGCGGGCGACGCCCTACGAACAATGCGCTCTTTAAAGAAACAGAGAGAGTTACCAATTAAGTAAGTTAATCGGTAATAACTTGTTATCGCTTTACTGTCATTTGACAGTAATAATAAGATTACATTTAATTGAATGCAGCTTATCGTTAGATATTATGTGGCTTTGTCAAGAACTAAAACAATTACTAAGAGAGAAAGAGAGAGACAGTAGATGGCGTTACCTAGTTTGGAATGGTGATGGATAGTGTAATGATAACAATTATACATACTTTCCCTTTTTCAATGATTAAATTATCTTCTTCTTCTTTTTTTTTTTAGAAATAATTAGTGTATATAAAGTAAGATGATAAGATTAACTTTCTTTATTATATTTTTTTATTATTTTAATTTCTTTCCTTTTATTTATTTTATTTATGTAATTTAAATCTAATTAATCAATCAATCAATCAAAACAACTTATACATAATTAATTAAGTGATTATGTCTTCTTATAATTTTACAGGGACACCTACAGGTCATGGTACCGGTGGTGATTCTTTAACTACAGATTTAACAGGTCAATTTGAATTGGCTAATATGGTATGGTTAGGTGTTGGTGCCGCTGGTGTTTGGATTATGTGTCCAGGTATTGGTTTATTATATTCTGGTTTAAGCAGAAAAAAACATAGTTTAGCTTCACTTTGGCTTTCATTAATGGGGGTTTGTGTCGTTTCTTTTCAATGGTTCTTTTGGGGGTTTTCTTTAGTCTTTTCACATCATTCAAAATCTCACATGTTAGGTACATTAGAATTCTTCGGTTTTCGTGATGTCCTTGGTGCACCATCTGCTGATGCCGCTGTACCTGATATTACTTATGCTGTCTTTCAAGGTATGTTTGCCTGTGTGGCAGGTGTATTAATGGTTGGTGGTGGTGGTGAACGTGCAAGATTGATGCCTATGATGATTTTCTTATTTATATGGATGACTTGTGTCTATTGTGTTTGTGCTCATTGGTCTTGGAATCCAAATGGTTGGTTAGCTATTCTAGGTGAATATGATTTTGCTGGTGGTTTAATTCATCAAACTGCAGGTCACGGTGCCTTAATGTACGCTTTAATCTTAGGACGTCGTGATCGTGAAAAAAATGCTAAATTACCAAAATATAAACCTCATAGTGTGGCAAGTGTAGTTTTAGGAACTGTCTTTATTACATTTGCTTGGTTTTTCTTCAATGCTTGTTCTGCAGGTAATGCATCAATTCGTGCTTGGTATGCTTTACAAAATACTAATTTAGCCGCTGCATCAGGTGGTTTGACTTGGATGTTTATTGACTATTTTAGATATGATGGAAAATGGACAACAGTTGGTTTATGTTCAGGTATTGTATCTGCTTTAGTTGGTATTACTCCCGGTGCAGGTTTTGTTCCTGTTTGGGCTTCAATGGTTATTGGTATTATTACCGCGGCAGGTTGTAATTTTGCAGTTGATTTAAAATATTGGTTAAAAATCGATGATGGTTGTGATGTTTGGGCATTACATGGTGTTGGTGGTTGTATTGGTTCTGTATTGACAGGTATCTTTGCCGCTGATTACGTTAATGCTACAGCTGGGGTTTACGCTACACCTATTCTTGGCGGTTGGTTAAATCATCATTGGAAACAAGTTGGTTATCAAATTGCAGGTATTTGTGCAATTTGTGGTTGGACTTGTGTTGTAACTTCAATTATTTTATTAACTATGGATAGAATTCCGATGTTAAAAATTAGATTATCAGCTGAAGAAGAATTACAAGGTACAGATGTTGCACAAATTGGTGAAGTCGCTTATGCTGAAGAAGAAGAAGAAGATTATACTTTTGAACCACAACCAATTAGATCAAGACTTTCAGTGATTGCTTCTTTGACTCATCAAATTAAACACCCAATGAGTGGGAAAGATGATAAGATTGAACAATCTATTCCACAAGTTGTTGATTCAGCACTTCCAGATACAAGTTCGAATTCTGATGAAGATGATTCAAAGACTAAAGAAAAAGAAACAGTATGAGAATACATACATACTCACACATACCAAAAATAATAATAATAATAATAATAATAATAATAATAATAATAATAATCGTATATTAAAAAAAGTTCGTCATTTTAATTTTCTTTTTTTTCTGTTTTGTCTTTTTTTCAATTAAAAAAAAAATTTATTCTTATATAATAATAATTCTATACATCCCACATAGCCAGTTTTAATTCAATTTTAATTTAATTTCATTAGTATTTTCTTTTTTTTGGTTCGAAAAGAATAAATACCTACAATCTAAAATCATTTCGATTTATTACCTCTCTAGGTTAATGTTATCACCGAATTTTGCATATAATTCACCTTTCAATGTAGCTAATCTTTCATTAATTTCAGTTTCTCTTGATTCTAACTTTTCAATCTTTTCATCAATTACTTCACCGTCTTTTTCCAATTGTTCAACAACTTCAGATTGTTTTAAAAATACAAACAATTCACCAATCTTATATTGAACTTTCTCATCCTCATCAATCAACTCAATCTCCAACGATACATCCTCTAAATATTCTTTCTCTTGTCTCTGTTGTGACAAGTCTGCTTCACAGACATCCTTTCTCATAATCAATTTTGAAAACTCATTGATCTTCTGTTGATCCTCCAACGTCACTTGAACAGTGTTTTTTTTGCCCTCAGGGAGTAATTCCATCTTCTATTATAACTATTCTCCTTTCACAATTGATCTCACTGGCCTTTTTCCACCTTTTGAAATAACGATCCAGTTTTATATTTTATACTAAATGTGTTGTGTGTATGTGTCTTTATAAACCTTATAACTTTTTTTTGCTTTTCGTCATATCTCTCTAATCTATTAATTTTTCAGCGATGACCGCAACGAAATATAAAGAAAAAATCACACAGATATATAATAAATACATGCAGGAGAAGGAATTATTTTATTTTATTTTATTTTATTTATTTTTATCTATAATATCGTTTACATAGAGGTATATTTTGCTACTACAGTAGCAATCTGTTCCAATATATCTTGTTTCCTCTTATCATCGATCCATGAACCTTGTACTGCATTAGTAGCAATCTTAGCCCAAATAGAATAATCCCAATGCGGGAAATCGCGTGCAACTTGCAAATAATTATCAAGAATATAGCCACCAAAATATGCTGGATCATCTGAATTTAATGAAAATGGAACATCATTATCAATTAATTGTTGTAATGGTAATTCTTTTACAGCTTGAACAACTTGTAATTTAACATTAGATAATGGACAAACTGTAAGTAATATTCTTTCCCGTGCTAATCTTTTCAATAATTCTGTGTCCTGTACAGAATTAATCCCATGATCAATTCTAGTAACTTTTAATAAATCTAAAGCATTAGAAACATATTGTGCAGGACCTTCTTCACCTGCATGTGCAGTTAATTGTAAATTTGGATTAAATGATTTTGCTTCACTATAACATTCTGTAAATAATTCTGGTGGGAATGGTTTTTCTGCAGAATCAAGTCCTAAACCATGAATTGTACCATCTTTAATTAATGGAGCAGCTGTCTTAACCAAATCAAGACATGCAGAAGGTTCGATATGTCTCAATAGACACATAATTAAACGAGATGAAATACCTAATTCTTCTTGAGCGCGTTTACAAGCTCTAGAAAACCCATTAGTGACAGTCTCTAAAGAGATACCACGTTCAGTATGTGATTGTGGATCATAAAATACTTCAGCATGAACAAGCCCCTGAGATGAAACTTTTGTGAAATAAGCCCATGCCAAATCAAAAAAATCTTGTTCTGTAATTAAAACATTTGTACCAATATAATAATAATTCAAAAAATCTTGAAGATCAGCAAATGAACTATATTTAGCGTTTAATTCCTCAACAGTCTTTGGGAAGTTATCAGGTAGTGTGACGTTGTTACGAGCAGCTAATGGGAATAATAAATCAGGCTCCAAAGTACCTTCTAAATGTAAATGATGTTCACATTTAGGTAACTCTTTCAAAAAGGCTTCTGACACAGACATCTTGTAAAAAATTTATCCTTGACGTATGCAAAAAAGTATATACCACCAGGTAGAAAGAATACGGAAACCAACTATACAACTAAACTTAAATCAGGATTATTATTCAATTTATATATGAAATTTTTAATTCTAAATAGTCGATGAGGTTTTACATAATTTTTATTATTGAGCAGCCACACTTAATACCGTTATCGGACAGAAGAAGAAAAGAAATCTGCCGGAAACTACCGAAATTGAAAAAATTTTCTGTTTTTTGCTTTTTCACTTAGTGAAACGTCTCGATGGGTTTCTACAATGGCCAAAGAGGAACCAATTGCAAAGGGCGTGTGATTACGACCTTTGTTGTTTAGTTTGGCTCCATTTGAATTGTGTGTGTGGCTGTTGCAAGAAATAAATCTCGGGGGAGTTTTCTTAAGTAATTTTAATATCTTGAAGAATATTCTAGTGATTTTGATGTGAACTACAAAAAATCATATTGGACGACGGTAAGAGCGAGAGATCAACGGTTGATCGTGTAGACTACAGAAGTATAAGTCGTAAAATATTGGCCTTGGTGAGTGTTACGTGGTATATGTCAACAAGATATGTGTACATGGCTCTGTTTTTACACTAGATAGTTAAATTTTTTCTATTTCTTGACGCTGGACTAGCATACAAGTATCTAATGAGTAAATATACGGGATGTGGATTCTCACTTGTATTACTTGTTCAATAGCAATCGCAACAGATAAAAGTATGTGTGTATATGTATATATGTATATAGTACTGAAGCGCTCGTGCAACACGATAATGGTCTGTTTTTGTCTTCTTCTATCTACTTCGAGCGACAAGAAAAAAAAACGCAAAAACTGAAATTTTATGGATTATCTAAAGAGCATTTCAAAGGGGTAATTTTTGAATTTTAACCATATCTTTATTTTAATTTATTGATTTGGAAATAGAATCAAGAACAACAATAAGCAGAGACCTTAGAAGAGCAGTAAAGATTAAGATACTACTCTTTTTTTTTTTAGGGACATAGAAAAGAAAGAAAGAGAAAGAGAAAGTTAGTAACGATTCAAGGGTTTTAAATAACGAAGCAAAAAAAAACAAAATGTCACAACAAAGTCCTTATACATCCATGCATGGTAGTGCTACCCCACAAGCTGGAACGAGTCAAAATATGAGCAACGCTAAATTGATTAATGGTGCTAATGTTAATAATCTCAATTATAAAAATGGAACTAGTGCAGTAGCTCGTGATGACTCAACTATTGTAGGTTTACATTATCGTATTGGTAAAAAAATTGGTGAAGGTTCCTTTGGTGTATTATTCGAAGGGATTGATATGGTTAATGGTACACCTGTTGCTATTAAATTTGAACCTAGAAAGACTGAAGCACCTCAATTGAAAGATGAATATCGTGCTTATAAGATTCTTTCAGGTACGCCGCATATACCTCGTGCTTATTATTTTGGTCAAGAAGGTTTATATAATATTCTTATTATTGATTTATTAGGTCCTTCTTTAGAAGATTTATTTGAATGGTGTAATCGTAAATTTTCTGTTAAGACTGTTGTTCAAATTGCTGTACAAATGATTACATTAATTGAAGATCTTCATGCGCATGATTTAATCTATAGAGATATTAAACCTGATAACTTTTTAATTGGTAGACCAAACGCACCGGATGAAAATCAAATTCATTTAATTGATTTTGGTATGGCAAAACAATATAGAGATCCAAAGACTAAACAACATATTCCATACCGTGAAAAGAAATCTCTAAGTGGTACAGCAAGATATATGTCAATTAATACACATCTTGGTAGAGAACAATCAAGAAGAGACGATATGGAGGCGTTAGGTCATGTATTTTTTTATTTCTTGCGTGGTTCGTTACCATGGCAAGGTTTAAAAGCACCAAATAATAAATTAAAATATGAAAAAATTGGTGAAAAGAAGAGAACTACAAATTATTATGATTTAGCTCAAGGTTATCCAATTCAATTTGGTCGTTATTTAGAAATTGTTCGTAATTTAGCCTTTGAAGAAACTCCAGATTATGAAGGTTATAGATTATTATTATTAAGTTCTTTAGAAGATATGAATTTAACTGTTGATGGACAATATGATTGGATGAAACTTAATGGTGGTCGTGGTTGGGATCTTTCAATTAATAAAAAACCAAATTTACATGGTTATGGTCATCCAACTCCAAGAAATGATAAGAATGCCAAACATATCAGCAGAAATACACAGCAACAGCAACAACAATTACAATCACATCATAGTCATCCACAGCAACAACAGCAACAACCTTACCAACAACAACAGCAACAACCACCTACTTCTGTATCACCTCAATTAGACCCAAATTCCTATGAAGCATTCAAGATCCAAACTCAACAAAAGATCGTTCAAAAACAACATCAACAGCAACGTCATCAACAGCAACAGCAACAACAACAACAGCAACAGCAACAGCAAGGTTATGGTCGCCAATCACAACCAGTAATGAACAACAGTAATAATATTAACAATCAACAAGCTCCTCCACAACAACAGAACTACGATAGTGATTCGTTGTCTGATGCATCAAAGGGAGGATTCTGCGCAAAATTTGCATGTTGCTGAGCCAGGTGCTTAGTTTGATATATTTACCTCCTTATATATATATATATATATAATAACTCTTAATAATCTTCTCGTCTTTTAATTAATGTACTTATGGTCTTACTTTTAACCTATATCACTTTGTACTATTGTTTACACGACCTCATAGTTTTTCACAATTCTGAAATGGTTCTGGAACCAACTAAATATAATTTTTACTAAAAAACACACAACAAAACAAAACAGAACTAAAAAAAAATGCTTATATCATAATAACTATTTTTTCATCTACATGACAGAGCAACCTACAATAAATCGATACAAAACACTCAAACAAGAATAAAAAACGATAAAATCTGAACAGGAGCCTTCTTGTGGCATCTCCCATCTATGCCTCATCTCAAACAAGTATGAGAGCGCAGTCTTCTGATCTGGCCATGAAATCACCCAAAGAGGACCACACCTGACCTTCTTCACCCCCACCCCCCACGCTCATCCACACACTCCTCCTTCCACCTCTGAATCTGTCTTCTCCTCTCTAAAATATCTCTTAATTGATGGCCCCATACGAGGAGAGAGAGAGGCTCCTTTATTGAAAGAGGAGAAGGTAAATCATTAGAATCTTTGCGCTTTGCGGAGTTTTCACTGCAGGCAAAATGCAAAAACAAACGACGCGCACAGCGAGATATCTCATCGTTGATAGAGTCATACCACGGCATAACAATGTAAAGGCTAAAGGCTAAGAGATAACCGAACTGGATAGTCTTTTCCAATATCTCTGGGGCAATACTTATCATTGAAATGAGACATGTGAGTACATAGTAGGAAGTAGAAATAAGTGTGGGGGAGGGGGAACCGTTTGTACGACTAAAGGATTTAAATGTTTTATCCTCCCGGCAAAAAAAACCAAACATATATAAATGAGTAAATTTCTTGCCTATGGAAATATTTAAGACTAGTATCTTTCTATCATTAACTTAACTTAACTTTTATTTTTGCTTATTGAAATTCCTCGTGACAAATTTCAATGATAACTACATCAATATAATGCTATTTTTGTAATTTCAATATCATTTCTAATATGTTCAAACTTCAAACTCCAATTATTCAAAACCTTTCTCAACAACCTATTCAAAACAACATGGATAGTCAAGTACAATTTAGTTTCCTCAAGGATGAGGAATTAATTCAAATTCATGCCGATTGTAAAAAATTAACTCAATCTGGGATACTAAAGGAAATTTTAGATTCCACTGATGGTACTGTTTGTGTTTATTTACCAAAATGGGATATGGATGAATATCAAGATATTATTGGATTATATCTTATGTGGTATAATCAATCACATAAATCAAATACTATTTCACATGTTAACATTACATCTTCAATACTTCCAGATAAAATGAACGACATTGTGAATGCTGTTTATGGGACTCAAATGTTTACTTATTATCAGCATAAAAATTTCTGTGTCCTCCATAATGCACCAGAGAAACTACTTCCAAATGTAAAGATTTATATGGATTCAACTACAAATAAGTCCAATGAAGGTTTAATTAGATTCATGCAATTAAAATTCTGGAATGAGTATTTGAAAGATTGGGTGAAACAATTTAATGTTGCAATGACATTTATGAGTAAAGATAAATGTTTCTTAATGGGAAATTTTGAAGATGATGAAGAAAATGAAGAAAGAAAAAATCTTTTTGAATGTTATGATTGGGCTTTTTACCATTTATTAGCCTTTTTGTCTAGAATTTCAATGTTGTATGCTTTATTACAACCAAATCTTAAGGGTTCAAAGGAACCTAAAATGATAATGGATCTTTATCAAAACACCCTAGAGGCGTTACACGATAAAGAAGATTTTGTTTTAGATTTTGTCAAAGAATATAAAGATATGAGAAGAGAAATAGACAGAAAAAAAATTGCTTTCTAATAACTTTTTGCTAAAGACTCTTAAGTTTATTCAAAAAAAAAACAAAACAAAATAAAAAAACGTGAATCAATCAGCTGGATCGATTGTTTCTATATATAAATATGAAAACGTAAAAATATAAATATTTGTAATGATTAAAATTAAAATAAGTACTCATACCATAATTCTCAACAACTAGTCTATGAAACAATATTTGTTATAAATCATATGGATGTTGTTACGTTTATATCATAAAAAAGAATAATTAAAAAGTGTATTAAATGTATGTACGTATGTAGGATTAATAATGACTATATCTATACATGGTCTATGCTTCGGTACCTCTAATAATAAATATGTTATCCATATTGCTAAATGTATCTACAGCTCTCGAACCGGTCTCTAATTGATGTATGGTACCTTGAGGTCCTGTTTGTTTATAAATGAATAATTTTTCCCCTAAAGATGTATCAACTTTAATATTAATATTTTTCACCCCTAAAAGATTAGCCACCGAGTCTAATACTCTTCCAACGGGCCACATCTTATTGATATATACTGGAACATTTTCCTTTGAAGTATTAATATCATCATCTATTACAGTTGCAAACAAATATATTTTATTTTGTTCAGGGATCTTAGAGTCACCCTTTGCAACTTTTTTCAATTGCGCTAATTGAGTAATTTTTGAAGCAGATCTTGATTTAATAATTGGTTTCTTTTGTCTTGATTTGAAAAATTTTAGTAATTTATCTAATGATGATTTATTTAAAGTTGATTTAATAGTTGGAGATTTATCATTGTTTTGATTTATAGTAGAGTTAGAATTTTGCAAACGAACATGTGATCTTTGAGGCAAAAGACTTCTAAAAAATTTACCACCATCACTTTTATTTGGAGTAATATTACTAGTATTATTGTTAACATTTGTAGAATTTATTAAAGAAGAACAATGATGATCTTCTTTTAATCTATGTTTAGAACAAAAATCACTATCACAATATTTACAATGAAATGGTAAAAAATCTATCTGTCGACAATAGGCACAATGTGTTCCTACATCCAGCATCCCTGTTTCTTGTACTTCGGTACTCATCTTAATAATGTTATAAAAATAATTTCCTTCTTGGTTAGTTATTTCTTAGCAGAGTAGTAATATGATTTTACCTTAAAAGAATTTCCTTTCCCTTTTTATATATAATTGATTTGTATTCATCTCATTGATGTGTGTGGCTTATTATTATTATTTTTCTTTTTTTTTTCTCTTATTTATTTATTTTTTTGTTTTCATGCGTATTACATAATATTGAAGAAAATACTTAAAAGTTTCACGAAACAAATAGAGTGGGAAAACAGAAAAGAAGAAGAAGAGGAGCAGATAAATAAATAAATAAAAGAGATTTCGAACTTTCTAGAAATTAGTTTAAATATCTTAAAAAGGGGAAGGTGGCAAAAAGTACATCAAACATTCTAATAGTATTAGTAATAATAATAATATTTATAACCTGTGAAAAATATTAGATATGTCAGAAACGGAGACAGCTAAAGAACAAATTATTGCTCAGGAGATTAAGACACCTGTTATACCATGGAAATCTACCGATTCCGATGTTAAAGTAAAATCATTTACTGGATATAAATTAAGTTTCAATGGATGGCAAAAAGTGAAAGGTCATCAAGATGAAGAAAATAATAGCAAAGAGGAAGTTGTGAAAAATGATAATGATAGCACTGAAGAAGTTGTGAAAAAAGATAATAATAGTAATACCAATACTAATGATAATGATGATAATGATGATGATGATGACGATAATATCAAGATAGATGAAGTTACAAAATGAAAGGACGTACCAATTATTAGAATTTTAATTGTTTCAAGCTAGGATATAACTATCCATTTAATGGACTGCGAACTGAGCAAATTGTATCTATATTCGAGTCAACCACATAGCTGTTATCACATATACACACACATATATATTAAGAGAACAGATGAAAAAAGAGGCCTATTACAAGATTATCAACCATACTACTAATACAATCATAATATGATACAACCATGATAATATATTCTGTTTCTCTCGCGAATGACGTACTCAACATATATATAAATAAACTTATAAATAAACATAAACTAAAGATAGCAATATGCAATAGAAGACACATACCTCTTTCTAAACAGTTTATCAAACATAAGAAACGTGGTTTAAGGAGAGAGATCCCACCGCGTGTGTGCATCCTTTACAAACTTAAAATAATTTACAAACCAGCCCTAGTATTTAATTTATGTTCGTGTCATTATACACCGATAAAGAAAATGAACTTCAATCGTCAAGGACAAACTTGCCAAGTCTTGCTACAATAATATGGACAGTGTTTTGACATCTCCGACTCACCCACACCCTTCCCTCCCCCATAGACATGAGAAAGAGGTTGATCCAAAATAGAAATAAATATATACGTAATGTATCGAATGCATGCAACAACAACAACAACAACAACACCCGCAACCGTATGATCTTTAAACACAAAACCAATCGTATCATTTCTTCCTCTTTGCTGTTTGTCCTCATCGAGTAATAAAAAACGTGATTGAAAGAACGAAACTCGCCATCTTTGAAAATTACGACATTTAAATATAAATAGTTTCATATCTTTACCCTTGGGGCCACAGAAGCGGCCGTGCAAGCCATCCGTTTAAAGTACTTTCTCTTTCAAATCGCACGCGTCGTTTGCCGTTGTGGTACGAAAATATTATGTTCTTTGACATCTATTTTTGGCGCGTTGCACGGAGAGTTCTGTGGTTTTTGTGGTTCTCGAGATTGGAACAAAAGTGAAAAATTTTCTCTTTTTGGGTGGTTGTACGGCTCTGTCTGATGCTGACATAAACAAATAACAACAATAATAATGATAATAATAACAATATCAACAATATCAACAATAATAATAGAAACAATAATCATAATAACCTATTAATAATTACAGGAAGAAATGCACACCGGTGGGATGCATACTGCACAGTTTTGCATTCTGGAAGGTATCCAATAGTATATATATAAAGGCACTTTATATAAAGAATTTTATTTTTTTAATTTTAATTAATAATAACTTCTAGCTGTATTTTTTTTTATTTTATTCTTATTTTTGATCTGAATATTACTAATACTCTTTTTGTACAAAAGAAAAGATCATTAAACAATGAAACTTCTTGCGTTAACATCATTATTAGCTGCAACAGCTTCTGCTTTAGCTGTTCCACAACCAAAAGATTTATCATCTTTACAATTTCCAACTCAAAGAGAAGCTCTAGAGAAAAGATATTACGATTACGATCATGCTGCTGAACCTATTCGTGGTGTAAACATCGGTGGTTGGTTAGTATTAGAACCTTATATCACACCATCTTTATTTGAACAATTCCGTACAAATTCCGATAATGATGATGGTATTCCAGTTGATGAATATCATTATTGGCAACAACTTGGTAAAGATGAAGCAATGGCTAGATTAGTCACACATTGGGATACTTTTTATACTGCTCAAGATTTTGCAGATATTGCATCTCAAGGCTTTAATTTAGTTAGAATTCCTGTAGGTTATTGGGCATTCGATACTTTAGAGAATGATCCTTATGTCTCTGGATGGCAGCAACTTTACTTAGACAAAGCTATTAATTGGGCCCGTGAAAATAATTTAAAAGTTTGGGTTGATTTACATGGTGCAGCAGGCTCTCAAAATGGATTTGATAATTCAGGTTTAAGAGATACTATTGAATTTTTACAAGATGAAAATTTACAAGTAACAATGAATGTCTTAAAAAAATTATTAAAGAAATATTCTGGTGATGAATTTGTTGATACCGTTATTGGTATTGAATTAATTAATGAACCATTAGGTCCATCAATTGATATGGATAAATATAAAAATGATTATTTAGTACCAGCTTATGATTACTTAAGAAATTATTTAGGTAAAGATCAAAATATTATTATTCATGATGCTTTTGAAGCTTTCAACTATTGGGATAATTTTATGACTCTTGAAGATGGTGGTCATTACGGTATCACTTTAGATCATCATCATTATCAAGTCTTCTCCTCTGGTGAATTACAACGTTCTTGGGATGAACGTTTAGGTGTCACTTGTTCTTGGGGTCAAGGTGCCGTCTCTGAAAGTCATTGGACCGTTGCAGGTGAATTCTCTGCTGCTTTAACCGATTGTGCTAAATGGTTAAATGGTGTTGGTATTGGTGCTCGTTATGATGGTTCTTTCTATAAAAATGGTGTTTCTTCATATTACATTGGTTCTTGTCAAGATAATGAAAATGTTTCCTCTTGGTCTGCTGAAAGAAAACAAGATACTAGAAAATATATTGAAGCTCAATTTGATGCTTTTGAAATGAGAGGTGGTTGGATCATTTGGTGTTACAAGACTGAAACCTCAGTTGAATGGGGTGTCAATCAACTGATCGCTAATGGTTTATTCCCACAACCTTTGACCGATAGACAATATCCAGGTCAATGTAACAACGCTTAATCGTTCCTTTTTTTTTACCACTATTTTCATCTTAAAAAATAACAACATTTAACTACAGTTTCTACTTCATTTTCTTCTTCACTATACGGTTTTCCCCTTTCATTTCTTTTTATGGAGCTTTTTTGCCTCTCTATCTCTTAATTACACATACATTTTATACACATAACACACATACATAAACATATATACTTGAACTGATTGCTATTATCTAGTCAAATAAAATCACAACACTTTCTTTTTTTTTTAAAATAAATAATCATAATATTATATTAGTATGCTAAATACAGATATATAGACATATATATATATATGGCAAGTTCATATGTATTGAAATTACATTATGCCAATGATCAACAATAAACCAATTATTATAGGTTCTAACGACACTCTAGCTGCTTGTCCTTCAAAATTATCTAATGAGATAGAGGTTGAAGGAGGAGGTGTAATAACACTAGAGATGCATGTTTCACAACCTGTCTCACATGGTCCAGCTAATGTAGCAGTCTGACTATCATCATTATCAGAGTATAGTGTTGTTGTAGAATCATGGAGCCATGTATCCTTGTCGTTCGACTTGTCCACAGTATTGGAAACAGTAGCTGTACGTGTGATGGTAGTGCCATCCATCTGCACAGTAGTTTCTAATACTAATGGAGATGATGAACGTGATACGTCAATAGGATCTTTGCTGGATTTATCCATTGCATTAAAAGTTGTAGTAGTAACCGATTTAGTCATTGTTGTAATAAAACTTGTCTGGTCAAAGGCTTTGTCCTCCGTTATCCCAGAACTTGAGGTCGAAATTGATGATGCTGTTGTAGATATACAGTCACCAGGATTCATGGAGGAAACTGAAACAGCTGGGTCTGCTGTAGTTGACGATTGTATTGTGAGCTCGCTTGAATATGATTCCTCGTTACTATGCATGGATGCTTCACTAGTGGTGACTGTTAATGAAGAAAAAGAAGTTTCAGATGTTATACTGGATAATGGATCAGTCGCTAAACTTGAGGTTCCACTTGCAAGAGAGTCAGTTGTAGACATAGTGGTGGATGTAATATCCATTGAGGATATGATAGTACTGGTTTCTAAATCTGTTGTGATATAATTTGTGGAAGAAGCTTCGATTGAGGAGTCTGCTTCACTAGTGGAGGACTCGTAGGAACTACTAGAGTGGGTAATAGAAGATGTGACAGATGGGGCACTGGATTCGGTGTCAGTAGTTGAAGTGTCACTGGACAAAGAATCGCTACTATATATTTCGCTTGTCGAGAAATCACTTGTCACTGGATCACTAGTGTATACGTCACTTGTTGATACTACTTCACTTACTGAAGAGGTAACTACCGATGAGGGTTCAAACGATGTTTCAATGGTAGAAGACATTTCATCAGTAGAGGAACTTTCGATTTCACTCGTTGAGGAAGACGTTACAGGACATTGGTTTGGATATACTGTTGTTGGTGGAACAATCTCACTATCAACCAACGTCTCATCATCAAAGACTGGACAATTTGATGGGAAAACATTATTACGATTCCCATCATTTGTGATAAAATCTTCATTTGGTTCATAATAAAAATATTTATCACTAAATTGATATGTTGTATCACCGATTGTAAAAGTAAATACATTATTGAAAGCATCACCATTTACTAAGACACCCATTCTTATTTGATAGTAACTTCCTTCATAATAATAACCTGAACTTAGGAATTTACCACTTGAAAAACCTGAACTTCTAACTTGAAGTTCATTAACTTTTGTTGCTTCCAAATAAGCCCAATTAACAGAATTATTCCATGTACATAATACACCTTGATCAGTTTGATTCAAGAAAATATTCTGTCTCCAAACCCAATAATCTGTTTCCATTTGAAATGCGTATTCTTTATCACAATCCCTAGTCGGACTAAGTGCAGAGTTTAACCTTAAACTACCAGTTTTTGGTGGTTTGAAAAACCCTCTAAATTCTACAACCATATCATGATCGTCTGGTGAAATATAAAATCCAAATACTTCATTCATTAAATATTTTATACGATTACTAGTGAATATATTTGAACCAGCTTTTTGAGCTAATAATTCTCCATCTGTTAAATATTGCAATTTTTCTAAATAAGCTTGACGTTCAGTATAAGTTTCATCACCTGTTAAAGAAGTTTTATAAAGTCTAACGGCCATCCCTGGTTGAAAATTCAATGTACCAATATTTGAAGTTGTTATAGTGGCTATAACTTGATCAAATATTAGCACTGATAAAAATGCATATAATGTTGTAAAAAATAACATTTTGTTGTTGTTGTTGTTGTTGTTGTGTAATTTTTCTATAACTCTGAGACCAGAGACCAAAAATTAAAAACAGAAAGACTGAACAAATAACACAGTTGTACTAGCCACATTGTTTCTTCCTTATATATATATGTATAATTTTGCCAGCCTAAATTACTAGATGATTGAGCAACAATATGTGCTAATCCCCGAAGATCTCTTCCAGAAGCTTAATTTATCTAATCAAACACAGTAATCATAACCGTCCTCCCAGAATAGAAGCATTACTAGAAGGCCATCGGATCTTCTGTTAAATCCCATATTTTTAGCTCACAATTCTCCCTTTCCAAAACTCTAAATATATCAACCAAACCATAATATGCAGTATTCAATAATCCCAACACTTGTAGTAGCCTTTATTACCTATGCAGCTCAAGTAACCAGCTATTTATTGCATCGAAGTCCCATCTCATCGTATTTATTAGTTCAATAGTAGAAAATCATACGACAATTGTTAATATAACAATGGTATCTGTACAGCAGTTTCTGTGAAATCTCTATATTTTCGCTCTCTCTTGTGGATCTTGCTCCCTATATAATCGAAAACCACCGATACCACACAAATCCCCGTAGAGGCAGAAGAAGGTGATTTCCAGTAAATACCCGCGGGCACAGATGTTCCGCAGATCAAGACAAATTCCTCTAACAAAACCCCCAAAGAAGTATACCAAATATAGAAATCTATCGATTTGCCAAATGACCAGCATATGCATATACTCCCTCTGTGTGTGCATGCAAATGCCCTAGATGCCCAGGCTGGTTGTGGTTGCATTTCTCTTGTTACATCGTTATTTAATCGAGAGGGCGTGCAGTTGAGAATGGTAGGGGTCACGGTCTCCACGGAACCTGCAATGGTGGATGACGACACTTAACAATCATTCTTAGCGTACCATGACTAGATGAGGAGGGGAAGGATGGTTAGAGTGTAATCCTGCAAAGGGGGTGGAGAGGATAAGCCTTACGAGAATCTAGACCTGATAAGATTGAAAACCGTAAAAGAATGGAATTTATAATTGGTTCGCATTTTAATGATAGTCTCCATTTTTTTGGTCGTTGAATTTTATATACTATCAATATGTTACATAACTATAATGTCGCTAATTTTGTTTTTTGGCCACATTTGACTGAATTACCTATGGACCCATCCCAAGAATTACAACATACCCATATATAGCCCAGTGAATTCTGGACAGCACTACAACGATCGTAACTAGTCAATATTTTACCCTCACTCTTGAACATATCTTAAAGTTCTTTGTCCTCTCTCTTATATACTATACCAAAGAATTGACCGCATCGAACAAACAAAAGGCAGAAAAGAAAATGAATAATTCTCGCGTGGTTGGAAGTTTACGCCTTTCGCATTAAAAAAGCACGAAAAAATAGTACTAATAAATATTTACGATAGCTATGTCCGATGCGTAATGTTTGTATTACAATAAACAAACACTCAAATATCTTCTTCTTTTCTTCTTCTTTTTGAAGTATACAAGACTACCCTTTAAGTTCGTACTTCCTCACCAAGGATATAGCAGAATCAGGACTATCACCACCTTTTATTTCTTTCTTTTTAAACATAAACAGAGCTCGGTAGTTAGCCATGACTTCCGGTATGCCCACAATAGACCTGACGTTGGAGGATTCTGATGAAGAAATGAATTTACCAAACGTCAATGAAAACGGTAGTACAAGTAATGAGACTCCGAATGCAAATAGTTCGTATCATAGTATATCTGGGAAGCTTGATGAACTGTTTGAAGAAGATAATAAACAGATACCGAGTCCAACAAGTAGTGATGAACCAAATGATTATGATGAAAAACATATTCAACACGCTACTACTGCAGATGAAAAATTAAAAAATTTAGCTTCTTTACAACGTTCAAGATTTATTAATATTGATACAGATAATAACAATAATAGCAATAATAATATTGATTCCAAATTAATATGGAAATTATCAAATGATACAACATCAAAAATTTTGACCCCTAAGGCCCCGGAGATGGAACGTATGGAATCTACTAGTTCTTCTGATGAGCTTGATGAAGTAGATGATGATAGTTCTATCTTTCAAAGAAAAGAAGAAGAAGAAGAAGAAGAAGAAGAAGAAGAAGAAGAAGAAGAAGAAGAAGAAGAAGAAATTGAAAAGAATTTAGAATTGTCCTCACATACTGAAGAATCTACTGAATTGCCAATCAAAAATGAATCAATTATTGAACAACACCAAGATAATTCGCCTGAAAAAGTGCGAAAAGATATTATAATACCAAATCCAGGAATTTTAACCCCTAAACAAGAAATAATAGAACGATCACAAATTTCAGAAACTGATAATAATTTATCAGATATTTCAAATGATAAGAACAATAGTAATAGTCCAGTAGAAACATCAAATAATGTTGAATCTCTTGAAACGTCAAATGATAATAATTTGTTAGACACTCAGAAAGATGACAACCAAATACTGGATCTAAAGAGTGAAAATAGTTCTTTTCAACATAAAACAACGGAACATAATTCTTTGGAGACATCAAATAACGAAATAGTACAAAATATTCCTGTTATTGAAAATAACCAACTAGAAATTCCAACAAATTTCGACATCTCATCAGATATTAAAAACGAAGCAAACGATGAGAATATAAAGATTAGTAGAACCGGGCACATTAATGATAACAGTAAAGAGCTATCAAAACCTGATCCTGAGGTAACCCAAAGTACTCCTCCTATACTTACAAAATCAGAAATCACATCTACTATAGAACCGGCCGATATTAATGACAATCCACAAAAGAGGAAAGCCGTAGAAGAAATCCATGATACAAATACTTTCAAAAAGAAATTCTTAGAAACGTCAAGCCAAAGTGAAAATCCATCCATCCAAGATCAAATTATCATATTGTCAAGTGACGAAGAAGAAGAATTGGAAAATGCTAAAGCTATTCCGGATCAAAGTCAAAAGGTTACTAATGCTGAGAAAATTGAGACCATCGATATTCCAAATAACATTACGGAAACTGAATCACTATCTGAAAACATTGAACTAACACAGAAGGAATACCAAAAACTTGAGAAAGAATTCACTACCAAGGAAAATTCTCTACGTAATAAACTGGATTCACTAAAATCTAGTAGCATGATCCTAGAGCGAAAACTGGAGAAAAGAAATGAGAGGTTAAAGCAAACTACTACTAAATTAGAATCATTTGAAAAGATGCAAACTTTGAGTTCTTCACGTAGATTACTTATTGCGGATACAAAAAGAACGGTTGAGTCCTTGACAGTTCAAAGAGATATGACATTGATGAAATATAAAAGGGTTCAGTCGAGTTTAGAAAAGACAAAGATCACACTCAATCTGCTAATATCAGAAAAGACAGACAAATTGGGAAAAGCAAAGAATAATCTAATTATGGCCGAAAGAGATTTTGAAATTAAATCTATTGTGAAACAAAGAAAGGAATTACTTGAACAGAAAGATACCTTAAATTTTATGTTAAGCGAAGGAACAATTAGCCAAAGTGCTCATAGGACAGCAATGAACGAAGTACAATCACAATTAACTAATCTTTCAGTCCAGAATAGAAGTGCTCCTGCTGTTCAGGACCCGCAAAAAGTAATAAATGGTATGAATAACAATTTAAATAATCAACCGGATTATTTCGTAAAATCTATTGAGGCTGCCAAAAAATTGATCCTCGAAAGTACGACAAGAACAGGGTTGACGAAACAAATGTTAGTACAACATTTAGATGTATTATTGAAATATAAAGATCATTTCGAGAGTGGTAGGACAATAGCAGCTTTTATGATGGGGACTTGTTTAGATTCCGCGGAGCTTTTATTCACCAATGGTGTAAAAATGCCTGTTGTTTATAATTTACTACAAGACTATGGGTTGAAATACAGAAAGGAAGGACTTATTCCAGTGGACAGAAGGTCTCAATACTTTAAGAGTATTGCGATTGCTAAACAGTTAGTGAACGAATCCTCAAGGTATGCAGATATCAAACGTTCCATATTGAGTCATTTGGACTTGATCGACTTATTTAGAAAAAATATTGATAACGGTACTCCTCCTGTACCCGAAACACGCATTATGGTAACCCGTTCCGTCATTTTCCTCCTGAAACAAGGTTTGAAGATGACCAAATTATATGAAAATTTAAAGGTTTACCAAGTAGGTTCAACAGAAGATGAGCTCCGTACTCTAATTCAACGGTCTAACAACCATCAGAATTTCAATATCTTTGATTCACATGATGACAAAGGTCTCACTAAATGGCAATTATCCCAGCAAACACACTCGAACATCCAGCAAAATAAATTACAAGGTAATGATGCGTTTCCATCGGGTGGTATAAGTAATATCCACGATGTACAGGATAAGGAATATATCCGTGAATTATTGGCAAACGTGAAAGAAACTGAAAACCAAATTGAAGGTGAAGAAATGACACCAGATGAACTGACGGTAAATTTATTAAGGCATCAAAGGATAGGTTTGAGGTGGTTATTAAATGTAGAAAAATCTAAAAGGAAAGCAGGACTATTGGCAGATGATATGGGCTTAGGTAAAACTGTTCAAGCGCTTGCACTAATGATGGCGAATAAGTCCGATGATAGAAGACAAAAAACCAATCTGATCGTTGCACCGGTCAGTGTTTTGAGAGTCTGGCAGGGTGAAATGGAAACGAAGATTAAAAAAAATGTCGGATTTACTAGTTTCATTTTTAATGGTGCAAAGGGTAAACTTAAAACTTGGGATGAGATGAAGTCTTATGATGCTGTTTTGGTGTCTTACCAAACGTTAGCTAATGAATTCAAAAAACATTGGCCTGACGCATTATCTATAGACCAGAAAAAGATCCCATCTATTCCAGACATCAAGGCGATGAATAAATTGAAAAGACACAATGAATACTGGTCCCCCTTTTATAGAGATGATTCAACTTTTTATAGAATAATTCTGGACGAAGCCCAAAATATCAAGAATAAAAAAACACAGGCAGCAAAAGCATGCTGCACATTATACAGTACTTATAGATGGGTATTATCGGGTACTCCGATTCAGAACAGTATGGAAGAATTATATTCTTTGATAAGATTTTTACGTATTCCACCTTACAATAGAGAAGAAAGATTTCAAGCTGATATTGGAAGACCGTTCGGTAAGAACAAAAAGTTTGAATATGATTCTGAAGACAGGAAAAAAGCGCTGCAAAAGGTCCAAGTGTTATTGAAGGCTATAATGCTTCGTCGTTCCAAAACTGACAAAATCGATGGTAAGCCTATTCTCGAGCTACCACCAAAAAATGTGGAAGTTGACGAAACTAGTCTAAAGGGTGAAGAGTTAGAATTTTACACCGATTTAGAAAGTAAAAATCAGAAACTGGCAAAGAGATTACTTGCAAGAAAAGCGAAAGGTAACTATTCTAGTGTTTTGACATTATTACTTCGTTTAAGACAAGCTTGTATTCATTCTGAACTAGTTATAATTGGTGAAAAGAAAAGTGAAACAACAAAAGTCGTGAACGGCAAAAATTTTGAAAGGGATTGGAACAGATTATTTGAAGTGGTCAATCGCATGAATATGATAAAAAGAAACACAGTTACAGAATCACTAGATAGGATGACATGCCTATGGTGTATGGAACAGCTTGAACTAGAAAACTCGTCTGTATTAACGGGCTGTGGTCATATGATTTGTGATGCCTGTATCGAACCTCTTACAGAAGAAGCTACTTTAGATTCTAGTGCAAGAATTGTAAACGATGCAATGATGTTACCATGTCACGATTGTCGATTATTAACAAGCGACAAAGAAATTGTTTCTTACAAGTTATACAACCAAACAGTGAATTTGAATTATACTCGTGCAGATTTACGTAGAGAGTATGAGTTGGCTATGGATAGCCGTAGGTCACGACCAGAGTACAGACCAGATATGACGAAATTGAAACCATCGCAAAAAATGACCCAATGCATGGACCTGATTAAGAAAGTGTTTGAAAATTCAACTACGGAAAAGATAATCATCTTTTCACAGTTTACTGCTTTTTTTGACATTTTTGGATATTTCCTAACTAACCTAATGAACGTAGGATACCTGAGGTACACTGGGGACATGAATGCACAAAAGAGATCTGATGTTATTAGTCAGTTTTATAGAGATGCATCCAAGAGAATTCTGTTGATTTCGATGAAAGCAGGTAATTCTGGTCTAACATTAACCTGTGCTAACCATGTAATCATCGTGGACCCGTTCTGGAATCCATATGTTGAAGAACAAGCGCAAGATCGTTGTTACAGAATCAGTCAAACTCGAGAAGTGTTTATTCACAGATTATTTGTCAAAAACAGTGTCGAAGATAGAATTGCGGAATTACAGAAGAGAAAACGTGAAATGGTAGATGCAGCTATGGATCCAAGTAAACTAAAACAGATCAACGGTTTAGGTACAAGAGAACTAGGTTTCTTATTCGGTTTGAACTCGCTGTAAAGTAATATCAGGTACTAGGAAGTTCACTCAAATGTATTTTATTATGAATAAATAATATCAATATTCAAGTATTTAATATGTGTATTTAACTGATAGATATAAAATAATGTTATAGAAAAAGAAACAAATATATAATTCTTTACTATGACAGAAATATAATGCTCAAATATCGATATACATTCAAGTAGTTTTATTTAGAGTCAATGTAGCTCATTATTCTTCAATTTCAATGGAATACAGCCACAAACTTTTCACCAGAGGCCTTACCAGCTTCCAAATCCTTCATTATTTGAATAGTATCTTCTAAACCATTGTTATAGACTTTAATTGGTGGGTGGATAAAATCACCATTGTAAAGTCTTGGATTAATTTCTGAGATAAACTTTATAATATCTTCTCTGTATTTTGGATCATACTTCAAGACATTACCACCTAGAGGTAAATCGAAACCTAGAGAGAAGTAAATAAAAGTATTAACGATTTTGATATTGTCTCTTTTAATCTCATCACTGATACTTTCAATGTTAAGACCATAATAGTTTAAGACAGTAGATTCCTCAGAGTCTGAAGCACATTGGTAAACTTGTTCTAAAGTATTCTTTGTAGAAACCAAGTCTAATAGATGCGGAATGTTTGGATACTTACCTTTGATCTGTTGAATTACGTCTTTATCATGATAATCGAATACGTCATCGGCACCATAAGCTTTCAATTGAGCCTCATGTTTCTTTGAAGCAACAACAACAATCTTAGAGTAACCATGATACTTTTTGGCCAGTTGAATCAAAGATTGACCCAAGACAGAGGCACCACCCCAAATTAAAATCGGGAATTTATGTTGTGGTTCTTTTGCTTCCCAATCATACTTCATATTGAAATGATGGAATAAAGAGCCACCTGCAGTGGTCCAAGCGCAAGGGATGGATGCAGCAGCTTCGTAGGTAGTAATAGCACCCGGTTGAATAATTTCTTTCTTGCTGAAACTTAGAGTCTTTGGGGCTGTGAATGCTAATTTAGAGTCTAAAGCCACATACTCTGCGTAAGCTCCATTATCTGGAGCTCTAACAGAAGCACCATGAACAAATCCATACACAAAATCACCTAAGTGAAATTTAGAATTGTCGACATCTGGAGTCATTTGGACAATTTCACCAGCAACATCACAACCTTCAATAGAACCTTGTGGTCCTAAACCATACTCAATATGTTTCCAATCTGTTGGGTTACCACCGACAGTCATTGTTTTAATCATAACTGAACCATTTGGTAAATTTGGCAGAGGTAGACCGCTCTTGACTATAGCATTCTTACCATCAATAACGACGGCCTTCATAGTAGTTGGTAGAGACATTGTTAATTGTATTAAATACTTGTATTATTTTTAAATTGTTTGTGAGTATTGAGATATACTTGAAATATAATGGTGTTATTATTACAACAATAATAATTAGAAAACAAGAAATAGCAAAAAGAAATTGCAATACATTGAATGGTAGACTCATTATATAGTATTTTAAATAAGGCTGAATGAGTTTTATGCTTATGTAATGGCCCCTTGAATTTCAAACTTACAAAGCCGACCGATTCGGCCGAACACGTTTTTTACTAATCATCTCGTTACATAATTTTTTTTTCACTTACTAAGCGAAGATGACTATCTTCTTAAGCTGATCGTTAGTAAGCACCGGGGGAAGGGGGCTTTTGAAAAAACAAAAAAGCCCCCCCATTTTTGACCAAATTTTAGGTTAAAACCCCCAACGGAAACACCGAGACCTAAAAAAAACACACCAACCTTCTCTATATATCATTTTTAACGTAGATAACAATTTCTATTATATGTGTATAAACAATATAAGAATTGAATGAATTGTAATATATCAATACTCAAAAAAAGACACGTAAGTAGCCAATTTCGAGTATCGTAACGTACATTAGCTTATACACTGTCCATTTACTATTGTTATGTAACTTTCTAGAATTAATTAATCATATTTATTGGAACAGAATGTATGTAAAATTGTATATTTTTCTTACGACAAAAAACACACATAAATCTTTCGAAAAAATCTTGATGAAAAATAACCAAACTGACAGCGAGAACGAGCGGATGGGGGCTTTTTGAGAAAAAATAAAGCCCCCCCGTGCTTGATCGTTAAGTAATGACCCCGTATTTAGAATACATACGTATCTTTTGGATAAAATCTCTGGGAATTTGGTGTTGCGCACAGCAGTATTCCTATTTTTGTTAACTTCCTAATAGTGGTTAAATCATATAGTTGTTATTCATTATTCTACGAAAAAAAATAGTACATATCCTTATAAATTTTTTATAGCTCTAAGATATCCTTTTCTGGACCATATACAACTAAACCGTTTGGATTAACCTCTAATTGGGAACGGTAATACAACAACTTGATGTGGTTGAAGTTAGTTGTGGCACTGAATTCCTTATGGTTCCAATACAAGTTTCTTAACCACAAATGAATGTAGTTGTAGTCATTTCTAATAGTTTTCCAATTCAATTTGAAATGAATAGCGTAAACTGGATCAAATCTAATGATAGTAGCGAATAATCTGATATCACTTTCAGTCAATTGACCATTGAATAAGAAAAATTTCTTCAAAATTTCTTCTTGATTGTCAGATCCATATTCTTTCTCTAGTGACTTGTAAACAGTCTTCAGTTTCTCTTCAACGGTATCTAGATCCTTGTAGAATTGGACAAGATTCTTTTCATAAACACCTTGTTTAGTGGCTAAACCAACCTCATAAACACCAAAGTTAATATGAGGAGATAACCATTCATTGAATTCATTAACCTCCTTAGAAATTGAAGCAGGAACTAAATCGATAGTACCTTGAGTTTCAGGTAAATCGGCAAAAGCACTGTTCAAAATACCTGGAAGTTGATCCCAATTGTTATTGACTATAGTCTTAGTCTTTAAATCCCATAAAATTGGAAATTCATGAGTACCAGTATATTCAACATTTGGCATCATATCATATAATTCCTTAATACTAGTTATACCATAGTTTGGATCAACAGTACCATCAACGAAGGGAACCTCATTATTATCACTTAAATCACCAAATAAGGTTGAAGAATCGTTCTTGGAACTAATGATACCACCATCAATAGAATGTGGACTATCGCTAAGCTTTGAAGCATCACCAGAGACAAGTTTCCAGCTTAGGTCATCCAATTTCCAATGAACAACAGTAACACCGATTACATCTGTTAAATTCTTAACAGCTCTAGTAATCCAGGTACGTTGAGCAAATGGACACCCAGCAGACAAATATAGCCAGTATCTACCTTTTTCAGGCTTGTAGATTGGATGATCCTTGGAGATAGTTTGTTCGAATTGAGCGACTTTAGAAGACATTATTAGATTTTTTGTTTTTGAGTAGTTGTAAAACTTAGTTTGCTATTTGGTTAAATATAGTTATTATTATTATTATTATTAATATTCTCTTAGGGTAAAGGAAATCAAATTCCAGAATGAAAATCAAAAGTCATCGACTTATATATTAAATATTAGCCTCATCGAAGTTGCCAATTCTCCGATTTCTCGAGCATTGAATCCCCTTATTCCTTCTTGTACCGTATAAAAGTACTCTTTGCATTAGCTAATGAAATATTTTAGTAACAAGTTTTCTACGAGGATTTCTTTGCCGCAACGTGCTGAGTAAGGATCTCGAAATTTTTTAGTAATCAGAAAAATCCTTTCCTTTTCTGCAGTAAAAGCTGAATAATTTACAGGATGAGAATGACAAAGACTAATCAACATACAAACTGTAAACAAAGGAGAGAGAAACGAACTTTATGGGTTTGAATATTGCTAATAGGAGGATGACTTATCATTGAAGATTAAGAATACGTATATAGTGCTGACATATACACTAATGTCTCTATTTGTAATATTTATAAAATGCGTTCACCACCAAAGGTGCGCTTATATTATTGGGAATATTACAATAATCTTAATTCTTATTGGTAATCGGGGTTGGTATTAGTATACAGAGGTGAAATTATGTAAATTATATGAAAGTTACTAATGTTTGCTTTTGTGTTTATGTTTCTTATCCTTTCTGACATCGTTTAGTTCTTTAGCTCTATTAACTTTTTCTTGGATTCTCTCTAGAGACATCTTAACGTCACCCTTTTGGAAGTTATCCAAGTCATAGTAAGCTGGAGCTAATTCTATCAACCATTCAGGTCTAACGGAAGTTACTGTTCTGATATAGTTTTTCGAAGTTAATACGAATTCATTGTAGACAACCCATTCAGAATCGTGGCCTAAGACAGTACTTGGATGCAATAGAACATCTTGATTATCCTTTACTGTGATGTAACCTTTACCACTAGATCTCTTCTTAGCAACTTGCATGAAAAACCCAGAGGCAAGGGCTTTCCTAATATTATCGAAATATTTGGGACTTTCATAATCTGTAGTATTCAATTCCAAATTATGACGAGTCATTAATCTTTCTAATTGGGCACGAATATTATCAGCGGATGCCAACGATCTATAATTCAAGAAATGATCACGACACCATTTATGAATACCGTACTCATAGGCTTCATCCGATTTGAAAGCATGATACACATTTAATAATGTGATATGATCACCGTCTGGATGAGCAAAAATATTCTTGAAGGAATCAGAACGCTTCTTGTCCTTTGGTGGACGGATAAATACATTCGGCACAGATAACATAGCAACAATGGTCAAAATCTCTTGAGAACAATGGAACTCGAAAGAACCAATCAACATGACAGCCAACATAGGGTCCAGTGGGAATTGAGAGGCAAGACGCCCCAATGCGGTTAAATTACCATCATTATCTAGACAAGCCAAATAATTTAATTCCTCAAGAGCTCTCATCATTGTCTCTGGGGCAGGTGGATCCATGAAGTCAAAATGAACCAAGTCATCGACACCAAGCTTTTTCAATTCTAAAACTGTAGAAGACAAATTGGAACGTAAAATTTCTGGATAACTTTGTTCAATCAATTCCTTTTGGAAGGCTTCTTCAGTATATAATCTGAAACATTTACCTGGTCTAGTACGACCAGCTCTACCAGCTCTTTGTTGAGCAGATGCTTTGGAAATTGGGGATACCAATAAGGATTCCACTCTAATTCTTGGGTTATAAACTTTTTGTTTTGAGAAACCTGGATCCACAACATATACAATACCGTCAATGGTCAAGGAAGTTTCAGCAATATTAGTTGAAATGACAACTTTTCTACCTGGTCTACCATTATGGGATTCAGGAGCAGGTTCAAAGATACGTTGTTGTTGATGTGGAGGTAAGGAACCATATAATGGGTATACAGACATTGGACCACAACCTTCTTCTCTAACTAATTGATCTGCCTCCAAAGAAATCTTTCTTACAGCTTCTTCAATTTCATCCTCACCGGTCAAAAACAATAGAATATCACCTGCGTCTTCTGTAGCATGGATTTGTAAAACGGTTCTAATAGCAGAATCTAAATAATCTCTTTGGAATTCTGGAGTGTAGTACAATTCAACTGGGAATGTTCTACCTGGTACTGCTAATAATGGTGCATCACAGAAGTAGCGTTGGAATTTCTCGGCATCCAAAGTAGCAGACATGATAATCAATTTCAAATCTGGTCTTCTAACAACAACTTGTTTCAATAGACCCATTAAAATATCAGTAGCTAAAGTACGTTCATGCGCTTCATCCAGAACAATACATGAATAACGAGATAAATCATGATCTTCCATGGCTTCTCTTAGTAACATACCATCTGTCATGTATTTCAGTATAGTCTTGTTAGATGTTTTATTTTCAAATCTAATAGAATAACCGACTTCTTCACCTAATTTAACATCCATTTCTTCAGCAACTCTTTGAGCAACACTCATAGCGGCGACCCTACGAGGTTGGGTACATGCCACTTGTGTGTTTTCCAAATGAGGCATCTCATCAAATAATACAAATTGTGGAATCTGAGTAGTCTTACCAGAACCAGTTTCACCGACAAAGACCATGATCTGATTCTCTTGGTATATTCTTAAAAACTCAGCACGTTGAGCGTGAACAGGTAAATCACGTCTAACTTTTAGAATCTCAAAATATTTAGAACTAAAATTTTTACCTGTGAATGGATTCACTGTATTATCTTCTAATTTTTCAGCTTGTTCAGCAGTAGTTTTGTGACGAACCAAACCGTTAAATTCACCTGCATCATGATGAACCAATGGAGATTCTTCACGAATTGGATGAATTTTAGTCAATTCTTCAGCAACTTCGGCTGCTTGTTCTGGAACAGATGTTTTGACAGGGTCCGGGCAAACGTGTCCTTCTTCAGATAGTCTTCTCTTTGATGCCATTTTATAAAGAAATGTTTTTCTCTATCCAAAAAAAATAATATGCTTGATATATATTAATATTCACAGCAGTAAAGAACAACCTCTTTCTTATTTCGTCTTATCCTTTTGTCATAACTTTAATAATAGTTGTATACCGTTTTACTTTATAGCTCATCGCTAAAATTTTTCCTCTTGAAATAAATTTTTCCCTCTCTCAGCCAAAAAACAGAAAAAAAAAAGAAGCCTGAAATTTCAAATTATGGCCATGTTCAATAATTAAAAGGGGAGACTTCTAAAGAGCACTTAAAAGGGAGTGAAAGAGTCGACTGGGACAGAAGGACAATAACAATATTGATAGTTATAAGAGGGAATAAGAAATCCAAATAGTCATGTCAACCCGTCGCTCGTTGTACTATGCATGGTGCCTGTTGTCGTCGTCAAAATCTGTAGTAGAGAAGTCAGTTCCAATGGCTGGGAAAGCTTTTAAACAATGGTTTGATGCATCACCATTAGTTGGATCAGCTTTGAATAATTGTCAGATGTACCGGGATAAGGACTGGGATGCAGCTAAAGTATTATCGGAGCAGATCAGACACAGCGGATCTATTGGTACGAGGAAACCGTTTAGTGGAAAGAGGCAGTATTCAACCACAGCTAGAGATAAAGACGTATGTAAATAAATATACAGAAACAAAAGCAAATAATATTATTCCTATAATTTAATGATGTTAACAATACAATTTTTTTTAATCTTGATTTTTACTAACTAATCTACTTTAGAAAACAGAGGAATTGAAAAGTTCAGAAGTTCCAACATCGAGAATTTCAAGATTATTCCATTATGGTTCTTTAGCAGCAGGTGTTGGGTTGAATGTTGCCAAACAGAGTATCTCCGAAGTTGCTAAGGGTAAATCTCCTCAATGGAAATCGATGATTCTTTCTGATGCTAATATCGATAGAATTACAGCCAAATTTTCACAAATGAGAGGTGCTGCATTAAAAATTGGTCAAATGATGTCATTTCAAGATGAAAAATTACTTCCAAGAGAATTATATGAGATTTTGAGTCGTGTACAAAACAGTGCAAACTATATGCCAAAGAGACAACTAGAAAGAGTAATGACAAGAGAATTAGGTCCCGCATGGAAGTCAAAATTTATCAACTTTGACGAAATTCCATTTGCTGCTGCAAGTATTGGCCAAGTTCATAAAGCAACATTAATATCTGGAGAGGAAGTTGTTTGTAAAGTACAATATCCAGGTGTAAGAGATTCTATCGATTCAGATTTGAATAATTTATTAATGCTATTAACTGCTTCAAAATTATTACCAAAGGGCCTATTTTTGGATAAAACTGTCGCTAATGCACGTAAAGAATTGAAATGGGAATGTGATTATATCAGAGAGGCTCAAGCGTTACAAAAATTTGGAGATTTACTTCAAGGAGATCCCGTATTCGATGTTCCAACAGTCTTTAAAGAATTAAGTACGGAAAATGTATTGACTATGCAACGAATGCCAGGTACAGAAATCATGAAATTACCAGATGCCACAACCAATCAAGAGACTCGAGATTTCATCTCTGAAAATATCATGCGGTTATGTCTAGAAGAGATTGCCACATTTGAATATATGCAAACAGATCCTAATTGGGCAAATTTTTTATACAATGATAGAGGACCAACCCCTAGAATAGAATTATTGGATTTTGGCGCATCTAGACCTTTCCCAGATGGATTCATTACGAAATATAGGAAACTATTGACGTATGCAACGTTGGGAGATCGTCACAATGTGCAAATAATGTCAAAAGAGCTAGGTTACCTGAATGGTCTTGAGTCACAAGCAATGATAGATGCTCATGTAGATAGTGTTATGACTCTTGGGGAACCCTTCAGTGGCGATGTGAACAAAGCATTTGATTTCAGAGACCAAACTGTTTCGGACCGAATCCGTGGTAATATTGGTTTAATGCTAAATGAAAGGTTATGTCCTCCACCAGAAGAAACTTACTCTTTACATCGTAAATTTAGTGGGATATTCCTACTGTGTGCACGTATGGGAGCACGTGTTCACTGTGCAAAACTCTTTCAAGAAGTGTTTGCCCTGCATGAATAAAATCATAAAAGAAAGAACTCCCTTCAACATGTATATAAATACTTCAAAAAAAAAAAAATAACCAAGGTAATTGATGAGTCATATGAATGTGTCACCATCGTTATCCTTACCTAGCCATTTACTTAATATCTATATTTCCTTCGCATTATATAAGCAACAACGAAAAAACGAAAAATTATCAGTCAAAGATAAAAAAAAAGAAATAGAAAATTTTTTTTTCAGTGAAATAATCAGCTCATCTCATCGAAAATATAGGAAAAGCTTTTGTTTGAGAATCGATATATAAGGAAGAACTTTGAGAATAGATATGATTGACAACCGTAAGGACGAGATACAACAACTGACAATGACTGAGACTGTGAAACAGCTGACGAACGCATTGGCATTGCCATTCCTGGAGATAGTAGATGAAATTACAGAGGATTTCATGTACCCTCGTGGATTGACGACGTCGCCTGTTGAATTAATGTTAAAGGAAGAAATTTTACTGCCGGAACATATTGTGAAGGATGACACATATAAGTTTGGTCACCCGATCATCTTCGAACTGATTGCTTTGCGTATCAAGATTACTAAATTGCAAGCATTAGACGTGAAGGAATTTACAACGGTGGATAGTAATGGTTTTGTAGGATCTAATGCTCAAAAGAGACTAGTCGACATAGAGTTAATAATGCGTCATATTCATAAGAAACTAAACCATGATAAGTTAGTACTGTCACGGTTCCGTATTTATAACGGAATCCTTGTCGCATGCGAACCTCAATTTGAAAGTATATTTGAAATGTTTGATACTTTGGGTATACTGATAGGTTGTCTAACAAAGGGCCCCCAAGGGAAAGGATCCGTGGTGACTGAACAAGTTCTTGAATTTTGTAATACAGCAGATCAATTATATAAGGATACCTTGTTATCATCGAGTGGATACAAGGATTTTTGTGAATTCCAACATGAACAACACATCAATGATTCATTAGAGAAATTATCATTCGAAGACCAAGCCTTGAGTTCCTTTTTAAATGATAGAAAGGCTTTATTACATATTACAGATAGAAAAATCTTTTAAATAATCATTTTACTGAAAAGTATTAGTATTCTAATTTTAATTAATCACGTCATATTGTTATGAAAAACAAACAAACTTTGAACCTTTTTATCAGCATATCAGTCAAAGTATTGTGTCTAGGAACCCAACAACAGCATATTATTCAACATTACAACCTTATTATGGTATATCACTAGTAGGAAAATAGTTGTCATGTTATCTTATATATATATATAATTTTGCGTATATCACCAGGAGTGTACTGCTCTTTTCGGTAACAACCTAATCCTGTAAGGCTATACATCTCCAGTAAGCCATGCACAAAACTAAACAGAAATTATAACCATCAACACAAGAGCTAGCCCCTTCTATTTTAATAGTATTGTAACTATCCTCAGGGTACCATCGTTTGCTCTTGTTTGTTTGCAGTGTTATTTGTGTCGTTTTGTCTATGGCCTCTCCCTACCTCATAACATTACCGCATTCGGCAATTTGTAAATAGCGAACCATTCTAACACAAGAAATTTTTCAAATTCAAATCATTTAAAAAAGGATAAAACCACTGAAAGAAGTAATAAGCTTCAATGAAAGGAAGGTGAACAGTTCCAAAGAGGAATCAGAGCAAGGTAATAATGAAGAGTAGTAACAATCCACATAGGTCGGTGTTGTCGACAACTTCGCCGGCCAAATTGAACGTAATTTCAGAACGTCGACCAGGAGATGGGAAAGTGAATAAATTATCACTAACCAGAACCAGTTCATTAGACATAAGACCAGGTAGACCTCAGTTTGGTAGACCCACATTTCCGAAGGGGACCAGACCACAGTTGCTAAGACGTAACTCATCTTTTTTCAAATGTAATGAATTTACCAAGGAGGAAGATGATGATGATGACAATAATAATAATAATGATAATGATGAGGCCTTACCGAGTGGGACAGGAGATAGATTTATTCCGCTGTTACAGAACGGTATACAGTCAAGGATTGACCATAGAGAGTTAAAGGAAGAATTACCTCCACCAGATGCATCTCCAGTGACCCATTTACGTGCCCAGAAGAAATGTGTCTTCAAGACCCAAGTGGCGCAAGCATGTGGACTTAATGTTAACGAACGTATATTACAATATTTACCACAACCACCAGTGGCGAAATTTAAAAGATATGAGATGAAATCAAGATCTCAATTTAGATTTGATAGTAACGATAATGAATCACCAATATTATTAAAATTACGTAAGATTGGAACCAATCCAGAAAGAATTCTTGATGCTCCAGGATTTCAAGATGATTTTTATTTAAATTTATTAAGTTGGTCAAGACGGAATGTTTTGGCCATTGCTTTGGAGTCGTCCTTATATCTGTGGAACGCTACATCAGGACAAGTGTCTTTATTAATGGAACTTGAAGGTGTATTAATAACAAGTGTTACATGGTCTGATGACGATTGTCATATTTCTATCGGGACAGATAATGGTACTACACAAGTTTGGGATACAGAAACTTCATCGAAGGTTAGAACAATGAGATCAGGATTAGGTGTAAGGATAGGTTCTCAATCGTGGTTAGAGACCTTAATTGCCACGGGATCCCGGTCTGGGGAGATACAAATCAATGACGTAAGAGTACGTGATCATATCGTGAGTCGCTGGGATCGTCATGAAGGGGAAGTATGTGGTCTTGCTTATAAATCCGATGGTACACAACTAGCCTCTGGTGGTAATGATAACACAGTGATCCTATGGGACACTAGAAACTCTATGCCAATATTTACAAAAAGAGCACACAATGCGGCAGTCAAAGCAATTGCATGGTGCCCATATCTCCCAAATTTGTTAGCCACAGGTGGAGGTCAAGCTGATAAACATATTCATTTTTGGAATACTACAACAGGAAATAAATTAGGTTCGATAAACACAGGTTCTCAAGTTTCATCATTACATTGGGGTCAAAGTTATTCATCCACGGATGGTTCAAATTCTACAATGCATAGAGAAATTGTAGCAACAGGTGGTAATCCAAGTAATGCAATCTCTGTATTTGATTATGATACCAAATATAAAGTGGCAGAGATTCCTCATGCACATGAAACAAGGATTTGTGGATCACAATTGTCACCAGATGGTACCACACTGGCTACAGTTGGTGGTGATGAGAACCTTAAATTTTTTAAAGTCTTTGACCCTCGCCGTACGAATCGTCGCCGTCAAAAGACAACATTGGGACCTTTACCCCCACATGAACACCAGGAACTCGACCCATTGACCTCTCAGGCTAGGACTGACTACATAATAAGATAACAAACACTAAATAGTTTTTTCGTAGAATAATTTAAAGTCAATATTCTCATACCGTCATTTTTTAACTGTATAGATCACGTGCATCCTCGAGCTCGCGAAATCCTTTTTTTGATTTTTGGCCTTTTTTGAAAGAAATTTAAAAAGAAAGACAAACATTTAACAACAAGACATGAATGTAATTGGTTAATTAAGATGGTACAAGAGTTAAGAGAATTTAATTTTATATAGTGAGTCGAACGTTTGGATATAATGAACGAGACAGGTACTGTTTCCGATAGCCACGACGTGGAGAAAGTACTAGTTGAGCAGAAGCTCGCTGTTGAGTCGATTAGAACATTTTTGAAGAGTAAAACATCGTACGATGTGTTGCCTGTTTCGTATAGATTAGTCGTCCTAGATACATCATTACTGGTAAAGAAGTCCCTAAATGTGTTATTACAGAATAACATTGTCTCTGCACCACTATGGGATTCGAAATCCTCGAAGTTTGCAGGATTATTAACCTCTAACGATTTTATCAATGTCATTCAATATTATTTTTCAAATCCTGATAAGTTTGAATTAATCGACAAATTACAACTTGAAGGTTTGAGGGATGTTGAGAGAGCTATTGGTGTTGAACCTTTAGACACTGCATCGATTCATCCTTCACGACCTTTATTTGAAGCATGTCTAAAGATGTTAGATTCTAAGAGTCGTAGAATTCCATTGATTGATAAAGATGAAGAAACGCATCGTGAAATTGTTGTGAGTGTGTTGACACAATACAGAATTTTGAAGTTTGTATCCCTAAATTGTAGAGAAACTCATTTTTTAAAGAGACCTATTGGTGATTTAGGGATTATCAGTGATAATGAAGTTAAGAGTTGTCATATGACTACTCCTGTGATAGATGTAATCCAATTATTATCACAAGGTGGAGTATCTTCCATTCCTATAGTAGACGATCAAGGTGTCCTAGTAAATGTTTATGAAGCAGTTGATGTCCTAGGGTTAATTAAAGGTGGTATTTACAACGATTTGTCTCTAAGTGTTGGAGAGGCTCTAATGCGTCGTAGCGATGATTTTGAAGGTGTATATACTTGTACAAGAAATGATAGATTATCCACGATTATGGACAACATTAGAAAGTCTCGTGTGCATAGATTCTTTGTTGTTGATGAAGCTGGTAGACTTGCTGGGGTACTTACCTTGAGTGATATCCTTAATTACATCCTTTTGGGTGCCAATTAAATACCATGCAAAGGAAAACAAAACAAGAATCTTTAAAAAAAAGAAATTATTTTATTATTATGTATCTCTTCCTATTTAATGAACATCTAAGTATCCATCATCCGTCTATTAGACACCTCTTTCTGGCCTGCCCTTGTTTCTTATCACATTAATAAGCAGTTGATCGCTAAGATCGGCCATTTTTCGTTTTTTCAATTCTTGAAAAATAATATTTAAGAGATGAGCTGAAGGAACATGATAAGAAGGCATATAGATAACTATATGATCAAAGGTAATTAACTTAAACTATAAGTTGTGAGAGGATCACTGTACGCTAAAACATAATAATTTAATATGAGTGACTGTGGAAGGATAAGAAGGGTTCAGATACGGCATAGATTGACAAGTCATGATTGTCCTGAAACTATGCCCCCTTGGGATGAAAAACCTGCCATTAAACAAGTTACAATGAGAGGAACCATTGTGGGTTTAACAATTGGATCAATCGTCCTAATATCAAATTTCCAATTTGGGTTGCAGACGGGGTGGGTATCAATGATGTCTTTACCGTCTGCTTTGCTTGCTGTGTCATTTTTCAAACAAGTTTGGCCATTGTTTTATCCTCAATGTTGTCCATTTAGTGATGTAGAGATCGTTTATGTTCAGAGTCTTGCAGTGGCTGTTGGCACTGGACCATTGTCATTTGGATTTATTGGCGTAATCCCGGCCATTGAGAAGTTTGTCACTTTTGAAGAGAGTGGGAACTCTAGGGTTCAGGGAACATCATTTACTTTAGCACAATTATTAGTTTGGTCCTGTTCTTTAGCCTTTTTCGGTATATTTTTTGCTGTACCATTAAGGAAACAAGTTATTGTAAAGGAGAAATTAAGGTTTCCAAGTGGGAGTGCCACAGCGATACTTATTGCGGTATTAAGTGGATCTGAAGTGTTACAAGAGGTGACAACTGATGAACTAATGGATATGAGAAGTAGACGTATGGCCGCAGAGTGTCCAGAGGTATTATGTTTGGATGAAGATGAAGTTCGAGAGGATGATCGCTTGACATCTGGACAAAATACCGAATCGTACAATTCTTATAATAGTCACGATGATTCGGAGTCTACACTGGCCACCGACAGTAGTTCATACAGTAAGAATGTACTGATACTTACAAAAACATTTACTGTATCAGCAGTATATACCATATCCTCGTATTTCCTACCAATATTACGTAGTATCCCTGTTTTTGGTCGTTATGCATCGAAACACTACTTATGGAATTTCCAACCTTCACCTGCATATATTGGCCAAGGGATTATTATGGGTTTACCAACTGTTAGTTATATGTTATTTGGATCGTTTTTAGGCTGGGTAGTTCTTGCAAGCGTAGCAAAACATAATGGTTGGGTTGATCCAGATGTTGATGTTGGTGATTGGGAACGTGGAGTACAAGGTTGGATTCTATGGTGTTCTTTATCTATTATGGTTGCCGATAGTGTTGTAGGGTTCTTAGTAGTTACTATTAAATCGTTAGTAAGATTCATGCTTGTTGATGATAAAGCAGAATTATTGAACACTATATGGGATGATTCTTTGAAGTCCATGTTATTGGAAGAAGAGCGTGCGTTGAATAAACGTAGTTCCCAATCGAGTTCTCAAACTCAGGAGACTATACGACTTGTAAGTACTACAGTGGAACATGAAGTCGATTCAAGACATCTAGTCACTTACACAACTGTGCTTAGTGGATTAGTTGTCTCTAGTATCATTTGTGTTACATTTATCGTCTATTTATTTGGAAGTGATATTATACCTGTTTATGCAATGGTTATTGCACTAGTATTTGCATTACTATTATCAATTTTGGGGATCCGTGCCTTAGGGGAGACCGATTTAAACCCTGTGAGTGGTATTGGTAAATTATCTCAATTGATATTTGCATTGATCATACCCAAAAATCACCCAGGTAATATACTATTAAACATTGTTGCTGGTGGTGTTGCAGAAGCAGGGGCTCAACAAGCTGGTGATCTAATGCAAGATCTAAAGACTGGCCACTTACTGAACGCCTCTCCAAGAGCACAATTTGTTGCTCAACTAATAGGTGTTGTTTGGTCAGTCATCTTGTCAAGTGTCATGTACATATGTTATAATAAAGTCTATGACTTACCAAATGATCAAATAAGAATACCCACTGCGGTTGTATGGATTGATTGTGCAAGATTGGTCGCAGGTAAGGATTTGCCAGAGCGTGCCTTAGAATGTTCAATGATATTTGGTTCTATTTTTGCCTTATTATCACTGGTTAGGAACGTTTATGCAAGTACAGCTCATCCACCTAGATGGTTACATTATATACCTTCGGGAGTAGCAGTTGGGGTTGGTATCTACAACGTCCCAAGTTTCACCATTGCAAGATTCCTTGGTGGCTTAATGTCTCACTTGTGGCTGAAACACCAGAGAGGCGATCTCAGTATGAAGACCAGTATGATCGTCTTCAGCTCGGGACTTGTCCTGGGAGAAGGTGTCTGCTCCATCGTCACCATGACTCTCAGCTCCCTTAATGTCCCTCACTGGTGATTATTTGCTCCCCTTCCTCCAACAGCCTTTTTATAACGTTAGTATAGATGTTTATATAAGTTTCCTCGATTCTCATTGGGCCGTTGGCCTTACAAATAACAATGGTAGTAAAAATATTAGTATGTGCATTACCCGGAGATCACGAGAACGGTTTTTTTATATGGAGCCAGGACTAAAAATTTCTTTTTAAAAAACAAGTAAGGAAGGTTAAATTCAAGAGGAGAGAAACCCTGGATAACCTTTATCTGTACATATTTATCGAAGTTTTGATTTGGGAGGATGTACACTACCATTGAAGAAGAAATGAGCGACGAGATGGAGACCACAATTGAGAGTTCTAGCCTATTGGTGAGTGGGTTAAAAAGGAAGAGTGAGAATGTCGGTGAGGAACCGCATTTGGAGGCTGCCATTAAGCGAGTAGCCTTGAATGAAGAAGATATTACTAAGGATAATACGAGTGTTAAAACTGAGGAAGATGAAGTATCTGAGAGTTCTAGAAATTCTAGTAATAATAATCCCGATCATGTGAATCTGCGGATGTTATGTCTCGTGAGAGACGCATCATTGATTGTTGGACCTAAAGGTGAGACTATTTCAAGGATTAAAAATGAAACATCAACGAGGATTAATGTTTCTGAAAATATTAGAGGTGTTCCTGAACGTGTTGTTTATTTTAGAGGTTCATGTGAAGATATTGCTAAGGCGTTTGGTAAAGTGAGTAGAATTCTAAGTGGTGCCACATTAAGGGAAGAACAAGAAAACAATGAAACACAAGAAGATTCCAGTGAAGATCAGGATAAAGATATAGAGAACACGATCCCAATTACTGTACATTTACTCATACCCCATCATCTAATGGGATATGTCATTGGGAAACATGGTTCACGTCTTAAGGAAATAGAAGAATTAAGTGCAGCAAGGCTATCAGCATCTCCTTATCAACTGTTACCATCAAATGATAGAATATTAAAAGTGACGGGTGTTGCGGATGCTTTACACATCGCGACTTTTTATATTGCACAAACTATGACTAATTTCAAAGATAATTTAAGAAATAAGAAAACGATATTTTATCAACCGGGGCCAATGTATTCTGTTCTTGGAAAAAATAATCATTATCACAATAATAGTAATAATAGTAATTCCAGTAATAATAGTTATCGTAACAGAAATGGAATTTCTTCGAGGGGACCCATGTATATGATGGTACCGCTACCACTAAACAATGGACCAAACAATCAATCTGGAGCTGTATATACACCAGAAACTGCTGCCAATGCAACCTCGTTTGTTCCAACTCTACAGATTCCAAACGTTAGAGTGGTTGAAATACCACCACAATCACAACAACCATTAGTACAACAAGATGTATATATTGACGAGAACTTTGTAGGGAACATCATCGGTAAGGAAGGGAAACACATCAACTCGATTAAGGAGACCACTGGCTGTTCTATCTTCATCGAAGGTCCAATTAAGGGTGCCAAAGAACGGAAACTAACAATCAAAGGTACCCCAATGGGCTCACAGGCGGCCATCATGTTAATAAGCAACAAGATCGAACTTGACAAAAATAATTCCAATCGCCACAATAGTAACTGATAGTATTTTTATGCTGTCATTGAGAGACACTTTAATGATCCCGCGGTAATATGCAATTAACAGCTTCCTTGATAATGGCGGGGGTCATACAATGATAAATAATATTAACCAATCGAAAGATATGTAAATGTATATATTTTATATCAAAAGAACTAGCATTGGTCCTGTTCATACTTCCCACTGTTTTTTGTTTTATTTATTATTATTTTAAAGGTTTATTTAAATACCATTCGAATAGCGAAAGAGATTTCATGACTTCATGAGAAAACCATAATTTTTTCAATTTTTTATGCATAGCATACCTACAAAAAGAAGCATCGAAATAATTCTCAAAACAGAAGGAAATTGTTACTAAGATACAAACAATTATTAGGAACTTGTTACTTATTTATCAAGCCCGTAATCATATTTGAGCACCCTATTATGCGATGGAAACTCATTGCAAGAGTAAATTCGCTCCCAAAGTCGTTAGACATCGACTGGGAAAACCCACAAGCGATCGATAGCAATAATATCCCAAGTGATACGATAGAGTTAATAGATAAGAGTAGTTACTATACAGCAAGGTTCGTATTCCAAGATGACCAAGAATACTTTTGTCTTGAGAAATATGGTAAACAGTGGTGGATAAAATGGAAGATACGACATTTGATAGAATCCGACCTACAGAATAATTACAATCAAGTATCTACTAATAAATCAAATCAATTAGGTTATGATACGCATTGGGCACAGTTGAATATCAAGGAATTATTACCATATTGGCCTTTTCAACATGTTTTACAACCGGCACATGGAAACAAGCGTGGTCTTCAACTGAATATGACCCCACCTAATACAAATATAGCATCAAAAAAACAAAAGAACCATTCACATGCAGAAAGCGATAATTCTAATAAGAACCCCAATGATTATATTGTTTCAAAATATAATGAATTATTGTTTTCCCCAGATATAGCTTTAGCTTATTTTGTTAAGTCAACTCTGGTACGGTTTTATAATATGTGCAAATATACTGCAGAAGGTAAAGAATTGAAATTATTATATAAGAGTACCCTTGAGTTATTAGTAATGAATATTTCGGACTTTGATAAAAGACATTTGAAGCAGAATTTGTTGTTAATGGAAAGTACATCAGCTGTTGGACGACACAGTTTTGCAAAAGCTAGACAACATTGCCTTAGAAAATATCACATACATATATCCGATGATGAATCTATAAAAAGCCCAAGACTAACCGATCTAGAAGTTATATTGAAAGCCAGAGAGATTAAATTACAACTTATTTTATTATTGGAATTAATTAATCAATTTCATTTAGATCAGAATTTCCAAAATTTTCAAGAAAAATATAAATTAAAATTAAAGCATAGATCTTTGAACGTTACTCGTAGAGGTTTAAAACGAAAAATATCGACCGAGAAACAGGTGAAGAAGTCTTCTATAGATTATTGTGAGCTATTAGATTTATATTTGGATAAGTTGTCCATTTTGGAAATGTTATTGGAAACAGGCATATCTGTGAGTACTACTGATGGTGAGGGTGATCCTTTAACTGATTACAAAAAGAGTATTTTAAATAAAGCAAAAGAGTCATCATCAACAGGGTTTACTAGGTACATTTTGATCCCTTATTTTAGTAAGAAATTACCAAATACTGTTAAGTTCATTATGCACAAAATCAAGGGTCCAAACCTAAAGTTAACCGGTTTAACAGTGTCAAAAAATGGGAATAACGCAAAAGACCCGATTCAGCCATTATATGAAATTGATTCAAGACAAGGGTCAACTCCTGAAAGTGTGGTATCAACTCCTTCGTCGTTAAAAAGTATAGGTTCTTATAGCAGACCTAGTCTATCAAGAAGACCTAGTTTTGGTAGTCAACCTAGATTATCTCTGTCGCCTGAACTATTAGAATCAAGAACAAATTCCAATTTGAGTGAGTTTTTGGAGGCAGAGGCAAAAGCAATGCGGAAGTTACCGTCATCTTTGTCCAGAACATCATCTGATCTGGTGATAAATAAACTACAAAGAAGACAATTAAAGGCCGAAGAATTATCTACCAAGAAAGATAATGGATCTCTAGCATTTAAGTCAAAGACAACAATGACATTTTCTCAACCGTTTACAGGACATGAAACTGCATCGGTTGCATCCCCAAAATCTTTCCGTAGAGTTGGTAAGCGTACTCGTTCTAGCCTGGGCGATGTATCGATGGCAATCAAGGATAATATTAAATTTACCAATGAAGCATCGGTACAAGTTATGGCAACGCCCATGGGAAAGACATCTAAAACTTTGATGTCGAAGACGGTCAACATGGATCTAATAGTTGAGTCTCCAACAGTTATGACTCAACCAGATCAAGATTTTAAGGGCAATGTGGCTTCACCTCTATCCAACAGTAATTCAGCTTCTATCCATACACCTTCATTAAAACAGCGAGCACCGCAAATCTCCGTACTTGACCAAGTCATTGAGGCAACCCCAAAGGACAGGCCGGTTCGGATGTTTACTGACAATCGAGTCTCGGTACCTCCAGTAAAGAAGAAAGTTAGAAGAAGGTTGTTTGGGCCATGATTATTTATCGTTATCAGCATATATATGTATATATTAAGTCACTGTGCGACTCGTCATTACTTTAAATATAATATGAAATTTATTAGTATTATTATTACTGTTATTGTTATTATTACATAGAATAGAGGAACCGTATGTAAACAAATATATCTATGGATATAGAACCCCAAAATTATCATTCACCAAAAAACATTGCGTCTACTAACTGCCTAGTATCATCTCTCTTAAGTATCTGGCTAGCAATTATTACACCAGTTCTAGAAACCAATTTCTGTTTAGTTTCATTACTTATTTCTTTCTTATCTTCATTAGATTCTTCATATATTTCTGGTAAATCTTTCTTAAGGACACAAATTGCATTTATCACTACATCTACTAAATAAAATAATTCTTTATCTGTAAATTTGGTTTTGTTGTTTATTATAGTTTCAGAATCAAAGCATTCATCCAATGTCAAATTTTGTTCATTAAACACTAATCTTGCCCAGTTATGTAAGTTACCAAAGAAAAATCTAATTGATTCAGATTCTAGAACTGTAATACCTTTGAGACAACCGTAATAAGTACCAAAAACACGGTTTGTATCTAGAAAAGTCTTAAGTAGTGTTCTTGTGACCCTCGGTTTTAAAGATTTATAGACCTCTGGGAATTTCTTTAGGACATAATCTAATAATGAGGCAGCAAAGTCACGTAATGCGTTAGTCTTTTCCAAAAAATCATTAGTAGCCTCAGGAGTCTCTGAAGTTGGAGCACCACCAAGCTTTTTTGCCAATAACAGAGTTAGAATAGATGGCATTAATGAATGGATATATGGTTCTAAAAAGATTGAAGGGTTATTTAACAATGAGTATATTGTCTCAAGAATTGTCGTTAGTAATTGTAAATCTGATAAGTTATGTGTTATTTGTTCTGCAATAAATTGAATAAAATAAGGAACTAATTGATGTAACCCACTATCGGTCTTTAGAGAAGTTAGAGCAGCAGCTTTGAGATGTTGTTGTTGGCTATTGTGTTCTGAAGAGTCACTAATATTTTCCTTTGAAGTTAATGCTGAAATTATTTTATTAAAGTAAATTTGTAATTCTTTGGATAGAACGTGTTTAACCAAAGGTTTTACTTCAACATTAGTATTTTGACCTGGTTTCACTGCGGTCACAGGTAGAGATGTTTGTCCATTACCATTGTTCTCATTTTGATTCTGTGCAATTGCATTATTTGTAGACGAGCTTTGTAAAGAATTAGCATTCAATGTGGAGACGATTGCACCTCTTGTTGTTGGAGCGATTGTAGTTCTAATTTCATTGATGTTTGGATTTTGAGCAATAGCTGGTTGTACACCTTCTACAGCTAACCAATGAGTAGTGAATGTTGGCAAACGTGGCACTTGTGGTAAAGGTTCATTTATTAATTTATCTAGGTCAACTTCTTCTTCGTCTATATAATAAACAGGTTGTCCACCAGTGACATTTACACGTTTGAAAGTGACGTCCTTATCTCTAGCAGAACCATCATGATAACCATAAAGTGGTTCTACATTAAGCACATTTAGAGCCTTTGCGACATCTTCAGTTGACAACACTTCTGTCTTTGAATGACGTTTAAATTTCACAGCTTGTTCGATAATTTCAAGGATTCTATATTCGACGTCCATTGCTAATGCCTTCAAAACATCGTCACTAATTCCATCTAAGCCTAATGATTCAGCGACATCCTTGACGGTATCCTGTGGTGACCAAATAGTATAAGATTGCTGTTGATTAGACATCTGTTGTTCTCTTGTATCTGTCTCTCTCTCTCTCTCTCTCTCTGGTTTTCTTTCTATTACTAGTTGATATATAAATGTTTTTCATTTTGTTTTTTTCATTTGAAACTTTTCAGAAATTTAAACGCCATAAATTAAAATATAAATATTTGTTTGTATTTACTTACATATATAAAATGAATACATGATACACATATAGCTCACGTTCAAAATACAGGGCAAGAAGAGGGAGAGGTTAGGAAGAGAGGATGGAAACCCAATTGACACCATTACAACAGAATGTATTAGATAAGTACAGCGCTCTAGCTACAACATTGCATTCTCTAGATGCGGCTATCCAGGAGTTGAATGCAAGTCAACGTAATAAGGATAAGAGTAAAGCATCGCCAGAAGAAGTACTTTCGGAGATGAGAGAGTTAGAAGTGAAGTTAGCATTAGTAGGAACGTTGTTGAAAGGTAGTGTGTACTCATATGTGCTGAGCAACCAAGACAAAAACCAATAAACAAATAACAAATAAACAAATAAAACTAAATGAAGGGCAGGGAAATAATATTTTATAAATATATTAATAATATATATTCATACGGATACGTAAACGTATATACTAAATAAAAATGTGTGTATTAGAGAGATAGAGAGAGATAGAGAGAGGGGAGGAGAAATACATATACTTTGCGACATTAGATGTTGTAAATGACTACTTTACCATCCAGACCACAAGCTGAAGCTTGAGTCACTTGACCATTAGTCTCTTGGTAAGGTAATAACTGTGTGATTGTATTTTCATGAGCTGTTTCATTAACATCGGTAGAGACTTTACCTTTCAAATCCAATTGTTTAAATTTTCTTAAAGCAGAAATACCAAATGTGGCACTCACGTCTTCACTTTCATCCAGATCCTCATTATTATTGTTATTACCAGTATTATGGGCAGATAAATCTGTAGATGCAGGTTTATCTAGATCCTTAGCGAATTGCCATCCTCCAGTAGCTTCAGCAAATAATACTGGATGATTAGAAAAACCTGCACATAGAATTTCATGATCATTAATCCATAACAACGTATTGAATGGTAACCCATCAGGAGCATTGACTTGAGAATGATTATTATTAGCATCAACAACGTTTAAAGTACCTTCATGAGAAACATAACCAATACTTTCAATGGAACTTCTCCATTCAACATCCTCAATATAAGATCCATGATAAAATTCTCTTACAAGAGCACCAAATGGGAATTTATCACCCCATGGCGAACCAGCAACGGCATCCTTGGAGTCCAGCCCCTTGACGAAACCAGAGAAGATACGCATGTAACCATCAGTACCCCCGGAGGCCAATAGGACACCATTAGAATGCCAAGATAAACATCCTACGGTAGATTTGATAGGTTTCTTGATATGTTTAGAGACCCACCAGTTATTTTCTTGTTCATAATAACAAACGGCAATAATTCTAGCACTCGAACCTACTGCAAACTTGTAACCACTAGGAGCCCAAGAGACACAAGTAGCAGCACGATTGATTCTTAATAGAACCAGTGTAGGTTTGTAGGTTCCATCACTTAGAGGTTCCCAGACATAAGCGTTTCTATCCTGAGAACAAGTGACAATTCTACCATGAATAGAAATATCAACGGCAGTAACAGTCTTATCGTGATTAGATAAAGTTGCCACTAATTGTGGAGAACCATTGGTGAAACGATAGATCAGACAATCGTTCTTGCAAGTGACTGCCAGTAACGATTTGTCCTGGGAGAAACAATGCGAATAGATAGGGGCCTTAACAAGCTTGAAGACAGCAGAGACAGATTGGGAGGACATCAGGAGACTCTCGACTAGATGTATAGTTGGTGGTGGAGTGTATAGATATATATATATATGTGATTGTATCCTCACTACCCAATCCACTTTAGTTGTATATCTGCCCCTTTTAATGGTTCGAAAGAGACCAGTGAAACGTTGTGTGTTTCTTGCCAAAATTTCGTTTTCTTTCCTTCACCAAAAAAACGAAAACGAAAAGGATTCAGTGAGACTACAAAGAAAAGGCTGTCAAAATGGATGATAAAGGGAGAACAAAGGGTAAGAGAGGTTGGTGGTGCTGGTTCTATGGATCAGCAAGAGTTGCGTTAGAGGAGGAACAGGTGTGTCGTTATAAGAAATTGTAGTCTCATTTGCACACCATGGATCAGTAACCTTTTGGGAACCTCCCGCATTGCGTGCAAGCGTTAGCTCTGTTGTATTTTGTAATATTACGATGGTTACATAATCGTTTGCAGGGTTAAATATTCAGTTGTAACACTTGAAATACTTGTGTCTCTTTATCTATATATATACTGTTTTTGTTTTTTTGTAAGTATAAACTCATGTATTCTATGACGTGGATTTTTCAGTTTGATTTAAAATCCAATTCAACATAAAAATATCATCTCGAAATAGAGGAACTCACTACTGAAAAGGACAGCAACTGAAACAGAAAAGGCTTAGGTTAGCAAAGGAGAGGAGTAGTGTGCTATTCAACCTAATAGTGTGTGTGTGTGTGTGTGTGTGTTTGTTTAATAAACTACGAGAAAATGGACACGTCTGTAGCGGTTAACTCATTGAGGGCACAGTTCCTGAAAGTGTGTCCTGAGAGAGATCAAGTTAGGAGGATAGTCAAACCTTACGACTCAAAGAATCACAATAATTATACGCTGGATGATATAGATGATAAAGTTAAAGATATGTATAGGAACAACAATGGAACGTACATGTTACCTGAGCTGGAATCATTACCTATTATGACCAATTTCTTAGAAGATTATATTACGACAAGAAAGATCAGAAATGCAAAGGCTAATAACAAAAATAATAATAATGGTAGTAGTAATAATATTCATGATGAAGATATACAAGGACAAGAAACCCTCACTAAGAAGTCCCAGTTGATGGATGATCCATCTATCTTAAGAGGAGATAGTATGTTATTTAATCCACAAGAGGTCGACAGACTTACATCTGACAATACTAAATTAAACAACAATTATGGTCGAATTAATGGAAATAATGGAGTTCCTCAGTTTGCTTCGGTAACTTATGACTCAGATGATTCCGATTCTGAATCCCAAACTAAACATAAGATATCTGCTTTACCTTTTACTCGAATCTTTAAAGGTAATAAGAAGGATCCCAATGGTAAGAATACAACATCTCGCACTACATCGATAACTTCAAATTCAACGAGAGGAACTGCCACAACTAGTAATTCCGCTGCTGCAATTGCTCAAAAGAAATTGAAGAAGCATTCCAAATATTCTATGAATTTTGATTATGATGATATTTTAGATGAGGATCTTGAAGATGAAGGTGAAGATGAGGAAGAGAACAATGAAGATAATCAATTAAAATCACAATTTTTCCAATTGGATAGATCTACATCAGCATTGAATGATAATACTAATTCTAATACCAATACCCATGGACCAACAAATAATGGTAACTCAAATATTGCTGTTGATAAATTGAAAATTGGAACAAAAGCATTTAGTTTAGATAGAAGATCATTATTAGAAAATGCATTTTCTTTGCCTAAGGACAATGATGTCCATATTAGATCGGATAATAGTGATCACTCGTTAAGTAATACTAGCCAACAAGGAAATAATACAAACGATACTGTTTCTACAAGTGGTAATATCATTAATGTATCGAGACTTAAGTCTCATCTCCCACAAATTCCAATTCTTGATAGTTCACGGAATAATGGCAACTCAAACATTAATAATAATAATGGTAATGGTAATACCTCTAAAAACGCTCAATCTGATAAGGAACTTAATAAAAATTCAAAAAGTGATAGTAAGATTGGAGATTCTGATTTATCTGATATTGAGTCCTTCATTAAAGAAGATGATTTAAAGAGTATAAACTTGGATCATCATAATTCAAATAATAATAAGTCAATGGCGTCGAGTCCCATTGATTCAAAGCCTGTAGCTTACGCACACAGTGTAGGTATGGTTCATAGCGAAGGGTTATCCGAAGATGATGACATTGAAGATGGAGATAGTAATATGCATCATACCCAGGATAGTACCTCTGAACATCATGATCTAAGTGAAGTTTCTTCCTTCGGTAAATCGTTGTTGGAATCAGAATATACAAGTAATGAATATTTGAAAACTGAAAATAGTGATAGTGCGACGGATCATATGTCGTTAGATACAGATATTGTACATCATACAATATCATCACATTCTATCCCGTTATCATTTGAAGGGTACGGTTTATATCAAGGTGCAAATGATTCTACATTAAACAACGTGTTAGATAGAGCAGTTACAAAGATTAAGTCGAATGCGCCACATATAGGTCGTGATAGAGCCAACTCAGCTACTTCGAGGAGAAACTCGATAACACAAGTTCTAAACTCAAAGCGTGCTTCATTAACTTCAAACCCAATGATGAAACAAAACGTCTTAAGACATCATTTAAGATCAACCTCTAACAATGCTGCGGAGAATAGCAAATATTCAGGAGTATATGGATCATCCCTTCACAAAAATAAAACTTTGTTGAAGAATGAACCTCTCTCAAAGGCCCCTGTACCATCTCGATCATCAAGTCGTACTAGTAGAAGAAGTTCAAGAGATATTTCATTACATTTTGAAAAGATACCCACCTCTCCTATACCAAAAACTACTAATTCACACCTATCATCATTATTTAATAAGAAAAAGCATAAAGTTACCAATCCTGTTGAGGTATTAGAATACTTTTCATTTGTATCTGGTAATACTGTTCCTAGGTTTGATGCAATGGACTTAGAAGTATACATTCAATTGTCGAAAAAATACAAAAGAAATTCATTTAAAACCAAAGTTAGAAAGACAGCCAAGATATTCGATGTAATTGGATATATTCTTTATCTTTACACTACGGAATTTAAACCAGATAATATGGACCAGGACGGATTGGATATGCGTATTTTGATCAATCCAAATAATTTCGCATTACACATTGTTGATGAAGACGGTGAACCATTTGAAGATAATTTTGGGAAGTTGAATAGAACAAGTACGATGCAATCTATTTCAGATAATGAGATTGTACTTTGCAGAGTTGGTGAAGAAGAAAAATTAAAAAACGATGAGGATACCCCAGTTCCTTATGATGTTAATGGTGATGTAATTGAATATGCAAAGTCAATATCATCTAAGGCCTCTGGAGGTACTAATAATGAAGACAACACACTAAACCAATTAAGTTTCTACAAACCTATTGTTGGTGGTAATGTCGATGATCTAGCAAATAACGCGAATAGTTCAAATGTTCTAGAGGTTACAGTTTACAAATATCCAAACATCAATCCAAAATTTAATTTCACTACCATTAATGTACTGGTCACTGGTAATATTAACGATATCCTAGTAAAATATTGTAGGATGAAGAATATGGATCCAAACGAATATTCTTTGAAAATGATTGGAAAAAATCGTATATTTGATTTAAATGATACCGTTTTGAGACTGGATGGTAACAATAAAGTGGAGATAATATCCAAGAAAGAGGCTCGTAGATTACAACTAGAAAAAATCAAGCCAAATCTAACAAAACCACAGTTGCCTACTATTCAAAGCAATGATTTAACTCCGATGACTTTGGAACCAGCACCAGCATTCATGACTACTGAGAACTCTAACGATGGAGCAGCCCCAGCTACTGAAGTGCCTGTTCCATTCACAAAATTACGTAAGACTTCTGGTAAGATCAAACTTAATCTCTCCAAACAACCTTCTTCAGGCAGCAACAATGTCGGTAGTAACAATTCAGGAAGTTTTTTCAAGAACAAGGACTCCTCTAGACATTCTCTACATACACCGATGCAAACATATCACAACAATCATTCAGGTATTCTAAACGAGTATACACCTGATAATGAAACTAGCAACAACAATTTCCAAGATTTGTTTTCGGGTGCATATCACAAATATAAAGTCTGGAGAAGACAACAAATGTCCCTGATCAACAAGCATGAAAGAACCTTAGCATTAGACGGTGATTATGTGTACATTGTACCTCCAGAAGGAAAGATGCATTGGCATGAAAATGTTAAGACTAAATCTTTCCACATAAGTCAAGTTATCCTTGTGAAAAAGTCCAAGAGGGTAGCCGAATACTTTAAAATATACGTTAGAAGAGGTCCCGACGATATCAAGCGTTACTACTTTGAGGCCGTATCAGCACAGGAATGTACTGAGATTGTCTCCCGTATCACAAACCTGCTGAATGCTTACAAGATGAATCATAAATAGTCTATATACATATATATATGTGTGTATTTAAAACCAGTTATGTTGAATACTCGGATCCGATTGGTCAACCCGTTTTCCCTATTAAGAAACCGAAATTTCGAAAATCGAAAATTTCCTTTTTAAAAGAACAAAAAGTTTTAACCTTAAAAGATCATAACCAAACATACCTCAAAGAACAGACAGATAAACATACAAATACATATATAAAACAATGGGTGGCGCATACAAGATTTTCGGTAGAACCTTCCAACCTCATCAACTGGCAATTGCCACGTTGACTACAGTCGCAGTCATTGCAGCTCCTAACCCATTTGCTGCCAAGAAGCCAAAGGTAGCCGAGATTAAGGCAGAATCTGCTGAAGAAGAGGCTTTTATCAAGACATATATCGAGAAACACAGTGCTGAGGCAAAGTAAACTTGGAATTTCATTTGTTTACTATAACTTTTTCGATCTTTCTCTCTTTATCCCTTTTTTATTATTGTGAACCACTGCCTGCATTGCCTCCTTCTTTTAGACGGGTCCTACCTCAACACTAGTGTATATATATATATATCTAACAGTATGACAACTTTCATATCTTGTCTACATCTATAAATATTCTACATAATTTAATGAATATTCTTCTTATTCTTCTTATTATTGTTATTATCATGATTATTTACTGAACCATTCAAGTTTAGCCTTAAGCGCGAAGTATGCTAAGAGACGGTAAATTGCCGCAACACAGATAGCAATACCCAAATATTCTGAAACATTAGTTCTTAAATTATAGGAATCTATGACATCCTTACCTGTGCTAAATTCACATGAACCATCCTCTAATTGACCACCATCCTTACATGTAAGTTTTAGATCGTCTGGAAATGCCATATTAATGATAATCATTGAGGTGTAGCCAACAGGGTTCAGATAGTTGAAACCTTTCAACACCCTTGACATATTCAACGACATCAGACCAGACATTTGAGTACCAATAGATAGAAGTACTGATATACAATTCACAACAAACCCTGGTCTCTCAAAAAATGTGTTTGTCATGATTCCGAGAGCTTCACCACAACTGGTCACCAAAAATGAACAATATACTGTTGCAAAAAAGTTACCAGCTGTTCTTGGTAGCCCACAAGCTAGAACTGTGAATATAGCATATATAATAGATGCAAATGCTGATAGCGGTAATTCTAAAGTCATATATGAAAGGAAGAATGGACCAATTCCATATACGTTATCCTCGAATTCTTTATAAAAATAGTCTCTCTCTTGTGGGTAACATGCTAAATTTGCTAGCATGCCAACAAAATATAATGAAGTAGATTCTTGGGCAAGACCCAATCTGTTTGTTACACCAACATAATTTTCTTTCAAAGGTGCGAAATATAATGCAAAGATAGCACCAAGACCAGGAACTTGAGCAATTCGAGCCATCAGGGAATCGAAATCTCTCAAAGTGGTGGTTAATTGTCTTTTGACATTGACGAAGTAAGCTAGGACCGAATTACATGGTCTTCTGATACAATCTCCGTATGTTGTATGAAATAATTCTTTTGTCATGATAGTTGTCTCATTCATATCTTGTTTAGATATGCTATCACTCTTTGTATCCCAATTTGTTAATAATGATTCTACTCTTTCTCTGGAGATCTTTTCATTTTGATCATTTTGCGTATTTATTGAGATTAAATCTAAGAAATAGTCAGCAACGTTGGTTAATTCAGGACATTGGTAACCCAAATCAGAGAAATATTCGATCATTTCCTTCGGAGTACCGTTAAATGCAGTTCTCCCAGATTTGGCAAGTAAAAGAATATTTCCAAATTTGTCAAACAATTCAGATCTAGGTTGATGAATTGTCAAAATAATTGTTTTACCATAGTTATCCGCCAATCCTTGTAAAATTTCTAATATGGTTGATGAAGTGAAACTGTCAAGACCGGATGTAGGTTCATCTAATAGTAAAATAGGTGGATCATTTAATAATTGAATACCCATAGTGACCCTTCTTTTCTCACCACCACTAATACCTTTGACAAATTCGTTCCCAATAATAGTATTTTCACAATGTTTTATACCAAGAGCACGTATCAATTCATCGCTTTTAGCTTCACGTTGCTCGGGAGTTAAATGATGTAATCTTAATGCTGCGGCAAACTTGAAAGTTTCCTTAACTGTCAATTTAGCCAATAAATGATCATCATCCTGTGATACATAAGAACATATATTTTTGAACATATCCTCAGAAACCTCAACGTTATTAAATAAAATAGAACCTTTTTTAGTAAATTTTGTAACCAAATTGGAATGAACTCTTGCTGACATTAGGTTAAGTAGTGTAGATTTACCTGATCCCGATGGACCCATAATTGCGTTAACCATCCCCGGTTTGAAATTGGCATTAACAGACTTTAAGATTTGTTTTTCTTCTTTCTCAATAAACCCTGAAGACCATTTATCACGATTCAATCTTGTAAAGTTAACCTTCAAGTTAATATCTTTCAATGTTACTGCGATTTCATGTTCATGACGACTAGTAGTGGCTTCCACATCTTTCTCTTGACTCTTTGAATCAAATATTGATAAAAATGGGTTCGATTTATTCTTAGTCTCATCTTCCTTACCATCGCTACTTGACTTCTTCTTTTTTTTAGATTTTACCTCATTTTGCAATGTTATATCAACTTTATGTAAATACATTATCACAACACCAACAACTGTAAAACCTATTACCCAACAGAATAAGATAATTATAGGGACTGTTCTCCAATTACGCCAGAATCCAAAACTTTCAATAATTTGATTGCCCATACATGATTCTAGGGTGTCATCTGTACAATATTTATCTGTGAATGTATTGGATAACAATGCACCATAGCCATACCAAGTAAATGCAATATATTTTGTCCAACGAACATATACAGGCATGACTTTAGCATTTACGAAAAATCCACAACCCATAGATAACACAGTAAATGATAAATTACCAACTAAAGAGGCTTTAGAATAATCTCTCGAGACTGCAACAGATAGCATTGCTAAAGCAGAGCAACACATTTGTGCTAAGAAATTAACAGAAAATTGAATGAAAAATTTTGTAGCATCTGCCTCGAGGCCAAACATGAAATAACTAATCGTCGTATAGGTTAAAGTCATCAATATATCATCTGATAAAAACAATGAAAGTTTTCTTGCTGCAATGAATGCAGCAGGTGAAACGGATCCCTCAGCACGTTCTCTATCAAATAATGCAATATCCTGTTCGCAAAGTCTATAAGTGTCAAACAGCAAATAAAGATAACATTGTAAAATTACTGAAGAATATAAACATGCAGAGGTTGTTCTCAATCCACTTAAAGTCGTCTTATCTGGCTTATAATAAATCCAACCTGAGACTGTACTGATAATAATCGGCTCTAAGAAAGTTGCCCCTAAAGTCACATAATCTGTTACATTCAATCTTATATTTCTTCTTGTTAATACAGCTACTTGTTTCATAAAAGGTAAACTTGTTGTCATATTTTGCACATGCAATGGTTCCATATGATCAATATTATCAAATTTAACGGAATCTCTTTCGAAATTATGCCAATTTTCCACTAATTTCTCTAATCTTTCCTCGGTTAATTTTTGTGCATCGTCAGATCTACCATCTACACTTGATAAATCAACAAAATAATCTGCTGGATTTACCATATGAGGTACTTTAAAACCAATTTTTTCAAAATATGGTATAGTAGTAGTCATTGTATCACAATATACAACATTCCCTTTAGATAAGATGCAAATTTGATCAAAAAGAAACAAGATATCAGATCTAGGTTGGTGAATAGACATAATGAATATTCTACCATCCTCTTTAGCCATTTTTTTAATAGTTTTAACTACTAAATAAGCAGAATATGCATCTAACCCTGTAGTTGGTTCATCTAAAAACATAATTGATGGATTAGCAACCATTTGTGTCCCTACACTTAATCTTCTCTTTTCACCACCAGATAAACCTCTATGTGTACTATCTCCAACCATTGTATCTGCACAATCTTTAAGACCCAGCTCATTAATTAATTGCTCCACAATTCGTATTTTCTCTTCCTTTGGTTTATCTAATTTCAAATCAGCTGCAAACATCATAGTCTCTCTACAAGTTAATCTTGCAGATAATACATCCTGTTGTGGAACATATGACATCTTCACATGTCTCTCCTCAAAGTCAGTTTCTGCTTCAGATTCGTTTTCAATTCCAGTGATAATAACTTCTTTTTTACTATTGAGTTCTGTATGACGTAAAGATTCAGATGGAGAAGATAATGTCTCAAGTGGTTGTTGTTCTAAAACATATTTAATTGTACCTTCAGTAGTAAGACCACCACTTATCTTGGATGCTAGCACATTTAATAAAGTAGTCTTACCAGAACCAGAACCTCCCATTACGGCCATAATTGATCCACTCTCCAGGTCCATAGAGAACGAGTCTACTAACTTTGTGTTCGTCTTTGACGCTATAATCGATAAATCTCGTACATGTAGCCCAATTCTCGGCACTTTTGAGAACGATAAGTTATTCTCTACCAGAGTTCCAGACATCACTCTCTTCGTAAATATACCTGGTTATTTATCACTTTATTCGAACTCGTTCCTTGAATGACTCTTAAAAACATATAAAAGCACATAACTAAACAGTTGGATTCAACATATATATCTATATATATACCGTATAATTTTTTTTACTAATTTTACATCTTGCAGTGTTGCCTTCAACCTGAAATTCCAGTTACCAGCCTTATGTTACCTGATTCAAAAGGTACAGATGCAATCATTTACAGTGAAGAAAGAAAAAAAGAGACGAAAAATGAAAAATCTTATCGAAGTCCACAGTCAAAACGCATCGCTTCCAGTTTTAGTTCGTTTACGAATATTTCTACGGGTGTTTCTGTGTGAGGGAAAGAAACTTGAAATATTTTCGTATACGGGTTGGCTATTTATGTAAATAAATAAACAGAGTAAGATTTGATATACAGTCGTTAGTAGTGCCTCATGTGGGTGTATGTCTGTGTTCTCCTGCTGCCTGCCCAGCTAGATGAGGGTCGGGCACCTGTGATCAGTCGGCTCAAAGGTGGGTTTCTCTTTTAGAAATATTTGGCTGTTGTCACAATAAGAGAGAGGCCACGATGGTGGTGTCGCTTCTTATCCTTAGCGTATACTTTTGCTGTTCCTCGAACTTGTTGAATTTTTGGTTAGCAGATGATGAGAACAATGAGCTAGGTACTTGGAATGGTAACTGAACCTCATGGTCTAGAGCCAGATGAACTTTATTCTTGCGTTGTATGTAACAAAAGTAGAGAAGATTCAAACTCGTCTTATTTTAGATCAATTTCATATCACATTGAAAATATATTATTTTCGAGTAGTGAATTTTGTTCAGATGGTCTCAAGTCTATATTGGAACAAAAGATAACATGAACAGATAGTAGAATTTTAGCTACATATATGTAGCTGAACAGAAATTATTTCAAATTGGTACATCCTAAAGATGTTATATAGAATAAGGAAGTCAAGTATTGGCTAATATATATATATATTCAAAAATCTTCTGAGCAAGAGTTTTTTAGATAACTTCAACTTGTTGTTTCTTATTCCCTTGGAATCTAGATCTTTCTTAATTATGATAATTGATCCATTATTCTGTATATATGCAAAATTATTCTCCCGAACTACATGGTATGGAGTTCGTTATAAGGTTATCCTTAATTTCGCATCATTGTCAAACTGCTCAGCTTTTGTTGAATATTTCTTTATAATCTATTTAATCTTAGCCATTTAATATGTTTCATTTCATTTCAAGCAGATATATTTACTACCATACTTTCATAGGGGATATTGCAAACATTTCTGTTAGAGAAAGCTACCTTTCCCGGTCATTAAACCCAACTCTGTCGGAATTTACATGATAAAAGAATGACGTCAAGAATATAAAATATAAGAATAAAAGAATAATAAAGATTGTCAGATTTGATAATGTTCAATATTTAACAATCCAAAATGAGAAAAGATAATAATAAGACGCATTTGGAAACCATGCATAATTTCTACAATGCTAGTATTGGAGATTTATAATCACGAAATGTTACCCAATCCAAAGGTATATAAAGGGAACAATATTTCATGCATTGGAATATTTTATTTCCCTGATTATTTTGTATATTATTTATAATTTGTATACTAAAGAAATCAGACGACTATACGTTGATTTCTAATAAANAAATATATTCAATGCTCAACAAGATAGAAACGAGGAATTCTATCAACTGTTTTATCATTTTTGTCGAAAATAACAAGGTGACAGAGTCATATGACTACACTATGAATTATAGTAGCAGTTGATAATGACAAAGATCAAAGCCCATATTGCTAACGCTGACTAGGTTTTTGAGGCACTATAATAACTCAAACTCTTTCCTAAAAAGGAACCTTTAAAGAAAGAAAACTTTTAAACATGTCATCGATGGGTAAGTGTCATAATCATGACAATAACAAATCCAGTCGAATATATATGGAATGATAATTCAGACTTGAATTAAATAATTTCCATTATTTAAATGTATAATTGAGCTGAAGTAGACATATCGATGTTAGATTCGGATTGGTTTTGCATATTAAATAAGTGGTGATGGGTAATGAAGATTATTACGGTGGCAGTAGGTTGTAAAGCAAACGTATCTGTTACTTTTCTTCTAAATTTGTAAGTGATTTTCTATTTTTTATTTAATATACATAACGAATGAATTCTAACTCAGATTGTAAGTTCAGAATGACTCGTATTTATATAGTTTTAATTTCTCTTGATTACCTTCTCATCTATTAGGTAATCTTCCTTACGTAATGGTTCATTAGTAATACGCATCTATTTTTGTATTAGTAATGTGATTACGTAACATCTTGTTATGTAATATTCTATTACGTAATTTTCTCGTGATCTTTCCATGTTATTGGTAAAACATTCTAGATATACTTATATCATATTATTTCCGTCAATAATATTATGTAAATTAGAATAAAAAGGAAGGGACGACAAACTCCAGTCTAAACCTTTCAGAATAAAATAACTGTACATTAATTAATTAACAATAAGTAGTCAAAATAATAATAATTACCATTAATATTTTTAAACATTACCCGGATATTTTTGGAAGAATAACTAAGGAAAAATTGAATCAACAAAATATAGAAAATAAGCGGTTTTAGCTCAGTTGGGAGAGCGCCAGACTGAAGAATAACTTCGGTCAAAAGAAATCTGGAGGTCCTGTGTTCGATCCACAGAAATCGCATTTTCTTTTTTAAATTTCAGTTCACTTTAGAATTTTTGAAACAATAGTAGTTTTACACCAATGAAAACGACAGTCACATAACTAATGTTGGCTTTATAAGAAGGTTACGTCTTATCATGATCATTTCTTTATTTAATTATGTACCTATGTTTTTAGTTGTTTAGTTGATAATAATTGAATAAAAATATGAACGACAACTTGCTGTCCGATTTTAAATATTTACAGTAACTGGTAACTTATATGAATATATAATTATATATATACTTGATTATATACTTTTTTTTTTTGAGTAAGTGGTTAGATATTACGACTAAAATTTATCTAATTCTGGCATTCTAATAATTTTTTTCTCTTTGTTTTCTGTGAATGCTTGTAATAATTTCATGATTTCTGAATCCTTCCATCTATCAGGGATAGGACTCTGTTGAAAATCCTTGGTGGCCCAATAATAAATATCCCAATCTAATTCATATAACAAGTTATCATACTCTTCTAACTGTTTTCTTGTCATGGTCTTTAAATATTTAGCAGCAAACGCAGATAACAACAGATCAGTCTCCAAAATACCTCTCTTACGAGATTGATACACTAATCTAGACTTCATCTTATCATCAGATTCACCTACCCGTTTATTTGGCGCAATTTTGATTCTAGAAATAATATCTTTTAACTCCGAATCATGAATATTACCCTTTGGGTTACTTGAATATAACCTCCCAGCTTGGAATATCACCAAATTGGTTCTTTTAGGGATCACTCTGCTCCCAACTCTAAGTAACATCATTTTCACAAAATTAGGTTACTACAGACACGTTATCTTGTTAACACTATGATTTCTAAACGTTATACAACTACCAAATCAAGTATGCTTGATATCACTTTCTTCTTATCTCTTTAAGTCAGATTCTCAGCCTATTATCTTGTGATTTGAGAGTTAGAAGCTAGAATTAGCGAAAGCCTCTTTCTCTTTCGCTCAGTCCGGGAAAATGAAGCTCTATTTTTGGGAAGAATTAAAGTAAAGAATAGAGAGACAGACATTTTATAACAAACCGTTTACTTGGAAGAGACCGAATTGTGGACAGCATGAAGATAATCAATTAATGTAACCGTAGTTATATTGTAGTGAGATTATTAATACTGAATACTTCAAAACTGTGTGAAAGATACCACTATAAGTGATGATGGAAAGGAATTGAATGGTTATAGATGAACAACCGACTAACCGCTGATGATCTTTGGAAGAGGATTAAAGAATGTTGAATAAAGAAAAATGATTACAAGTTTAAAATGACTTGAATACGGTATAATATTGAATCTTGATCGTGATAACTGTTTCAATGACAGCAAATCGGAACCATTACATCTCTTACACTTTTAGAATAAATGCTTCACATTACGTGTGGTGTATGGGTGCCGTATCATCAACCTTATAGTTTTAATTTTGATCATCTAACTGTGAATTTTCTTTCTTTCTTGATTCCCTTTAGTTCATCATTTGAAATAATATGATATGTTAACTGGGGGATGTAATAGTATTCGAAAGAGCAGCACCTTAAGACAAGGAGATTATTGATCCCAGATTCTGCCAAGATTAACGTTATACTAAAAATTTTCTGTATAGATCGCAAGATTGAAGTTGTGTTTATTTTATTTTATTTTTTTGTTTTGAATTATCCACCATCACTATAAATTTAATAATGAGTTCATCTAAAAAAGATGCTTCTGATAAATTAGTTGTATTTTCAGGGTTTTTCAAAAATAAAAAAGTTTTTGTACCAGATGAGGAGATAATCAGGAATCATAAAGATCTTAATTATAAAGCTACCAACTATGATGTGTTTTTATCGAAGGAACAAAGGCGACACAAGAAGAAGAAGATAATCGAATTGGCTACAATGTTTTACAATTCAAATGGACCAGAATTAAATAATACAGAAAATTCTGTATCAGTGAGTGCAGTTGCAGATTTTTTCAATATACCTCGACAATCATTTAGTGATCATATTAAAGGGAATCATCAAAATATAGCTATTCATGGATACACTAGGAAGGGAATTTTGAATGAAGAAAATATTAAATTATTGAGAGATATTGTGAGAGCCGTTAGAATTAATGAGGACCCCGAATTCGAAGGAAATGAACTATTCGCAAGTGATAAAGAATTGATAAACTTAATTAGTATGATAACTGTATTCATAAATAATCAGGATGAAACATTTATTCAACTGAGTAGTCAATTGGAGCTTCTAGCAGTAGATTTAACTACTGATGAAACGACATCAAGACAGTCTATTTTAGAGAAATTAATGGCATTTTTCAATAATCCTGTCTTATGTGTGGAATCATTCAAATTGAAAGGTAGAGATTTGGATCAAATGCGTCTTGGACTCATTGCTTTAAAGAAAATATATTCATCAGAACATGAAGTTAAATTACTTAATAGAAGAACAATATCAAGATCTAGGGTGAAACTTGGAATTTTTCCTCATAACATAAAAGGTAAAAAAACATCCGTTTCTTCGATATCATTAAAACAAGAGAGCAAAGTCAACCCAAAAAACCCTATAATAGAGTCAGATCAAGAACATTTACTACCTAAGTTAGGTATGTCGGAAAGTGCAATATCAGTTGGGAATGATCAAATTATTAGAACCATTTTTGATAAATTGAATATAATTATTGATAAAAAAGACAGGAAATCGTTGGATGACTTGCAAGAGTATCGCAGATTGGTCAATGATTTAATAAATGGACTTAATACGGTTACAGAATATGGTACTCTGATAGGGGAGCAGTTCCGAAAATTGACAGATTTTATCTTGCAAATAAGTTTTGAGAATGCAGTATTGTTGAGAGAAAACGGCGGGGGTGAACCCATTCTCAGTCCATCCTCTAAGATGATAGAAGATGAAAAACAATATAATGAAGAGCATCATGATGATTCTGCTCCAGCCACCAAAACTGCCCATTTTTAATTGTGAAATTCTGGACGTTAAACGAATTAAATAAAAATATGCATATTCAGATTAGATAATTACAATATATAGTTATATATATATGAGATGTGATACAGTTGCATCTTTATGACATTAATCCTCCAACCAAGAGTCATCTGCATTTAAGGGAAACATACTCGTTATCCGTTCTTCGATAGATGGCATTATATCGTTAATATTGCTCGTCTTTTTAAAGACACAAAGTCTCATTGATGGGAAGCAATTACCACGAAGGTACCCTAAATTGATTAACGTTACAAGTACGTTCTCTGCGTTATCGCTAGAATGTATACCATTAAACATCGTAATTTTAGTTTTAGAATCATCCAAAGAATAATAATTGTCCTTTCCAATGGATAACTGTAATGCTTGAGAAACTAGATCGTATGGAAGTCTGTTGAAACCTTGAGATAAGGACCACTCAACAATTAATCGTTTCACAAGATATTTATAAGTCACCATTGGTAATTTCTCTAGAAGGATAAGTAATAAATTGGATTCTAACAAATCGGCTTCGTGTAATTTCAGCCAACTGTTAACCAGTTGTAAATTACCTGATCTTATATGTTGTTGTAATTCCGAATACATATTCACCATTTGCGGATGAAAATGAGACAAGACATCAAATCGAAACCTTTTACCTATAAGAAGACCTGTCGGAATCAAAAATTTAAGGACCCTTTTGATATTATTTTGTAATTGTGGTATCTGATTAGTATTTGGCACAGAAGTCAAACTGAGTAATAAATGAAACGTATTATTCAATTGTACAAATGCATTCAATATTCGAGAGTTTAACAAGTAATATCTCCCCAAGAGATATCTATATTCAATCTGTTCATTAATTGGAAACTGACTAAAGTTAGCTAGTGAACATTTAGGTTTAAAATTCTTAAAAATATTAGAACATAACTGGGGGGATTCTATTCTGAAGTAAATATTGTTCAGTTTATTTACCAAATATAATAAAATACGTTGTTTTTGGGGCAAATCTTCAAAAAATTCACTGGTATTTTCACTATTTGATTTAATGCTGTTAAAAAGTTTTGAAATAATCATTGAAGTGTGTGATAGAAACTGATGTTTTTTTACTTTCAACTCAAGGTAATGGTTATCTAATTCTCTAGCCAAAGGAATAATAAACTCAGTAATTTCGATAAAAACTGGCACCAAGGGTTCACATGGGTAGGAATCATTCAATAAACAATTATTTAAATCAGAATAGTATTTAAAGATAAGGTCACTGCAATCCCATGCGGACCACGGGTTGACATCTCTACAATATTGTAGAAATGATATTATCATAATATTAAAACGGGTCCATCTTCCACCATGAAAGTTCTGGCTCTCTACAAATGCCTCAATGGATTTATCATCCATAGTTTGGCCGTTATTATTCAATTGATTCTGTAAAGCAGCAACTAAACGACCATTCCTATTTAAGTCCAAGTTGAGGACGGCATAATTTTGGTTCTGAATGTCAGACACAAACGCATTCAAATTGTAATTCATTCCTCGAAGAACAATTATCTCGATCTGGTCAATGCAAGAATAGTCTAGTTTTATTGTAATGAAACAAATATATCAACTCTTTCAACTTCTGTATTTCTTTCTCTTTCATATTGGTGTAGATTCCGATATTATGCTTAATTAATAAATTTTTCACTTTTGTTTCTTGAAGTCATCCGAACAGCCAAGGCCACCCTCATTTACATTACAAACAATAAGAACTTACAGTTCAAAAATTGCTGAGGATTAAAAACTATTAGTTGTTTTTACTGAGGACTCTGTAGCAATTCTACACTTTGTGACCACCAAGGAAAAAAAATACATACACTCCTTAATTCTGTTGTTTCTATCGATTAAGAACAGAGAATAGAAGAAAGCAAGTTTTATTAAAGCTTTTCCACAATCGAATCTGCCAAACCGTCGAATACAGTAATATAAATTGGAACCAACTGTTAGTTGAACCTATTATTAATTATCATTTAAGTACAGATAATATAATATACAAATTCTACAATGTCTAGCGATACTAGTAAAAAACCTGATGGTCCAAATAAGTCGACCAAGAAACCATTGAGAAGAAACTTTAGAAGAAAGACTAACAAGCCTAAAAATACAGATGACGCTACATCAAATCAATCATTGCAACAAAACAAAAATATAACCCCCACCAAAAGTGATACAGCCCCTGTTGCAGATAATAAAAGGAAAACTGAACGTTCAACCAAGAAGACACCTGAACATCAATCCAAGAAATCTTCTGATAAGAAACCTTCAGGGAAAAATGCACCTGAGAAGAAAGTAAAAAATAAGAATAAAAGTAATAGAAGTAATAAAAATAAGTTACGTAATAAGATGAGGAAGGATGTCGATCAAGGCTTCAAGTTGGTATTGAGACATTTGCCTCCAAATCTAACCAATGAACAATTCATGGACAATTTAAAACCTGTAATCCAAGACAAAAAACTGGCAATATTCGGAATAATAGATCACTATTACCGTCATGGATCTTTGGCTAGCAATTTATTTGAAAAATCTGTGTATTCAAGGGCATATTTTACGTTTAACTCCATGGAACAACTAAAAGAATTTGGGAATAGTGTGAGAAATTTGACATTCATCGATGATAAAGACAATGTATCAAATCCAGTCCTGAAAGTGTCACCATATGTGAAAAAGATAGGTAACTCCAATGTAACTAATAGAAAGCATAGTAAGAAGTTGGAAGGTACAATTGAAAATGATCCAATATTTAAACGTTTCTTAAAAACAATTAAGCTTATGGAAGAGAAAGACGATTCACCTTATGCATTTAACAACATTAGTATTTTCAAATCATTAGAGAAAGAAATTGCGAAAGAGAAGAAACTGGATGCAATGATAGAGAAAAAGACAGAATTAGCTATGATTAAATTATCAGGTGTTGATATCAATAAGATGAATGAAAAGAAGAAAAAGAAGAAAGAGAAGAAAGAAAAGGAAAAAGAAAGAAAGAAGGTAAAGAAGGCTCATGAAGTCGAGAATAGTAGTTCTGAATCTAAAAAGAAGAAAAAGAAGGAAAAAGTATCTAGAAGAAAAAACAAACAAAAGAAAGATAAAAATGTAGACAAAGAAGAAATAAATAAGAATATAGTCATTTTGGAAGAGGCAGGTAAGAGAGAGTTGAAGAATAGAATGAAAATACTGGAAGAAAGGGAGAAAGAAACCATTGCAAAGGAAAAACGTCTCGAAATGGTAAATAAGGCAAGAGAAAAACAAATGCTACTACGAAAGGCCAAAGAAGAGGCTAATCGTACAAATAATGAAGAAACTACACCTAAAGCTCAAACCATTCAAATACTGCAACGCGAAGATAAGTAATGGTCCTTTTGAACTCATCTTATTAATTCAAAATCCCCGTATTCAATTCTGTTACGATATTCTATAATAACCTAAGAACTGATTAGTTATTCACAACTTTTGTGCCAGAGGCTTTTAAAAGGGATATCTGTGATTGATTTCAAGAAGGAATAAGGTATAATCGTAAGGTCATGGTAGATATATATATTTATATACTAGTATATACCTGCTCTGCGACAGAAGCACAAAAGGAGGCTGTGACTGATAAAAATTATATGTAAGTACTCTAATTTTCAGAATCGTCTGTTGAGCTATTAGATTCGCTATCAAAGTCGCTGTCAGAGGTACTATCGTAAACATCACACCAGACACACCTGCCTAAAGGAATCCCCCATATATCATTTTTAGTCATCAACTGGTCAAGAACTTCATCCATATGGATAATAGAGACATTAAGATTTTGCGATGTGGCAGTACAGTCCTCATAGAGACCTAAAGACTTCATTTTTCTATAATCCAACAAGTATTTTTTAAATAAACTTCTGAAACGTTTTGCCAGATCGTTCTTTTCACCTAAGTAGTAATATTGAACTCGAATATAAGTAAGTAACAATACAACTATATACTTATCATCAAATTCATTCGATTCTCGATTAGAATCAATAATGTTTATTAGTTGCTCTATGGTAGGTCGCATTTCCACAATTTTCATCAGGATACACTTAAACATTATTCCTCCTAACATGTGGCCCTGATTGATCGATTTACCCTTTAAAGTCCCGAAGTCCCGTATAATTACCTTAAGGAGACCCATAAATGTATCGCAGTGTAATGATGGCAAAGTTAAATTGACCTTATAATATATGTTGTTATGTATCTTATCTCTTGTCAGTCTTGGTATCACCAAGGATACCGATTGATGGTTGAGCTCTTTCGAGGAAATGTATGATTCCACATGAAATTCGGATGACATCGGTTATATGGTTTATGAATATGTTTGATAAAGTGGAATATATTTCGATATAGCTCTTTTGTAGGGATTTATTTTTGGGACTTACAGATCGATTTTGTTTGGTTATAACTTTTGAAAAATTTAGTTTTAAAGTTATCGCTTCACTTAAAGGTGTCAAGCTTAAATAAGAATATGAAAATATGAAAATTACATAAAATGCAAATTGTTTAAGATAAGCGTAAATATATATTATATCATAAGATGATATTTTCATATGACCCATTAGAACCTACATTTATCAGGTATCATGTTTGTGTACCACCATCTAAGTGATACATCGTTATGCATAGTAGATACTACATTCCAAGTGCAGTCCAGAACTTCATTAGCAACTTGCTGCTCCAATCTTGACTGATCAATAAGCTGAAGTACATTCTCTAACCAATCACATATATGACTGGAATGACAGTAAGGCAACTGATATATTAGACATTTGATAAGCTCAACTCGTTGGACCGAATCCTTAATTGGCGTATTCACAATGGCACGATAAAGTTGATGTAATACAGACATTACAATGTTCCTATCCAACGTCTGTAATGAGGACAGACAACATCCAATGCTTTTGAAAATTATTTGTAATTGATCCTTCGTTAACATCTCACTCCTGAATTGATTGATTACCATTGAAGCATAATCATGAATATGACTAGTTTTCCACTGTAGAATCATCGGGGAACACGATCCGTTCAAGAGTAATGATACCATTGCAGTATGAGCACTTTCTCTCACTTCTTGGAATCTACTGACCAAGTGGTTACTTATTATCGGAAATTGTATATCAGTAACAAACTTGATATCTAAATCTGTTATTTTCTTATTAATATTATCAATATACTCTAGGACAAATATTAACCTTGAATCGTTAATTTTATTTGGATATCTTAATGAGGGGTCAACAAAGCTTTCAAAAGTTTCAATCAATGAAAGTGTGACACCAATACTATTTTTACATGCCAGAATACCATTTATACAAACTCCTTGAACAAACTCATAGGACACGAACCCAACAGTACCAAAATCGTTAGCAATATAATTCAAATTATAAAGAATGATTAAAGACTTTTTGTACCACTCAACAGGGATTGAATTTTTTGATTCTAGACACCATCGTAACGTAAGGATTATACTAATAAATTTTCTTGAGTATAAAGGAATATCATACGTCTTGTTCGGCATTACACTATTTAGTTCCAATTGAGATAAATCTAAAGATACTTTGATCAGGTCATCTAATATATCAGAAATACACTGAGAATCCGTTTCCACCAATGAAAATTGTAACATTCTTGTAAAATGATTCACGTTATCCAAATAGAAAGTAACTTTTGGGTCATTAACATTTTCTCTATAAACATACTTAATAAGAATCTTCATACAGGATGAACTTATCGCATTCCATAACGGGATCATATTTTTATTTCTTAAATCTATTCTTTTAGAAACTGGAGCATAAATAGATGTCAGTATTTCAGTTAAAATCGGATCCTGAGCGAAGCTTTGATTATACAATTGAATCCATAAAGGTATAAAAATATCTTTCCGCCATTCCTGAAACATTTTGGTCAATTGCCCACTATCATCGACATAATATGCTTTCTGTAAAGAATGAAACTCATCCTTCATTTTGAGAACACCACACAAAACGGATAATTTAGGTAGAGTCCAGGATTGGCAAAGATGGAATTGATCATTCCAAATACTGAAAAATGTATGCAGCTTGACTGTGGGTTCAGATATCTGTAACTTCCACTTGAAAATAGCCTGTCCTGCTTCAAACAACTCCAATGGATTAATATAGATCAATAAAGGAGACTCAAAAAATGCTTGAACTAAATTTACTAGACTCGATTCAACTTGAATTCTAGGGATATAATACACGAGGTTGTTTAAAACTGCTGGAAGTGCATTAATATTTTGGGATTTTGGTGACTTTAACAGCAAAACAAGATGATTGACATTGTTAGGGTCCATTTCAATATGTTATCAAGTGATTGATCCACTGTCTATCAGTCTTTCGTTTCCCCTTTAACTAACCTGCAATTATTGCATATTTAACTAAAGTCATCTGCTATATAAATAAATTTTTTTGCCCTTTTAAAAAGGGAACCCTTTAGTTTATTAAGAATTTATGCATCTATAATACAAGAATTGAAAAAGATAGAAAAGAAGAGATAAATACAATAAGATATAGATATAAAATCAAACTCCAAGTATGTCGGTAGATAATCCAACTGGACTACATAACTATCCTGTCACAAAGACATGTATGATCCTGACGGCAGTGGTACCATTCTTGATGGCAGTGACAAATGACAAATATATATTTTTGGCCCAATACGATCCATTCATCAACCAATATCATCAATATTATAGATTCTTGATATACCAGTTTTGTGCGGTGAATGAAAGTGATGTAATGCTTTTGTTATTACTCTGGTACTACTATCGTCACATAGAAAGATTATTTGGATCATATAAATATATTAATGTGATATTATTGACCATAATTTATACCACAGGGATTTTATCTTTACTTAATATTGCTGTCAATATCTTATTTCCTACTATGATATGGAACAAACTTGCTACAGGAACCCTCCCTACAGTACTAGCATTGTTCCATTTCTATAAACAATATACACCACAATTATATGAAGTCAATTTAAGTCTATCAAGACCATGGTCAGGGAAGAGTTCAAATGGCAGTTTTAGATGGACTATAAACAACCAAGTGTTTTTAAATATTACTATTGCACTATTGATACTGAATCAAGGTCTAACAGGTATATGCTGTGGTTTAATAAGTTGGATAATAGGTATATTCATGGAAAAGGGATTATTACCAGGTGTTGATAACTGGAGAATACCATTTTTACGTCATATTTCACATTTAGATACTCCATTAAGTGGGGGTAGCCACTATAGAATGGCACATGCACAACAACAGACAACTGAAATCGATGCCTTAAATGATATACAGGCTGGAAATATACATCCCGATGACGAAGCACCGGATGAACCAGAACGTTCGTTAGGAGTCCAATTCCTAGATACTTTTAGAAGATAGAATGAAAAATACATATACTATATAATGAAAAAAAATAAATAATAAACAGAATGAACACATATCATGATGTATGTCAGGGAAAAATCTGATATTTTCCCAGTTATTAAATTGAATACGAGAATGTTGCTAACTCAAGGAGGTATGGTTATTTAATTTAAAGGAGGATGTTGTATCGAGCTAATTATTTGTAACTCGATTACACAATGTATAGATAACTAATCGAAAGTGACAAATTAAAAATGTTTATAAAGTGATAGATCTGGTGTGCTAGATTATACTAATCGATAATGTCACAGAGTTACCGTGCTTACGTTAACGTTGGTGATATTATGTTGTGTATTAAAACTCCACGTGATAAGATAAGAGAAACTTGAATTCTCCAAAAATTTCGGTTCAAAAAAAATTGCAAAAATAAATACTCCGATACGGGGAGTCGAACCCCGGTCTCCACGGTGAAAGCGTGATGTGATAGCCGTTACACTATATCGGATAGTAATTTATAAAAAAAGCCTGCCGATAGCCAGATAAAAAGAAATGAATTTTCAACTTTTGTATGTACATATTTTAAAAATGTTCATAATTTCTGAAATAATGATTGTCAGCAACTAATATGTTATAATATATTAAGTGGCAATACTTAGTTATTTAACATTTTACATTTAGTAAGATTATTACTAATTGTTCCATAAGGTTCTAGAACATATTAGTAATAATGTTCCATAACATTCTAGAACTTTCAGAGATTTTTCCATGATGTTCTAGAACATTCTTTAAGAATACCAGTAAGCACACTATCAGTAATTGATAGCTTTGCCACCCTTTTCTATAAGTATAAAAGGGCCACATATTCTAATACATATGTATATTATTTCCTTTTCTTATATCTACTTTATATAGCATATAA